AAAGAACAATTTTTTAAATTATTACTACAATTAATAGCAGCACACAATAAGGCACTCATTTTTTGTCAATCGGTCTCTGTGCTGGGACGCAACGCTCGAACCTCGCAGCTCGACGGACGGAATTGGCTTTGCAAGCTGCCGATATTCGACAGCTTACAAAAACTGGCAGAAAATATTTGCGAGAGTGCAACTACTCTTTTCTTTAAACTATGCCGATATCAGCTCTTTCCGATCTCTTGCTAAGATAACTAAATCATCGGCAAAGGCTATTCTTTTATGGTCTTTCTTTTTATTCCCAGAATATTTCGTTCCATTGAGCGTTGTGCGACCTGCAGTTATAATGTCCGTTTTAATAGTCCAGGTTTCGCATGCATAGGTAATGACTGGTAATATACATTAGTCGAATGTTTTCTTCTTTAGATAAAGTGGCATTCTAGATTTGAATATGATTGAGTTTCTTTCATAAGTAATCCATGCTAACTTAATTCTTCGGTTTCTAAGAGTCCGCAACTAATTTACTGTATAATTTTAGGAAAAGCTTTGAAACCAAGACCATGTTATCTAACTTTTGTGGAGAAAATTTAACTGAAAAGTTTCCAGTTCCCTATTCTAAACCTATTTCCACGCCTCGTGATATTTTAACACTCCGTAACATCAACAACACGTACTTGAAATAAAATCCCAACAGCAACAATAATTATTTTTATTATTTAGCTACTCGTAAAACATCTAAAATGTTGCGCTCATATTTATATACACAGACGAATTTATGTACAGGCTATGTTTACATTTGAAGGATCGGCGGTTTTATTGGGAGACCTCGATATTCTCGGCCAGTTAAAATAATCTGGATAAAATAAACTATCAGGCCGTATCCAGGGCGATTCCGCGTCCAGAAGAGGCGATAAAAATCTTTCATCGGCCATCGGTACTTCGCAATTTTATACGGCATATTCCCAGATAGATATAAAATCTCACAATATGATTAGGAAAAATATTTTATGTGATACACAATCAATAAACTCAGTTACAGAGGTCATCATCATCATAATTTTATCTTATTCAACCATTTCAAATTATGGTGTAGTCTCCCACACATATTTACATACTCTCTTTGTAGTTTGGCCCATTGCATTGGGGGCTGTCTATTGTTGGCTATGCAACTTGGGATGTCTCACTTGGATAAAAAATGGCAAGCGACTGCCAATGACTGCGAAGGAGACTGCCATGTCGACTGATGCTAACGACTGCCAAGAAAATGTACAGGGTGGTCGAAATTGGTCTGTTTTAACAGAGAAAACCTATTTCCTGGCCATAGAAAAAAACTGACTACGCCACTGGATTGTGCTTAAAAAAGTGCCTTAAGAACGTTTTTACAGAATTTTATTATTCCGCAAAATAAAAAAGTTATGAGCAATTTTCAAAATGGTAAAAAATTCAAAAATACCCCGTATCTCAGTTGGCAGTGAAAATATCAACAGGCGGTTTACGCCATTAAAGGTGTCTCAGAAATCGAGCCCATGACATCTATATCGGTTTTGCTCCATCTAGTCAGGAAATAGGTTTTCTCTGTTAAAACAGACCAATTTCGACCACCCTGTACATGTATTTCCAACAGTGAGACACCCCTCGATCTTAGGTTTGGGCTTCTTCTAGTGTCTCCTAATTCCTCGTAGGTACTATGGTGTCTTTCCTGAAAAATGTCATTGCCACTTGAAGGATTTGAATCTGTGATTACTCCTATCCCTGTTTAAGTTTTGTTAGTTATAGTGTTAAATAGATTTTAGTGTTGTTCTTTTGTGTTAGTACACTTCGTTAGGTGAATTAGACTTTTGATTATTTACACGGAACCCAGCAAGAAAGTAACATAATAATTTTGTTTAAAAACTCTACAGGGTGTTCCTTACTGACATGCTAATATTTAAGGATGTTATTCATGAACCTATTCTAAGAAAAAAAACTTCATATGAATAAATGTCTTAAACATCTTAACTTTTCAGATGGTCAGGGTGGTAAAATTTTCTATTTTTTTTTCAAAATATCTCTGTTATTTGATACACGTGCATCAAAATGATCAAAATGCCTTATGTTAATATACAAAAAAATTATTTCCAAACAACAGTGACCACATCATATTTTCAGCGATTTGAACCTGAAATAAACTGACTTTAATTTTTTTAAGCAAAAACTATGCGTCGCGTTTGTTTTAAGTTTGTTAATGTTTAGAAATGAAATAAGATTTTAAAAATAATTTTTGTTTTAAGAAAAGTCAGTGGCGTACCACTTTTTTCTCCAAAAATATTCAATGTAAAACCCGTATGGACGGCCACTGGTTGAAATAAATAGAAAACTTTGTACACTAAAAAAAGGTATTTTGATGCATAGAAGACGTTTATTAATTTTCATAAAGATAGTTGTAATAAAATCAATGTGAAATAATAATATGATCACACACAAAGAGTTATTATAAAAAATATTTTTTATAGAAATATTTACCGCACTGTATCTCAGAAATTAAGATGTTTAGGACATACATTCATATGAAGTTTTTCTCTTATTAATTCTCTTAATTGGCCCAAAAATCATTAAGGAACACCCTGTATAATATTTGAAACATGTTTATAAAACCGTTACTTGTTTTAACAGTTCTTTAAAACTGTTTAAACCTTTGTTAAACTTGTTTGGTGTGTAGGTGTTTTTTTCAATAAAAAAATAAGAACAACCCTATCTTTCAACTATTTATAATAAAAAAAACAACCTTAATAAAAAACATAGTAATAAAAGTAATTTATTGTTTCATGATCAAAACATCATAGTTTCTAAAACTAGAACAATACAATTTTAATTAGGGTAAAAACACTGTATATAAATGAAACATCAGAAAATGTAATAAAATATTCATATGGGTCAAGTACTCATATATTCAGCTGCGTCTCTGCGGTGATTGTTATTTTATGCCAAGCTGTAAAAATATTTTTTCACAGATTTAGGTCATTTTTGCAACAGGCGTGTTTTATTTTGAAGCCAAAAGAAAAATAAAACTCTTGACTTATATACTGGAGAAAAAACACTTTACAAAAACGGTCTTGCCATAAGCGCTTTTTAATAAATTGCCCTCATATTTTTTTTCACTGTTACTCTAAAAATCAGTTTAGTTCTTGGATCCCTAAATAAACTCTTCAATAGAATAGAATAATAATAAAATAATAAAAATTCTCTAAAAATAGAGAATGTTTCTATTTTAGTTAACACTCTCTATAATAGACAAATTTATACAAATACTGTTTATTTTATTGATATTACAGTGAAATCACGTGCTTTTATAGACTGTTAAATGCCTAATAAAGATCGGAATGTCTTTTTTATGAGATAGTCGAGGACATAGTAAAAGAAACGACTATTAACAGCCAATATAACTTGACAAATTTATCTAAAAAGTGTCCGAAATACTCACTGGAGAATAACTGAAAGTCGTAAATATAAAATCAATACAAATATGTTTTTATACTTTTTTATTATACCGCATATTGGCTTGAAAATGTCGATCGATGAAATTCTTCATATAATTTTCCACATAAAATGATAGCGATCTTCATTTCATAGTTATCGCTGACGCCATTTTATATATCTATAGTGTCCTTTTTTTCTTGAGTAATAACTCATCATACGGTCTCAGCGTTTTGACAAAAGCCAGTATCTGAGACGGTTTTACAAAGGTTTTATTTCTCCATCTCCGATATCAGTCGTACCAAATTTTATGGTACAAATGGTCGCTCGGCGCACTATCCTGGTGTGTTTTCCCACAAAATCTGCATTCGCCGTTGTTTCTTAGCTCCAATCTACTGAAGTGTTCATTGAGGAAAATTTTGTTAAAAACCCCTTGACAATCCGAGGAGAAAATTCTTTGCTTTTTCTCAGTCGTACTTAAGTCCTGAGAAATTCGTTGCGTCCAAAACCGTTGGAGGGTTACCATCATTCCAGGTTACGAATGGAGTCATCTAGATTCCTGATTTCTGCTCTAAGTTGGTTTCCATTTGGGAAGTGGAACGGTTCTTGTTATTCTTGTTATTCAATTAATGGAGTGTTCTCTCCTTTTCTAGATAGATCGTTTTTATTACCTTATTTCCCTTGGTGGGCCACCAAGTGATAGAAGATAATTCTTGAACTTTCTTTTCTTTGCCTAAATTGTTCAGCTTTATCTAATGAAATAGTATAATATAAATATTTTTATCTACAACCGTTTAGTTATAACGTTTTTACATCACTATTTTTTTAGTGTTTCAGTTACGTTATGAGATTCATAATACAACTAGTGGTGTTATGAATCTTAGTTATGAATCTATAACACAACTAGTTTTTATAATAATGAGAAACAACTACGAACATCTAAATATATTAATGTTTGGAACAAATTCCTACTACTAATTATTATAAATATTAATAACACATTTTTTACACTTCTTCAAAACAATTCCTGCTGCTAATGATGATGATGATAATAGTGAAGATGTAGTGAAGGTCTATGGTGAAGGTCTAACTGAAATGTGACAAATGTCATAGTTAAAGGTGGGCGACTAATATGGACTAATAAACGAAAATTAAAACAGCATTTTCTTATTTTTCGGTTGTAGATAAAACGTTGTACATGACACGTGCGTTTAAACGTGATTACAACACTCGTGTGCTTAGAACGTTCATTTCTAATCGTTCACACTCGTTGTTGTAATCATGTTCATAAACACACTTGTACCAAAGACTTGTACTGTAAATAACTATTATAATTTGGTTAAAACTATTTTGACAGGAAACTAAATGCATGAAAATGTCAAAATATAAATGTCATCTTTTAAAACACTTTTTAGAAAAAAGGTAAACTTTATTTTAAAGCAGCGGTAAATATCTAATATATTTTTTCTAGAAACTTGTAAAATCAAATTTTAACGCTCAAAATGTTTCTTATTTTACTTTAGGATTTTTAATAAGATTTTTTTTCTTTTCAGACACTATGTTCTGAATCGGGCCCCACCCCCGACATGCAGATCTCGGAGGCCGCCGGAGGCGTACCCGCCCCCGGTGTGGAGCCCTGTCGGTTCCCAAAGCTGGAGGAATGTGCCCACTTCCATTACGAACGGGTCCAGTTGCTCCCGCTCCAGGTAGCGCTCCAAACCAACATGGACCAGTCGCTACACTCTCAGCACAGTAAGTAGGAATTCATTACAATTTCATTTACACCCAGTACTTAATACGCCGGTATCACATACAGTTCCGTATCACAAGTCCTTACCGTTTCTCCGAAATTTCGAAAAAATAATTTTATTTATTTATTTCACCCTTTCGCGGGGGTGAATTTAAAAAAATCTTTCACAATTCGTTTTTAGATCTTTCAAAGTATGTTATATCAAAAATTAACGTTTTTACCAAAACTTCGTATTTGACGGCCTATTTTCTGATAAAAACGTTGAATTCTAACATTTAAAAAAAAGACAGTGTCAGTGCATGAATAGTATTCTTGGAGTTCAGGAAGACATTGTCTATCACTTTCACATAAACATTCGATAACATTAATAACATTCATTCTAGAATTTAAACAACTGTTCTTAAATATAGTATCTATATACACCTTTGAATAAGAAGACTAAGGAAGGAGCATAATGCTATCCATGTATTCATGCATGGTGGGCGGAAAAGCCACCATAAAAGCTCTCTAGGGTGGGGATCCTTGACAGTTCTGTTTGACGATTCATTTGGCACATTTGAATTTGATTTGAAATTTTGTGGATTTGTCAGTCTTTACGGAGCTTATTTTATGTTATTTATTATTTATTCTACTACTGATAGTTGTATAAAGGTAGTAAATCTAGATGGAAATTGTGGCAGAACTTAACAGTGACACTATCGCGATTTATCGAAAAAGACTCTAAAATAGTTGGTTGTGTAGCGTGCGGTAGATCTCGGCAAAAATTGAGTGAAATAATAGAACAACTTTTCGCTAGTAAGTGACTATATAATATATATATACGTGTAGTAAACCGATCATTTATGAAATTCACTTAAATTAACTAAATTATATATTTTTCTTGCATTTTTTGCTTTTATTTATTACTTGTCAAAGATTAGATGTCAAAGAATTTAGATACGTTAATTTGACTTACCTGCTTCAGTAGCGTATCGGATGTTTGTGTTAATAAATACTTATTATAACTTATCTATTTTTATTAGAATTATATATTTTTATAACAATTTTAATAACTACCAACATTTATTCACAACGTAAAATAAAACAACAAATTATTGAGTCTACCCCACGTCTACCCTACATCATAGTTTTACATTTTTTAAATAAAATTAGAACGACACTAATAAACCGGAATTTAAGTCGGCCATATTTGAGGCCCCTCGCGGTGTACCTATGATTTTTGATATGCTCCTTCCTTAGTCTTCTTATTCAAAGATATACACAGAAAAAGTATGTAGGAAGTAGAGTTAATGACGATTGTAACTGTCAGAAAAATTTGAAAGAAAATTGGGAAAAATTAGGTAATAGTGATCAACGATCATTAAATATATTAGTATAGGTTCGAACTGTATTCCGGAAACTTCGGCTAAGGCAGAATATTCTGCAGATAAAAATAAGTAAAAAAATTCGTATAAATGTATGTCCTAAAATGCTTAGTTTCGGAGATACAGGGTGTAGAAGTTTCATTCTTATTTCGATTTTTTTTCAAATAATTTCTGAAGTAACCTTTCAAATAATTTCTCAAGTTAGTATTTGGATGAAAATTGGTGTCTGGAAGTTTTTTGACATGAGAAATTTGATTTCGATGTCAATATGAGTCCTATTTGTAGGGAGCACTAGGGAATGCAATCCCACACCAAAATCTCAATCCCGCAAACCCGCGGGATTAAAGCAATCAATCCCGCAGATCCGCAAAATTGCGGGACTGTAAACAATAGTCATACATTTGGTCCTAAACGGTACAAAAGGCATTGTCCATTTTGCATAGGGCCACAATATATTGATATAGCGTGTATCTTAAACTAGCTGTACAGAAATTTGGACCGATGTATACAGGGTGTTCAAAAAATATATTTAATATTAAATAAACTTAAGTTTTATTATAATTTATCTACTTATTTTATAAATAAAAATATTATTCTGACGTTGAAGGTTTTTTTGTGTTAGTTATCTGCTTTTAGATACACTCTATATCAATATTTTTTTGGCATATGCAGAATATACAAAGCTTTTTGTACCATTTAGGACAATACGTATGACTAAAAATGCGTATTTTTCGAAAAAAACGTCGTATTTTCCTTAAAACAAAAAAAAAATAAAAAACCGAAATTGTTTTTTCTAATTTCAATAGATATTAGTCGTACTTGGTAAAAATTTCGATTTTTTATAAATTGTAAATTTGCGGTAAAAAAGTTTCTTGACCAAATTTTCACACTCTTATAAAACACCCTGTATACGAGAATTCGCTAAATATATTTTCGAAAACCACATAGCATCTTAATCATAATAGATGCATCTAAAACCCGGTCCAAACCGCATCCCAAAATCTTTTTTAGTTCAAGAGATATTCAACTTTAAATTTACCCTAAAATTTTGCTGGTCCCGATAATTATGTCCGGCAGTTTATTTGACGAAATTGTCCACAAGTACTAGTTAAACGCTTTTCTTCACTTACGCACATACGCCAGAAAGAAATCTAATAACTAACCTACTGTGCTAACCTGTTTGTTTCACTTATTTTTAATGGCCGTAATAAGCCGTAAGGGGAATCCCCCGGGTTCCGAGCGTCGACGCATCGGCCCGAAACGAAGCGGTTTAACCTTGATCGAGATCGATATTTCGGTTAGTAATGTGTTGATCCCGCACGGTAAATCCCGCAACTTTGATCCCGCGAAATCTCAGAGGGATCCCGCATTTGCGGGATTGCATTCCCTAGGGGGCACCATTACATGTTCTCCATGTAATGGTGCCTTGTTCTACACGCCACCACATGTGTTTTAACTGTTTTGAAGAGTAATAACTTTTCGTCCGTACCTGTATAAAACTACTGGATGAAAAAATATACATTTCCATGATTTTTTACTTAAAAAATGTCTCTTGGTAAAAATCGCTACGAGCAACCGTTTTCAAGATATTTAGAATGGAAGCAATCAATACCTGTGACAAAAATTTGACAAAAAATAAACATGCGGAGATATTAGTTATTTGACTGAAATGATAAATTTGCGAACTTTTTATTTTTTTAAATTCGAAATTTAAAAAAGATGATAAAACAGTTTCTGTTGTACTTTTGACACAAAATCATTTCAAATTTATGATTTCAGTCTAATAACTATTTGGTTAACATGTTTAATTTATGTCAGTGATGACAGGTATTGATAATTTCGGTTCCAAATATCTCGAGAACCATTATTTATAGTGATTTTTACCAAGAGACTTTTTTACGTAGAAAACGTCGTAAACGTATATTTTTTACTCAGTAGTTTAATACAGGTATGGACAAAAAGTTATTATTCTTCAAACGAGTTAAAAATATGTAGTTGGCGCCTCCTACAAACTGGAGTCTTATTGACATCAAAATCAAATTTCTCGTGTAAAAAAACTCCCAGACACCAATAATTTTCATCCAAATATTGGGGTTATTTTAGAAATTATTTGGAAAAAAATCTAAATAAAAATGAAACTTCTACACCTTGTATCTCCAAAACTAAGCATTTTAGGACATACATTTATACGAACTTTGTTACTTATTTTTACCTACACAATATATTGCTGAAGTTTCCGAAATAACTGTTCGAACTACCCTGTATTATTTAAATACTTACATTACTATTGTTATTCTGTCACTAACTTTTCCAAACCTATTTAGATGTATTTGTTTTTCTAGCTAACGAAGATGATACTGAGTGGTTTATGGTACAAGTGACGTCTGCGGAAGAATGTTGGCTGGTCCAACGAAACTTTGAGAACTTCCGCATGCTCGACCAACAACTCCACCAGTGCATCTTCGATAGAAAAATATCCCAGCTGGAAGATTTGGAAGATGTGTCTTCGAACGAAGAAGATCTTGAGGTAAATAGATGTTGCAAAAGTTTCAATATAAACTTGAAAGATGTTCTTAACATTTTCTGGGCAACGTTTTCCAGTAATTTCTATTATTACGTCGGGGTTTTCCATAGCGTTGAAGAGATTCGATTCGCGCGCAATTCGAATCTTGCTTTAGTTTTTGTTCCCCGAAAGATGTCGCCACGCTCTTGCTCAATATAATGGATATAGTTTAAAAACTTTGGAAACGTAAATGAAAATAACAAACAGTTGAATATTAAATATATATGTACACGGTCAAAAGGTTGAGGCGATTTAGTACTTTTTGGTAAAATAGGAGCCATAATATGAACGTATAAGAAGCGAAATTGAACTGATGATTACAGATAGATTTATTGTGAGATCAGGTAGTGTGGAGTAGGGAAACTATTCTAAATAAGTAGTAATGCTATCTCTTACTGTTTTTACCTCTGAAGTTATTTTGAAGTTTCTATAATGTTTATTAGCTATTATTGAAGTTTAAATATGCTATTTTAATATTTAGTATAAATTGCTAAATCTATTAGTTATATTTTTTTGTGTTATGTTTTTATAGGCATTAGTATCTTTAATTGAAAATGTTCATTTTTTTGTCTAATTTAGTAAAGTTGGTTTCGAGGCTGGTTGATGTAATTTTTAAGCTATTTATGTATTTTCTTCTTTTTTTTTCGTTTGTGTTAATGTTTACTTTCTCATGACTTAATAATTATATTGTTTTCATTTGAAACTCAATTTTTTATCGGTTTTACTTTTGCGAACCATCCCTTGCTTGTTAATTGACGAACTCCACAATCGTCGAACGAAAATACTTTATTACGGTTCTGGAAACTCTGATTAATACTACCTATTAGGGTTCAGATCTTTTTGGCCATCACAGTCAGGGCCGTTCGTAGGCGCAACATTTTGGGGGCGCAAAATCAAAGTGTCAATCAGTACTTTGTAACAAAAAACCGATACGCTTTCTTGTTAATAAACAAATACTTAAACATACATCATAGGATAAAGTTTGTTTAGCATCTTTTTTGCGTTGGCCGCACCGAATAAACAAGTCTAGGGCAATCTGTCGGCAACACATTGATCTCATCTATTTATTTTTCATTTTACGGAAAGCACTGTTCATTAAAATGTTGTATCCTATGTCATAGGACTTGTTTCTCTCTACAATTTCCTGTCTCACAATGTACCGTTTGTGTCGGGGAAGGAATCATAGTTTCATAGTTGTCGATTTTCGAAAGAAATCAGTACATGTATATTATTTCGTATATTTTTCATTTTATTGATTTTATGGAAAGCACTGTTTATTAAAATGTTGTATCCTATGTTATAGGGCTTGTTTCTCTCTACAATTTTCTGTCTCACAATATACCGTTTGTGTCGGGGAAGAGATCATAGTTTCATAGTTGTCGATTTTTTGAAAGAAATCAGTACATGTATATTATTTCCGATTTTGAGTTTATTGTTTTTATGTATTTCATATAAAATGGGTCAGTTTTTTTCTTTAGGGTACTATTTTTGTTACTAAATATTTTTGTGGTTTTGTTTGTTTTCTTTATTTAATAAATGTTTTTATACTTTAATTAGAATAGTTTTTTTACATTTCCAATTACATATTGCTCGTTTGTCGCAGAATATACATTCTTTAAATTTTTGAGATTAAGATTAAAATATATAATTGATTTAAATATAAAAAAGGCGCACCAAAGAATGCTACACGTAGGCGCCAGATACCCCAGGAACGGGCCTGATCACAGTACCGGGCCTCGGTAGCAATAATTAAAAAATTATCCTTTGATGTAGCGGTCGAAATCAAACACTTCTATATAAGTAATGATGCTATTTCTTATTGTTCTTGCTTCCTTTCGCTTTTGAAGTTCCTATAATATTTATTATGTTATGTTTTAATAGATATTTACATTTTTAATTCAATATTTTAGGGATTTTGTTTCAAATTTAGTTAAGTTGGTTTATGTTGTTTGATGTGAATAAGTTACCTATACTTTTTTCTTTACTTCTGTTCATGTTAATTTTTTCATGACTGATTACTTAATAATTTGATATTATTTTCACTAAAAATCTCAATTTTTGATCCATTTTATTTTGAGAAACCATCCCTAGCTTTTTGATTGATGAACTGCACCACCATTGAACAAATATTAGTTAGTACCAAAAAAAAAACGGGAAATCCCGGTTCCTAAGAGGCGCAGTACGGAAATTCCCGGTTCCGAAAAACAGCTCTGGTTCCGGAAACCCTAGTGTGGAGGTAATTCCAGTTTCGTTGGCCCAGCCAGCGTTAGGTCAATCAAGTTGGATGTACGTAGGTCGTCTAATCAACATACTTTTATCAAAGATTTTTCTTCATTTAAGTAGGAACAATCTTCGGATTGTCATGGGGTTTTTAACAAGGCACTCCTCAACAGCAAACTCAGTAGATTAAAGCTAAGAAACAACGGCGGATGCAGATTCTGTGGGGAAATTGGTGAAACACCAGAACACCTTAAAGCGGAACTCAAGAACCTGGAAGACCCCATCCGTAACCTGGAATGGAATACCGTAACCGGCTTGAAGACCTTATGACCGAAAAAAATTAAATATTTTTCCTGATTTACGTAAGAACAATCCTCGGATTGTCGCGAGTTTTTTAACAGGACACTTAAATGAACACCTCAGTGGATTGAAGCTAAGAAATAGATTTTATGGGGAAAATGGGTAATATCAGGACACCTCACCACTGAGTGCGCCAAGACGATATCCATTCGTGCCATAAACTTTGGTACGACTGATATCGGAAATGGAGAACTAACCTCTGTAAAACCGTCTCAGATACTGGCTTTTGTAAAAGACCTGAGACTGTATGAAGAGTTATCACAAGAAAAAGAAAAACAATAGATCTGTAAGGTCGCGTTGATTAACCTCTTCCCTTCCATACAAGCTGCAACATTCTTTTTTAATACTCTCTAAGCCAAAGTACTTGGAATGGGTGTCCTCCAACGGTCTAAGACACTCGAAAAAGTTCCTTAGAACTTATGACCGAGAAAAATCAAAGGTTTTCCTTGATTTAAGTAAAAACAATCTTCGGATTGTCACGGGGTTTCTAACAAGACACTGTCTCCTCAACGAACACCTCAGTAGGCTGAAACTGAGAAACAACGGAGAATGCAGATTTTGTGGGGAAAATGGGGAAACACCAGAACACCTTATCACTAAGTGCGCCGAGACGACGACCATTCGTGCCATGAACCTTGGTACGTCTGATGTCGAGGATGTAGAGCTGGCCTCTGTGGAGCCGTCTCAGATACTGGCTTTTCTTAAAGCCCTGAGACTGTATGATGAGTTATAACTCGTTATAACTCAAGAAAGGGGAACACACAATAGATCTATAATGTCGCGGTGATTAACTCCCCTCCTAAACATTCTACATTCTACAAGCCAAAGTATCAATAATAATTTTTGAACGGTAGCTTAATCCATTATTCTAATCAAATGGCGTAACTTAATTACGCTAAAAGGCCGAAATCTAGTTCAGGTCGAAAGGAAAAGGCAAATTTCCTGTCGATTCCATTAAATCGCGACACCGATATTCGAATCGACTTGACGCGGCCGATCGCGCTCATATTTCGCTAGCGTCGGGATCAATTTAATTGGATCGCGTCGACAGCGATTCGCTCTAAAAATACGTTTTTACGGGCACCGGCTGTTCCATCCCGACCCGTCCAGAAATCGCATGAAATCAGTGGCGCCCCCTCAATAAGACTTTATTCATAACCTCGAAATTAGTATAATCAGTTATACTTTTTTGAATGCGCGTCCGTGCGTTTTTTTGATCGTACGTGCACGAACGTGCACGCAACAAAAAACAAACAAATGCTATCTACGCAGGCGGTTACATTGCATCGGAGTTTGCGCGTCCGTGCACGTACATCTATTTTCGTTGGTCGGATGAGAACAAACTGGTTTGTTTTTTTAATACGTGCACGTCCGAGCGTTCGAATTTTTCTTCTCTGATCCCAATACATTCCTGAAAAATTTGAATATTTTTGAATACCAGGTTTAATTTTATTTGGGATATATAAATGTTGATGGAGAAATTCTAAAATATTTTAAAAATTTAACGGTTGCTGTCTTAATTCACGAAATGTTTTACATATTCATTTTATTCTCCTCTTCTTGCATATAAATCATTTACCGAACATTTTCTTCTTTTCATGAGTAGTTATTTTAACATTATATCCTCACACAGCATCAAACTAGTGGCGCTTATTTTGACAAACTCGACACTCAGGACACCATGAACGCGCACATCTAATGTAACCACTATAATAAAATAGTCGTGCGAGTAAATTCCGTCAGAGCTCGCACGTATAAAAAAACGGTCGCACGGACCCGCGTCCAATGTAACCGCGGGCTAGCCCGGTCCTGTCGTGCTAAGCAACACCCAAAATTTCAAACACACTTGCTTTGATTAAGGCTTGATTAAGGTTTGCAGAGCTTCAGCATTTGCCATAAAATTGCGAGCAATTTGTTACAAAACCATATAAATTATATATCACTGTAATCACAAAACTTCAATCTATTTCCGTATTGTAACCGAATTTTAAATTATGTCTTTATTTTCGAGAAAATTTAGTCCAAACATAAGGAATATTTTGTTGATGTTTGACCATCAAAATCTTAAAAATAAAGAAGTTGTCTAAAAATGTGCTACAACACGGATATAGTATAATCCTTTATCTTTAATTTCCTTCTTCATTTGTGATAAAAATGCCTAGCCAGTTTTACATAAAACGGTAAATGCCGAACGCTTATTTTGCTACTTTTTCGGACTAGGTGAAATGGACCCTTAAAAATTTAGGATCATTCACAATGTAAGAAAATTCAATTAAAATTAACAGAATGTCTTAGTTGGAAATCCCAATACTTACTTCTTGTTGGTTTGTAAGATGAAAATGAAGCATCAGTTCGGTTCTTAAATTTGACAAGAATTTTACTAGTTTCAAAAATCTTAAATAGAGTTCATACGCATCTGCGTCTGTGCGTCGTTCGTTCCGTTCATCGTTCTCTTTTTCCGTCGCTCCATCACACATTGTTGAAATAAACCAACAAAACTGGTTAAAAACAACAAGATACAACGCATGACGAATTTTTATATTTAGTGGGTGGACCATAAAAGACCACTATAACGAATAAACAGTTTTTATTAGTTCATTTACTGGAATAATGAAAAACAAATTATTAATTAACACTTTGTTTTATTGTGTAACATACACATTACTTTTTTTAGTCTATATGTAATCACTATTTATTAAACTTAACTTTTATTAAGCTCTTCCAAACGGCCTTGCAAGGAACATGGCTCCATACAAAGCCAATATTATAAATCAGTCATTCAACTTAAAACTAGAGTTGTAATAATCAAAATATCCGCTTTTGCTAAAACTACATAAAAAGCATATTATAATTTGTTAATTTAACATATTATGATCTTTAAAAAACTCAACGAATATTCCTTGAACACAATCGTATAACTAAGAATATATTAATGGAAATTATTTTAAAATTATAGTATTGTGTATGTAATCGATAACTCATGAGTATTATATCGATAACTCATAAGTTTTCAATGCGTTTTAGAATGAAATTAAAAAATACCCATAATGGCGTTCTTATGGGTTTGTTCTCTGTAAGGCCAAAACGTTTTTTAGCTAAAAAGTTGAATAACCCGAACGTTAAAATTATTATTTATAACGTAACATTATAAACATAAAACATTGTTTCAACTTTCCCGGTACGTATTTATAACTAAAAACTAAGTGTTCATATTTCGTATTTATAACTATATCTAAGTCTTTGATTTGTAAATGTTCCTATTAAGGCCCATGTGCTCTAGCAAGGCCAACCGTCAAATTTTTGATTGGCCTTATTAGGAACCACCGGCTTTCATAGGAATACTACCGATATTTTAACTGAAATCAAAGCAAAAATATATTTTTTTCTTTAGTACCATAACAAATTCTTATATGACAATTAACTGTAAATAAAGATAATAATAGGTTATTTACATAAAACTTACCTTTTCCTGTGCGCGCGAATTTCAATTTTAACATCGAGGACCGAAGTCTACGAAGCAAGGGACAGCACTAACAAAATAGCGACGCGAGCGACTCGCCGCCGCGCCTGTGTCTTTAGGTCTGTTCGTTTTCTTGTTATTATCGATTCTGAATCGTCCTAGAACTATCCAGCGCATGCGCAAATGAAATAATGTCTTCATATTTCCTGCTGCGCATACGCATCACAATTCTAGGACGGTTCAGAATCGGTAATAACAGGAAAACGAAAAAAGCTTTTGACTATAATGGAGCTTAGTGTGAGTGGAAGGGAATTTGTCATCACGACAATAACTATGGCCGCTATGACTTTTTTATAGTTGGCCTTCAAAGGAGCATGGCCTTTCTATGGTCCACCCACCTTATTTATCTCGGATTCTGTGTGTTCCATACACACCTCCAATCTTTCATAAATATATAAACATCACAACATTTTTTTTTGACCACCTACTTGCCGCCATTCTTTGACTTGAACGCTTGGTTAAATCGTGTTATACAATAGTCAACTGAGACACGAATCAACTCATATGATTTGTTGAGTTTAGACAGTTATTACATTCAAAATTTAATAGACGGATTTTTTAGTTTTTTAATAAAAGCTTATTTAATTTGCACTTTGACAAATCTTTTTTGGGCGTGGTCACGGAACAAAATGTTTTCGAAAAAACATTTTGCACCTCCAAAGTATTGTACCACGCGCCGTCACTGCATGGAATATCGACGACGCCAATCCAGAGCAAGTCAGCATTCCTTGAATTTTGACGTCTGGTACTGATCAGATTACTGCACCTATTTATTTAATACGGGCATGGGAATATACCGGGCGCGTCTCAAAAGTGGCTCACCCCTATAACTTTTTTATTTTTTCAGATAAAAAAACGAGATTTGGTATGTTAGTATATGACATAAATTAGAATTGATTGACGTTTTCAATTGTTTTCGGTCACTTCCTGTTTCACCGGAAATGACTACAACTTTTGATTTTTAAATGGCACCCTCGGCATTTTTTTACTTTATTCGATAAAAAGTAACATTCTGAATAGAATGCCATATCACATGTCAACTTTTGATATTTTCGCTTAAAACAAAATTGTATTTTAAATTTCAATCTTGAGGGCCATGGCCCATGGCAGTGTTAAAAATACTAATTTTTAATCGAGGAGCCTTGGAAAATAGATTTGATCTTCTAATGTTTTTAGTGTCTTATCCTGGCCGGTTAAAAGATGCCCAAATCGTATTTTTAATCATATCTCAATTTTTTCAAATGGAACGAGGGTGGCTCATTAGTATATTTGAAAAAAGCATAATTTGATACCACACACTTGGTGTTTCCAGTCAACTTGTTATGAATCGCGTGTTGCAATTTCAAATAAACCATATGCAAAAATATCAAAAGTTGACATATGATATGTCATTCTATTCCGAGTGTCATTTTCTATCGAATAAAGTAACAACATACCGAGGTTGTCATTTAGAAATCAAAAGTTGTCGTTTCCGGCAAAACCGCAAGTGACCGAAAACAATTGAATACGTCAATCAATCCCAATTTATGTCATATATTAACATACCAAATATCGTTTTTTTATCTGAAAAAATAAAAAAGTTATAGGGTGAGCCACTTTTGAGACGCATCCTGTATAAAAGATATTACTAACCATATACATTGATTTTTTTACCTAACATATACAAGCAAAATGTAAAAAACTTTGAATTTCATGACCAAAAAAAACTTGCATATCTAATAATGTAAACATAATGAAAATTTAATTTTATGCAATAAAATACATCAACAAATAACGGTGTTTATTTTGAAATATATATATATATTATTGTATGTGTCTTTTTTAATCATATAATTTATTTTGAATGTGAAAGTTTGTATTCGTCTGATTTATGTGTACCTATATAATTCTTTAAGCTAACAGGATTTTTTTTTAGTAAATTATAAATGGGAGCTTTTCAATTAAAGTATTTTTTTAATTGTAATAAATCTTAGTAAATGCTAATAAGGTGACTGACCCTATACATTAAAGATACTTATAAATATTCAAGTATTTAAATTATCTTATAAAAATTAGCTGACAAAAAATTCACTGTTAAAAACCAGAAATTATCAAAACCAAGGTTTATATTAATAATATTAACGTTGGTTAGGAATAAGAATAAATATTGATAATAAAGCATGGGACATGGAAACCATACACATTTTTAAAATTTTTTAAAAAATGTGTAGTTTTCTTTACTTGTAAAGAAAAAAGCCTAATAGTTAATAACTAATTATACCGTGCTGGCAACTGTTACTTTTGGGTCGGCATTTACAAGTGTGGAAGTAAATCGCATAGGGATCTTATTAAGTCGGAGTGAGAGAAATGCGACCGACCGACGAGACGCGCGACGGTGTGCTGTTGCGGCGTTGCCGATACGCCTTTCCCTATCAAGTAAAGTAAAATCACGATCGCAAACCGCTTATTTTTAAAAGACTTTTTTTTTCAAGAGATAGCTAGATATAATCATTAGACATGTTTCTGAGCATCTGAAATGGAATTATAAGAATATCGTGAGGGTGTCATTTTTTTTATAACGAGAAAACGTCAGTAATCGCAATAATTTAAAAACTCAACTTTTTAACACATAACAGGCCGTAACTCAAGAACCACTTTAAATATTGAAACTTTTTTTTATTTTCAAGATCGGATATTTTACAATATGTTTACATAAGAAAAATTCGATAATGTTGTTTTTTCCATTCAAAAATTGTAAACAATCCATGCATTTACTTTTAGAGCATAGCAATTTTCAGCAATCGTGTAATTTTTTTATTGATAAAGATTTTCACATACTGTCTACAAAGAAAATACAGCAGAAATATTAACTAAGTTCTTGAAAAAACTACAATCTATTATTTTTAATAGATTCCGAGATATCGATTTTTCAATAGAGTTCTAATAGCGCGACCACTATCGAACACCCACCCAATTCCACTTTTTTTTACCAAAAATGCAAGTGTTTCTAGCTTGCACTTAAAAAAATTTAAGCTATAGGGAAAATTATAACGACTCGTTAATAAATAAACAAATTAAGTATCACAAGACGTAATTAAATCGTGAAGCGTTCATGACGTACATCTTTCCCTAGAACTTTAAGTACTGACAAAGGTATTGATTGGGTCGCCCGGTCAACTGCGACAAATCTGCTATAGAGTACAATGCGTTTATGCTTCCACGTCTCTTAGCGATGTGCACAGTTTCTCGGTTTATTTCATACGTTTGGCAACGTGTTTACTGTCCTCTCTTTGTTCAGTACATTATAAACGCATTGTACTCTTCTTACATACGGAAATCTCGACCCAAGATTAACCTTTGCCAGCCCTTAGTATAACTAATTTAGGTATTTTAAATATTTTCAGCAAATATTGGCCATGTATCTGGAACGGCTAAGTCAAATAGCAGACAATTCGGTGAACTGCGGTCCAGTTCTGAACTGGCTTCAGATGGACAATAAGGGACATCGGCTGTTAGTACCTAGCGAAGAAAGTCGCAGCATCAACACTCCCGCAGTAGCTGCAGCTTACAGCGTTCGAAGATACGTCTCTCAGGTAATTATTAGTAACTATGGCCATTCGACCTTTCCTGTATTTTTTAGAATAATTAAAGATCGTTGTTTTTTAGAAGATTTTATTCAATTTTTTGTCCTTTGTTTTAGGCAAGGGACGAGTTAAATTTGGAAGTGGGTGACATGATATCCGTCATTGACATGGCCAGCCCCGGAGAATCGATGTGGTGGAGGGGCAAGAGGGGATTTCAGGTGGGTTTTTTCCCGCAACACTGCGTGCACATCATCGGAGATAAGGTGCCGAGAAATATGCCTCTCCCACCTCCAGTTGTCGGGTATGTCAAAGAAATGTCAGGAATACAATGTCCTACAATACTCTTTCAGAATCTAGAATCATTGTGATGCAAATATACGGTAATCGCAAAACATTTTCCGATGCACGTCATCAATCATCGAAATTGACACTAAAACCTATAAATCTGACTAAATGAAATTTTGGCAAAAATGTTTAAATTTGTTGTATAATTTAAGATACCGAGCAGTTCTTCATTTTACTTTATAGAGCAAGTGCTTGTAACAGATATTTTATTTAGATTAAATATGCAAAAATTAGTTTAAAGCGGTTTTTATTATTGCCAAGTTAGTTACATTGCGCCGCGATCGACAACGTTGTCCTTTATTATTTGACAATTATCATGTCAGTCATTCTTTCGTATATCATTGTGTTGTTGTTGAAACCTTGGGAATAATTCTCGTTTTTTGTCTATTTTTGTAGTCTTTTTTTTAATTGTACTTTTAAGCATAAACAGTTCTTTTAAGAACTAAATTTTCGAGTTTTTGCATTTCTTGAAATTGTGTGTTAAAAATATGCCGAAGCGTTTAAACAATCGAAGCAAAAAGCTTGTAGATTTCCTGATAAACTATTTTGAACTAGAACGTGACAATAAAGGTCCTTTATTATCCTTCACTGCTGTCAGAGAATTAAGTTTGATTGGTAAGCATGTTATACCACTTTTAAAGTTATTTCTACTTATTTCGATTTGTAGCGATTAGTTGCTGCCTTAAATTTAAATATTTCCACTGAATGTTAGTGACTACTGTTAATAAATACATCAATTACTAAAATAGTAATTATTAAATTAAAAATAAAACGTACAAATCTTTAAAAAAAAGATATAATAAATATATAGTTTCTCAATTTTACATTAAGATTCATCTCATAAATACATCACAATCTGGCAGCGTTGTCGCCATCGCTTGTCACTCAAAGTTGATCACGTGCATCGGAAATTGTTTTGCGATTACTTTATATAATTTTGTTAACCTTAAAGACAATGTCAGTCCCAGAAGATATTTTATTTCGCTAGTATATTCTTATTTTTCTGCGCAGATCGTTGGCGCTGACCACAGTCAAACCGGTTCTGCGCAGGCACGGCAAGTTGGTGACCTTTTTCCGCGGCTTCCTATTGAACAGGCCGTCGCGGCGTCGCCTCAAGCAGAGCGGCATCCTCAGAGAGCGGGTGTTCGGCTGCGACTTGGGCGAGCACCTGCTGAACTCGGGCAAGGCCGTACCCACCGTGCTCAAGAGCTGCGCGGAGTTCATCGAGGCCAAAGGCATCGTCGACGGCATTTACAGGTGGGTTTGGTTTTATATCGAAACATTTCGTTGGTGATTGCTAAATGTTGGTTTTTGTGAACAGTGATAAAAAGTACTTGTATAATTTATAAAGATATAATTGAATACAAAGCGGGGAATTACTAGATTTAAATTTCAGTGAAGAATATGGTTACTTTAAAATATTATAGGTATAATCTGTAAAAATATGTATACCGGGTGTTGGGTTGGTTGGCTCAAAAGTGCTTCACCACTATACTTTTTTTTTAAAAATACAAAAACAATATTTTAAATAGTTTTTTCCGACTTCCGGACGACGGAAAGAGACATACTTCCAGAAACGTTAAGTATTTTTTGTCCGTTAGGCAAAGTTTTTTTATTAGTAAACCACTGCTGACAATTAGTCTCCATTGAATTAACGCCCAGCAGTGTTTACAAAAAATAACTATTTAGGATTTTTTGGACACATTATTCATAAAAAAAATTCTTCCGAATATGTTCATGAGGCACTCTCGTTCCGTTTGAAAACATTGAGATATGATTAAAAATACGATTTGGGCATCTTTTAGGATAAGACACGAAAAAATTAGAAGATCAAATCTATTTTTCCAAGGCTTCTTGATTAAAAATTAGTTGTTTTAATATAGCCATGGCACTCTAGATTTAAATTTAAAATACGATTTTTTTAAGCAAGAATGTCAAAAGTTGACATGTGATATGTCATTCTATTCAGAAGGTTATTTTTATTGAATAAAGTTAAAATAGTACCGAGAGTGCCACTTAAAGATCAAAAGTTGTAAGTAGTAATTTCCGGTACAACAGGAAGTGTCCGTAAACAATTGAATACGTCAATCAATCCCGATTTTTGTCATTACTAACTTACCAAATCTCGTTTATTTATCTGAAAAAAAAAATTAAAAAAACATGTTATTGAGCTACTTTTGGAAGACACCCGGAATATATCATGATTACGATTATATTGAATCTGAATTATAACTGAACAAAACGCTATGACCTTTATGGCTTTATGGCTACTTTTATGATGTTAATATAATTTTTAAAAATAGCTCAGATATAATTATTGATGTAGTTATTTAAATCATTTTCAAAGTAGTTCTTATTTAAGCTAATCTGAAATTAAATAAAATAAATGTATCACTTTATTGCAGAGGTGTAATAAGTTTATTCAATGAAGACGTATTTGCTGTGATGATTCACGCAACAGTAGAGTAATATAAGAGAAATCCCACCTAATTTTCATGTAATAAATAAAGTTGCATTAATTACAGGAATTTCTTGTTTTACACGGTATATACGTAGTGTCGTTTATACGTGGTTGCACGTTTGACCAGGGGCGGACACAGAAATTTTAGGGGGGGGGCGAATAAAAAATAATGTAGAATATGCTTTTAGAGTGCTATTTACCCATTATTAACCCAAAAGTCGAATATTTAACCCAATCTATAGATTTTAGGGGGGCCCGGGGCCCTATGAGCCCCCCCTCTGTATCCGCCACTGCGTTTGACAACTATTCAAGATCGCTTTAATGTAAGTCAAGAACACAAGTGTAAGCCAAGAACGCTTTTTACTAATTTTTAGAAAATATATAAATTCGTTAACAAATTATAATAGAAAAAAACTTAATTCTGATAGCAGAACTCATAAAAAACATGATACTTAATCACTAAAACCTACTATACTCTGTTTTACGACTCAGGTAAGTAAAAGTTCGACAGACGATGACAGAAAATAGGCAGATGACGTCCATACCAATCCATTTATTTTATTAAAAAAATATGTTAGTATTTTTTAAGTTAACTATGGATGGATTTATATATAAACCTGTCATGCGTCGTGTCTTGTTGTTTTTAACCAGTCTTATTGGTTTATTTAAAAAAATGACAGATCATATTTCCACATGATTTGAGTGACGGAACGATGAACGACGCACGCAAGCAGATGTCTATGAACTCGACTTAAGAATTTTGAGACTTGTCAAACTCTTACCAAATTATAGGTTATAATTGTTGTGTCAAATTATGTCAAATAATGTTGTAAATATTTGCCAATTGCTTTTGCATTTTGGTTGGTGTTATTACATGCGTTTCGTGTTTCTAAAGTTAAGTTGAGAAAAAATCGAGGGAAAATTAACTGTAGACCCAGAGCATACTTTATATTCGGTGCCCAGAAAGTTGTACTCAAAGTACAAATTTAATAAATTAATTTAGGTTTCAACATAGACATGTATAAAAGATAGAGGTAACCATCTACATTAATTGGTTTTGACCCAATATACATATAAAAGCAAAATGTAAATAATTCGTGTCTTTAGCTACAGTTTGATTTGGCCATCAGGCTTTACATAATTCCTTTGATGTTTGCAAGTCGGTATACACTGATTCATATACTGAGATTGATGTTTGAATATGATATATAGGTTCTCAAAAATGTGATAAAAATGTGAAAATAATAACGGTGTGTTTTTACTTGTTTAATTTTTCATAAAGAATATTTCGTCCTATTGCTGCCAAAAGTCACTAACTAACATTTTTCCGAACAACCAAATTCAATCACTAACTATGTTTTGAATCGGAGAATCGATTGCAAAAGTCATTAACTACGATTTCTGGCTATTTATGTTTTATTTTAATACCGAATAGTTACTAATATCTGACAAACGAATCTAAAACAGCGGAAGGAATTCGGGCAAAAAAAGTCGATGTTGTCACGTTGAATTATAGAAAAGCAAAGTTGCTCGATATTACCTATAAATTGAATATATTTTAGTTCATTTCAGCATACATATATATGCTAATATGTTGACGTAGTTCTTATTGTAATAATGTATATTTATCTAATTAACAGTTTTCGTTCATTTTGCCTATTATAAAAGGTAAAGTATTTCCTTAAGATAGTGTCCGCTTAGGGTAAGCTGGCAACGCTGACAAAATTCATCATGGCATCCCGGATTCAACCAGTCTGATTGGTCGAGATTCTCGCACGTCTTTCCGCCATTACCCCCAACTTTATGCCCCTCTCTAGGAATAGTAGAAACCATAGACTTAAAATAAAATATAGACTGAGCATCTCATTCATAAATAGCTGGAACATGCGGTCAGACAATGTCTTGTTATTGTTGTGTTATTGTTTTAGGTTATAACGAGTGCGACACGAGCGATAGATAGGTTGTCTCTGTCGTAACGGTCGTTCCCTGACGACTCTGCCGAGAAACACAACACTGTCTTTCATTTCTCAAGTACACCTGAACTCTCCGTATCATAGCCGGGTAATTTTTTTTATTTTAATGAAGATATAATTAAATTAAAAATATATCGTATTTAAACTTTTTTATTTATTTTTATTAAGATGTATAACAGGTTTTTTGAATAAAAGTTTAGAAAAAACGTCTTAGAGTCCAAAAAGGATAAAAATAATAAAATACACGTTATAGAAGAAATTTTATAATCGAAATTACGTAATTTTTGAAATTAATAATAAATTATTAATTTTAGTCAAACATTTACAACCCCTAATATTAATCAAAACAGGATCTATTCCACAGATATACTAGAATCGGCGACAGGTATATTTCTACTTTATTCTATAGAAAATGACACTCTGAATAGAATGACATATCATATGTCAACTTTTGACATTTTCGCATATGGTTTAATTGTAATTGTAACACGCGGTTCATAACGACAATTTGACTCGAAATACCAAGTGTGTGGTATCAATATATTCATAAAAAATGCTTTTTCCAAATATGCTAATGAGTCACCCTTGTTCCATTTGAAAAAATTGACATATGTATGATTAAAAATACGATTTGTACATCTTTTAACCGGCCTAGACAAGACACGAAACCCATTAGACGATCAAAACTATTTTTCCAAGGCTCCTTGATTAAAAATAGTGTTTTTAATAACACCATGGCACCCTGGATTGAAATATAAAATACGATTTGTTTTTAAGCGACAATGTCAAAAGTTGACATATGATATGTCATTCTATTCAGAGTCATTTTTTATCGATACTTACTCGATGGTGCCTTTAAAAATCAAAAGATGTAATCATTTCGGTGAAACAGGAAGAGACCAAAAACAATTGAATACGTCAATAAATCCTAATTTATGTCATATACCTACTAACATACAAATCTGTTTTTTTTTTATCTGAAAAAATAAAAAAGTTATAGGGGTGAGCCACTTTTGAGACGACCCGGTATATTAAAAAATATTGTTTCATAATGTAATATCATTTTAAAATTCTTGTATGTTATTTTAGATTCTGAAGATAATTTTAGAATAAACCGGAATATATTTTTAATAAAAACATTATTAATTATTAACAGGGTTATAATTATGATTTTGTTACAATGTAAGTAAGTAAATAATGTAATGTAAGAGAAAAAATTCAGATTTTACATTTTACTAAAATATTATCTAAATAAGCGCCTTTCTACAACAACGCCACTGACTCCCAATGGGTAAATTGAGAGTTGCCTACCGGTCAAAAGTCGTTTCAAGACTTAAATGGATTATTTAAGTCAAATTTCTTGCAAATTTGGCACTGGCGAACCATATTTTATAGTTCTTGAACAGAAAAAGTCAATAAAATAAACACTTAAGCACTACAAGCTAAGAAAATGCGTTAATACAGCCGGGGAGATAGCGGCAACAAAGCTTTACCGCACACGTGCGACACGTACTACAAGGTAATAAATGAATGAATAGGCTCCCTCGCCTCTAATCGGTGTTGTCATATTGTAAAGAACTTATCCTTTTTAAACAGTATCCGACTTATAATTTAGTAGTATAAGGACTATTTAATACATCTCTGGAATATTAAAACCTACTTTATTAAACTGTAGTATTAATATCTCAATATATGTGTATAACAAGAAAAAAAATATTGATAATATTAAAGACGTGACAACATAGGCTGGCTGAGGAAGGCTCGGTCGACTGTACCCAGAAGTAAACATGTGTACAAAAAAGATTGTTCGACCGCGTTGAGATGTAAATAGTGTAGTCTATATTTTATTTTAAGTCTATGGTAGAAACAGTCACTACTATTGAAAAATCCAGTGGCGGGGTTATTGTATTGTGTTTTATATCTTTAACTTGATTTGTGTTCATTGTAATTAGTACACGCGTTTTATCAAATATTACTATATTTGGCAAATGACTAAACAAAATGTAGGTACATTTAAAGTAAAATAATATTATAAACTTTACTGGAAAATATTATAAAAATTCCTGATATATTTTTATGAAACACCGCACGCTCGTGGATATTTTGTGAATGAAATCGGTCATGATTTTAGAAAATTGCGATCCCCTCACCGTTGCCCCGTTGTTTCAGATCCGTTTGTCAGACTGTAACTATAACATCTTTATGCAATGCAATTCTTCTTTAGACGCATTTTTCTCGGAAGTAATAAAAAGTAAGTTAGTGACTTTTGGCAGCAATGGGACGATTTATAACATTGAAGTTACTTTATAGTTGTCAAATCTTTAATCTTAATATGACATAAAAAATGTCTATACCTCTATGGCGGATTTCATCTCTTCTAAAAAGTCCTATGGGTATTCCCGAGGGGTGTCTCACTCGGGTAAAAAATGTACACGTACTGCTAAAATATCCTTCCACTGCTAAGCGACTGCCAATGACTATGAAGAAGAGTGCCTATGACTGCCATGTAATTATTATAGGCGACTGCCATAAGACTGCCAATGACTGCCAGCGACTGCCAAGTAAATGTACAGGTAATTCCAATAGTGAGACACCCCTCGGGTATTCCGCTATTATAAGAAAATTTTCTTGAGATTAATATGACATATCTTAATACTTAATAAGTGGATACCTACAAAGTTTTGACTTATTTTTTTTAGACTGTCCGGAATCACCTCGAATATTCAAAAACTAAGAAATGCATTCGACGAGGACAGGGTGCCCGATTTATACACTGAAGATATTCTGAAAGATATTCATTCAGTTGCCTCTTTGCTGAAAATGTATTTTAGGTAAGTTTTTTATTATTTACAAGCAACATATTCTAATTTTGTTTCTACATTATATGCCCATGTGATATTTTTTTGTATATTACATAAGAGGGCGCCCATTAATGACTTGGGGGAATCAAGGGGGGGGGGGATTAAGCCGAATCTCACTAAATGTCACGTGGTGTAGAGAGGGGGTTTTGGCAAATATTAGGTAGTTTTTTTTCGCAAAATAGTATAAAAATTTAAAAAGACCCCGTATCTCAGTTGACAGGTAGTTTGTGATATTATACATATCTCAGAAATCGAGCCCATGACATCTATGTCGGTTTTTCTCTATCTAGTCAGGAATTAAGGTTTCTCTGTTAAAACAGACCAATTTCGACCAACCAGTACACTACGTAACTACACTTTACACGTTGAAAATGATACACAATGATTTTATTATAAATGTATTTTTAATAGATTTATGAGTTTCTTTTATACAAAAAATATATAAATGTTTATAAGTCTGATAAGACCTTTCAACATACGACATATTTTACATCTTCTAATCGTCAACAGCTAGATCACTATATGGCTAAATTCATTCAGAAAATTTTAATGTAGAATGTATTCAATATGAGCACATCTATATAGATTCTAATAAAGTAATCTAGGTAATGTTATCACTCTTTTCCCAAGAAAGATCACATTTTTTTCTCAAATCTCACACTATTCATACTCGATACAAATCTCTAATTCAAAATTGAAATACATCCCTTCATCGCAATTCATGAGAAATTTTTCACCCGATTCGAATTTATAGTAACGACTAGAATCCTCCTCATGAGGTAAATAAACAAATTTAATATTGCTATCGCTATTATTTAAAATTATTTCTTCAGAATTTGACACTCCTTTCTCCGTGGATGTCGAGAATATTCTGCTTGGTATCTTCCTAGTCAAGTTTTCTATCACCTCGGTAAAATCTTCATCGCTGTTTTTATTTTCGTTTCTACAGTCAACGTTGTAGTAGAGGTCGCAATTGGCGATGGCGGGGTTGAACAGCATTTTTTCGGGGCAGATTTTGAGAACTTTTCGACCGTAAACGCATCGGTAATATCTGGCGCAGTCGGTGGGATGGGGGAAATGAAGGTCTTCCTCCGTGTCATCGCAAGTGGTTGAAGCTGAAAGTATCAAAATAAAAATATAATTAAAAATATGTCTGTACCTGTGTGGCGGGTTAATTAAAAAAAAATGTCTAGGTTTTCGCCGCTGGAAAAGAGATCTCATATCAGGTTTCATGAGGCAAAGAAAACAAAGAAAAATGCATAAGTATAGTTCATATCAAATAAACTTTTAGTCACGTGATTAAGCTTGACCGGCACAGCGTTTCCCACTTTTACATATTTTTTAATCAAAACAATTTAGGAAACAAAAATAAATTAATTATAAATATTGTATAAACAGATATTATTTACATCAACAAAACTCATCTTCTTGGGGACATAAAAGGCCGTTACTACCGCGTTCCCGTTCAAAATATTTTAATAAAGTTGTGATGAGTTTTTTACGGCTATTAAGCTATCTGGTACATTTCGCACTAAAATAGTTCTAAAAAGAACAATGTTCGACTGCAAGGTCTGGTAATAAACATTTTTAAGCTTAAAGTCTCACAACACTATTTATTTAAACCAAAAACTCGTAATACAAAACTAAAGTAGCAAAACGAATGGCAATGTCAGCAAATAAATAAATAAATGTGGTAACTTGACATTTTTTACAGCAGAGCTACCACCTGAATGCCCAGCGCGGAATTTAAATTCCAGTTAGTCAGCTTGGCGTCGAATATATCCATGGTTGGCAACAATGAATTTAAAAATCGCGCCCTCGATTACCTAACTAAAAGTTTAATTGATATCAAATATACATAAGTGTTTTATAAATATCTTCTCACGCTGCTAAATGTTTAATAAAATTTTAATCTGCTTGATAGGATAAAATAATTTCGGAAATTTCGAGAAGATTGCGAAAAATCGCGCTTAATCTGTTTCTAAGCCCTAATTAGAGATAATAATATTAAATATATTAAATTATTTCCGGATTAAAAAAAAACTACGTCAATATAAACAGACATTTTTATTTGAAAATTGTTATATTTTATTTAAAAAACTACTTAATTATAAACCTATTGTCACTAATATCGTTTATTTCAAATTTATCCAATCACCAAAAAAGTGTTTTATTTTACCTTTGTACTAATTAATAGGTATTTATGATGTCTGTGAGTAATCCCTATACTTTATACAAAAAAAATGTATTAAAGATTAGTTATCAATTGCTCCTAATCTTTAAAATCTAGAATGTCAACTACGTCTAGAAAAAAAACTTAATTACTTTTATTTCTTTTTTTTTCGAATTTGCAATCAGTTCTTTGATATATTATTTTATATTTTTTTTGTCCTTTTTGAATTTTGAAATAAATAGATTTTTATAGAATTTTTATATTTGTATAATGCATTAAAAGTATCAACAGTAAATACAAAGCGATTAAACTGCATTTTATTTAAATATATAATATTATAGTAATAATATTTATTTTAATATTAAAAATAATTGTTTCTTTGGATTATTTAATACAGGTATAAGTTCACTTTTTTGCTAAGTAAATATGCACACTAAGTGACATGCACGTTTGCAAGCCTACATTAAATAATGTTCTTATTTTTTAGATAAACACAAAATCCTTATGACGTACAGTTACATATATTATTTTTTTACGTGTTGCATTTTCATATTTTTATTTCTAACCTTCAATCGAAAATTTTCTAAAATATTTATTTGTTAGTTATCAAACAAAGACACCCTTGATTTGGTTTTTGATTTGATACATTTTTTGATTGATTTTATCATCAGTATTTTTTGAAGTAGTTTTTATTGTATTTTCGAATTCGGTTAATGTTCTCTAAAGCACCGTCTACACGTGAAATTTTACCTGTCAGTTTTGCGTGATAGGTAAAAAGGAAGACCGTAACGTTTTACCTTTCAGGTAAAACGAGTTAAAATAAAAACACTAAATCACCACAATACACCAAAACACTCTTTAATAAGCGACTTTTAAAAATTTAAAATTTGTGCATAGGTTCACAAAGTATAAGTTTATTACAGCTGGGGTTTGGAACCTTTGGTGTTACACAGCAAAATAAAAATAAAACACTAAATCACCACAATACACTAAAACACTTTTACTTTTACACTGGACGCGCGTTTTGCTAACCATGTTAGCATCATCAGCAGATGATTATAAACTAAAGTACAATCTACAAGTTGAGCGTTTATATACTCGCTCAGTGGGCGCCGAGTGGGCGTGGCAAAATCTAGCCAACCGAGTCAGAGCCCACTGAGCGTAACAGTTAGATTTCCGCCACTAGAGTAGTAGGAACAAAGAACTTGCAGGAATTGGACCGTTGTCTCTGTTCATACTATCTTTACATTTATTAAATGATACTACTGATGCTTTCATATGCATCTAATTGCCTGTAATTTGAGACTTGTTTAATTAATTTTAAATTATTAAGATCTATACAATGTTCTATCAACAATATGTTCGGCAACGCAAGATTTATCCGGTCTACCATATCTTATCTGAGCTAAACGTTCTTTATTTCTAGTTAATATTGATCTTCTTGTTTGCCCAACATATTTCTGATTACAATCTTTACAAGAAATTTCATAAATACCCGAACTTTCCAGTGGAGGTGTTTTATCCTTTGGATTACCTAATAATTGTTGTAATTTATTATTAGTACTATACACAAGTTTATAATTGACATTCTTAAAAATTCCTTTTAGACCACGGGATAACTCTCTACAAAAGGTATCGAAATATATTTAGACGTATCTTTCTCCACTTGAAAAGTCGAATTTTCCGAAATCATTAACCTATACCTACGTTATCTAATTAATTTATCAACTAGTGAAGGAGAATATCCATTACACTCAGCTAATGTAATCTCTTTCTATTTCATATCTTTCGTTGGAAAGTGGGAAACTAAGTAATCTATGAACTAAGAAATTTAAACTAGCCATTTTATGTTCAACACTATGATGTGATTCATTAGGAATATATCTGCGTGTGGTCGTATTTTTTCTATAGATATCAAATTCCAGGCAATTATTAGTATTTCTAATAACTAATACATCTAGAAATGTGTTTTTTGTTCCTACTACTCTAGTGGCAGAAATCTAACTGTTATGCTCAGTGAGCTCTGACTCGGTTGGCTAGATTTTGCCACGCCCACTCGGTGCCCACTGAGCGAGTATATAAACGCTCAACTTGTAGATTGTACCTTAGTTTATAATCATCTGCTGATGATGCTAACATGGTTAGCGAAACGCGCGTCCAGTGTAAAAGTAAAAGTGTTTTGGTGTATTGTGGTGATTTAGTGTTTTTATTTTGCTGTGTAACACCAAAGGTTCCAACCCTCAACTGTAAAAACGAGTTAAAAATTATTGCGGTTTAGAAAATAATAAACATGGCTTATTAGAATATTTTGAACGGGAAAGCGGTAGTAACGGCCCTTTATGTCCCTTAAGTGCTGTTAAAAAGGTGAGTTTTGTTGATGTAAGTAATAACTATTTATATATTTATAATTAATTTATTTTTTTTTCCTAAAACATTTTGATTAAGTATGTAAAAGTGGGCAATGCTGTGCCGGTCAAGTTTAATCACGGGACTAAAAGTTTAATTGGTATGAACTTATAGCAAAATAAAACACTAAATCATCACAATACACCAAAACACTTTTACACTGGACGCGCGTTTCGCTAACCATGTTAGCATCATTGCAGCATTGCTGATAATGCCAACATGGTTAGCGAAACGCGCGTCCAGTGTAAAAGTAAAAGTGTTTTAGTGTATTGTAGTGATTTAGTGTTTTATTTTTATTTTGCTGTGTAACACCAAAGGTTCCAACCCCCAACTTTAATAAACTTATACTTTGTGAACCTATGCACAAATTTTAAATTTTTAAAAGTCGCTGTAATATATCTATATTCATTGGCGTAACTACAGGGGTGCCCGGCGGTTCCGCCCCCCCCCCTGGTACTGCTGGGCACCCCCCAGAGAAATCTTGAATTATGACTCTTGGCTACGGTTTAATTTTTATTTGCTTGTGATGTGGTAAAAATGAGGTTTTCTAGTTTTGTTTAGTTAATATTATTTTGTTGTATTCAAAAAATATGTTAATTTTTATTTTTTTAGAAAATTTGTAGGTACTTAAATAGTCTACGGAAACACGGGTTTTGGCCAACAAAAATATTCTTTATTTTTAAAAACAAAAGCCTTAGGCCACCACTGGGCTCAACCCCCCAAGGCTCCCCCCAGGATGAATGGCTAGTTATTTGTAGTAGTTAGTTTTGTTGTAAAACTGACTGATTTCTTATAATTCAGCGTAAGAAAAATGTACATTTTTTTTGTGTACGCGATAGGTTTGACATTTTACCTGAACAGGAAAGTCTGTCAGGTAAAACGTTATGTGTAGAGGAAGCTTAAATGTTTCCAAAATTAATATATATAATTAGGAATTATTATCTTTAATATAAAAGCAATCCAAATTTATAACCCATCTTTTTTCATAAAGAGGTTACTTAATTCAAGCACTTACTCTATAATTAACTTTTACTAATCGAAAATGTATTAACTGATAATAAATATAAACGAAATTGATTTTTATAATTTTATTTTAATAAAAATAACAACATTTTTTGACTTACCTGAACATCTAATTACACACAAAACTAAACCAATAAATATCACAGATCGTTTCATTGCATTGATTCCCATTACTTGGCTAAATATACTTGTACCAGACAACCAATTATCTTTTATTTATTAATTTAATTATAAAATTTTATATTTAAACGAATTAATATAAATAAAAAAATAGTATTTCTAATTTCTATTCAAATTTTGAGTTATTTAATTGAACGAGATCGATAATTTTCGAGTCAATTTTGCGAGTTCAGCAAAAATCTACTCACTGTCTCGTTTTTACTCTGACTGACGTTAACTGCTTCTAGATTAAGTTTTATAACGTGTCTTATCGGTATAACGTCGACGAAATAAACCTATATAGAGTGAATTCTAGCAAATAAAATTTGAGATTTGTCTTGAATTATAACAACAATGGTATTTGTTATTCTTATTCATTTCTTAGAACATTCTAAACTTGGTGCTTGTTTTTTTTTCATTTCATTTTGTAATTAGTATATTAGAGTACATATACCGGGTGCGTCTCAAAAGTGGCTCACCCCCTATAACTTTTTTATTTTTTCAGATAAAAAAACGAAATTTGGTACGTTAGTATATGACATAAATTAGGGTTGATTGGTGTATTCAATTCTTTTTGGCCACTTCCTGTTTCACCGTAATGACTACAACTTTTGATTTTTAAATGGCACCCCCGGTATTTTTTTACTTTATTCGAATGAAAATGAAATTCTGAATAGAATGACATATCATATGTCAACTTTTGACATTCTCGCTTACTAAAAAATTGTATTTTAAAATTCAATCTAGAGTGCCATGGCTATGTTAAAAACACTAATTCTTCATCAAGGAGCCTTGGAAAAATAGATTTGATCGTCTAATGTTTTTAGTGGCTTGTCCTGGCCAGTTAGAAAATTCTCAAATCGTATTTTTAATCATAACTCAATTTTTTCAAATGGAACGAGGATGGCTCATTAGCATATTTGGAAAAAGCATTTTTTTACGAATAATTTGATACCACACACTTGGTATTTGAAGTCAAATTTTTGTTACGAACCGCAAGTTATAATTTCAAATAAACCATATGCGAAAATGTCAAAAGTTGACATATGATGTGTCATTCTATTCAGAGTGACATTTTCTATCCAATAAAGTAAAAAAATACCGGGGGTGCCATTTAAAAATTAAAAGTTGTAGTCATTTCCGGTGAAACCGGAAGTGACCGAAAACAATTGAATACGTCAATCAATCCTAATATATGTCATATACTAACATACCGAATTTCGTTTTTTTAACTAAGAAATTAAAAAAGTTTGGTTTGGTTTGGTGAGCCACTTTTTAGACGCACCCGGTATAGTCTATGCAACGAAAGGAGATGAATATGACAGTTGTCCGTCATTGTAATTAGGAATTGGTTAATCGCGCCTTACCAGTTAAAATATCATATTAAAAGAAATTAACATACATAGTTTGACATATACATATAGTAGTATTTTTTCTCTTCATTACAATACACTCTCGAATACACTGAATTGTTTACTTTTTCTGACTAATTATTAATACTACAAAAAATGTATTTACTACAATCAATTGCATCGTTTGTAGTTGATAACAAGCCAAAAAACTAAAAGTTTCCTTTAAAGCGGGTTCCGACATGACGGAGCTATGTAGCTTTCAGCTGTGAAATATACAATATCTATGGTTATTGTCCGAGCATTGAAAAGAGAAAAGCAATATTTTCAGCAAGGAGGATTTAGAGAAATATTTGAAAATGCTACTTCAATTTGTTAACTGTCGCTTTTATATATTTTTCCGCTAGTTATTATAATAATAATGTTTGATATCGAGAAATTCGTCAATTTTTCCAATGATCAGAACAATGTTATTTGAATAATAAATCTGATATTTATTGGAATTACGTATTTGACTTGTTTAATAATCAAATAAATGATAACCAGAAATAGCTAATATTTACAGCTACATGTTTAATGCATTTATTTATATTTAATTGATTTTTTATTTTGTAGATTTTAGTTTAAAAGTTTTTTTATTACAGTGTTTTGCTCTGTTTAAAATTTCCAATTTATTTTATTTTCTGTGAATTTTTTTTTATTAGCTGGCAATTTATGTTATGTATTTTGGCTTAATTTAACTTAACCAATAAAAGACTGACGATGGCGTTAAGTCGGACATTTAAAGATGTCATCAGTGTTTAATTTTCAGTAGCATAATAATCTGTGTTTAGATAATATAAATCTTAAGTGTATTAATTTTTAAATGGGGTGTTTAATATTAATACAAATTCATTACTGTTTGTCTGTTTGTTTAGGTAGTGATATTCTCGGAAAATTAAACATTTTTTGTTCGAGGATAAATATAATTGAAGGTAAAATACCGAGGTATATCATCTAATTTTTTTTACTCTTATTCGTCTACACTCTGTATATTTATGTAATATTTTACTTTTTATAAGAATTAACGCCGATTCTAATCTATATAAATATTTTCATACGTGTTAAAATAAGTATAATAGAAAAAAAGAAGCTGCAAATCCAATATTCAACATTGGGGAACCTTGTTAAGCCTTATTCAAACGTAAACCACGATTCTGACTTGATTTTGCGACGCCCGATCACTATTTCCAAGAACAAATAAAGTTATCCAGCTATTGTTGTGCCGACTAGGATAATTCTGAATGAAATTTTCCGAAATATTTACCCAAATTCCTATATTATAAAATTTGTTAATTAAAATAAAAATAAACTTTTAGTCACGTGATTAAACTTGACCGGCACAGCGTTGCCCACTTTTACATATTTTCTTTTAGCCAAAATATTTTAGGAAACAAAAGTTAATTTATTATAAATATATAAACAGTTATTATTTGTATCAATAAAACTCACAACTCCTTAACAGCACTTAAAGGACATAAAGGGCCATTACCAAGAACAGTTAACCTAATAGGATTGCTCATTCAGCCAAAAGTGTCTGCCAGATGCATGCGAAAACTCCTCGCTTTGTAACGTCATTGTAGTCCTTGTCATGGTTATTAGTCCTTATCCGGCAACCAGTAATACACACACGTGCATTATTGGTTGCCGGATGCAAAACGTTCATTATTTAGTTTATTTATTTAAAAACTTTATATGTATGCAGTATAGAAAATTAAATCGTATTAAATACTCGGATAAGGCATTTTCAAGGACAGCAGTTCCCAGCATCACCTTTTGCAGGCATTCTTTTTAGAGTACGTCCATATTTTGCTTTAAAATAATTAATAAACAATATCGTAGGCACTTAGTAAGCACTTTGTCACAATCCGCAACACAAAATGAACGTATTTATACACTCTATAGCTCTAAAAACTTTAAAAACACCTTTTTCACATTTAAAATTGACAAAATAATTAACTCAAAATTTCCCAGCTGTTATTTTTATAAGTTTACCATAGGCAACTAATAATACACACTATCATGACAAGGACTACAATGACGTCACAACTGTCAGCTGAAGCGCGGGAAGAGGCGAACGTACGTCTTATGAGGATGAGCAATCCTACTAGTTTACCGTTCTTGGGCCATTACTACCGCTTTCCCGTTCAAAATAGTTTAATAAGGTTGCCATGAGATTTTTGCAACGGCTATTAAGCTATCTTACACACAAAGAGGTTCTGAAAAGAATAATGTTCGACTGCAAGGTCTCCTAGTAAACATGTTTAAGCTTAAAGTATCACAACACAATTAATTTAAACCAAAAACTCGTAATACAAAACAACCAAAAATTCGTAGTGTCAAAACAAATCAAAATGTCAGGAAATAAATAAATGTGGCAACTTGAAATTTTTTACAGCAGAGCTACCACCTGAATCCCCAGCGGGAAATTTAAATTCCAGTTAGTCAGCCCGGCGCCGATTATGTCCATGGTTAGCAACAATGAATTTAAAAATCGTAACTAAAAGTTTAATTGGTATCGCTTATACAGAGAAGAGCAGGCTACTAGTAACAGCAAGTTGCCGGACGAATTTACGTTTACCCGATTTGCCTTCGTACTAGAGATTCACTGCCGGCTAGTCGGCTGGTCAGGCAGTGCGCAGTTGCAGTTGTGCTTGGACGGGTTGGTCGTGACACTAGGGATACGACGCGAGTGCCGACTATTTATTATTTTCATTTTAAGTGTTTACCTTCACTTAAGGTAACATTTAAAATAAAAATACGTAAATATTTATTATTTGAGTGTGTTTACAAGCCAAAATTAAAAAAAAATAAATTCTCTAAACCCGAAAAAAACTAAAATATTACTCTAAATAAAAAAAAGTTATAACAAGTGTTCAAAAAGACCACCTTCTTGTGCTAGACAGAAGCCTAGGCGGTCGTAAAATCCCCGTCTGACATTGGCTAACATATTAGGGCTAATAGTTTGAAAAGCCTCTCGTATTTTTACTTGAAGCTCATCCAGATTATTAGCCCTATTATGACCATACACTTTGGATTTTACATAACCCCACAAAAAGAAATCATTGGGAGAAAGATCTGGTGATCTAGCGGGCCAAAAAATAGTTCCATATCCACTAATTAAACAAAAAAAGGGGGAAAAGGAAAAGTATTGTTCAAAAATATTCTTGAACAATACGGGCATTGTGGGCAGGGCAACCATCTTGTTGAAACCGGACATTGTGGAATCTTTCTCCCAATAACTCATGAATTCTAGGGACAATCTGCTGCTGTAACAAGTCCAAATACCTTGGAACAGTTAAATTACCCTCTATAAAAATGGACCAATCATATGCTCCCCTACAAAACCACCCCAAACACTTGCTTTAACTCCTTTTCTTCATTAATCAACACATCATGCTGTTTTGGGTTTTTGTGGGGACACGCACCCATGTGTTTCAAAATTATTAATAACTCTTGATATAGTAGGTAAAGATGGAATTGGCCTGTTTACAAAAGTTTGTGGAAAAATTGTTTGTATATCCCGATAAGACCTATTTTGGAAATACCGTTTTACAATTTACAATTTGAATTTTCTCACTAACTTCTTAAACATCCATTATTTAAAAAATAAATTTGACACGAGAGCTGTAGCGAGAATCTATGTATTCGTTTTGGCTATTAAAACACGAATAAATACAAATTCTGTAACATTCTTATCACGACATATCTACCTATTTTTATTTTATGGCATTTTTTCGACTGCTTTTTATTCGGCGGACGGGTATACGCTAATTCATCCGGTTCTGCCTATGTTACTACTACGGGTGGTCCGGTCTGTATATTATAGTCACCTGTGAAAAGTTATTCCATTATTTCTCTCGATTTTTGACTGAGATCTTCCGCATGTTGCACTACCAACAATTTTACAGTCTTTTTTGATAAATCGCAATAGTGTCACTGTTAATTTAAGTTTTGATACAGTCTCTCCTAGATTGACTACCTCTAAATATAACCAATAATGGAATAAATAATAAATAGCATAAAATAAGCTCAGTAAAGACAAACAAATCCACAAAATTTCAAATAAAATTCAGATGTTTCAATTGAAACGTCAAAAAAAAACTGTCATGGTTGGGGACCTATGTTGTCGATTCCGTCCATATACTCTTAATCTTTTTATTCAACTATTCAGTACATATGTATTGAATTCAGTACTATGTAGAGAACTCGATGAAAACAACAATGTCAAATTAGTACAATACTTCCGTTTTATATCTAATTTAAGTATATTTGATTTTTTGCAGGGAATTACCTAATCCTCTTTGTACATACCAGCTTTACCAGAGTTTCGTAAACGCAGTTCAAGGCTGCGGCACCGCCATAAGAACCACCGAGACTGATCACGAAAGATTGCTGAAAATGAGGGAGGCCGTCCAAAAACTGCCCCCTCCTCATTATAGGTAATAGAATATTACAAATAAAACATCAAAAACGAAAAAAAAATTTTCTTTTTTCGCTTCAGAACTCTAGAGTACCTGATGCGTCACTTAGCCAGGGTTGCCAATTATAGCGGCAGCACTGGTATGACGACGAGAAACTTGGCAATAGTGTGGGCGCCTAATTTGCTGCGGTGCGAGGCTTTGGAAGTGGGAGGAGTCGCTGCCCTCCAAGGAGTGGGAGTACAGGTGAGTTAGGAGAGGGAAAACACGTGATACATAATTTTTTTATTGAACAAGGTAGAACTGATTTTGTAGAAACTTTTTTTTTAAATTCTCTAATAAAGAATAAGGTTTGAATTTTTTATCAGACGCTGTATATTAAGTAGCCGTTTAATATATTATTATTACAACTTTATTTAATATATAAACAAATATTTTAAGATGCGAATCACGATAAAACAATTAATAACCTTCTAAGAGCTTAAACAATTCATTATAATTTTTTAATGCACACTTCAAAGTATTTCTGCGACCTAGTTAAATAAATACCATCTAAAAGATGAAAATAATGTTATGATAAATAAAATTGTCAATACTTAAAAAATAAATTTGTTTTAGGATTATGTATTTACACTCGTTACCTTGAATTAAATTATATAAAGTAAATTATATATACATATTTAATAATAGGTAAATAGGAATGTGAATAAGTAAAATGATTTGGTATTTTGCTTACGTTTACATAGGCATATTCTGCAGATATAGTCTATAAAATGAATAACTTTGAATTTTGACCGTTATTTTTTACCAACATGGCAAATATAAAATCCCTCTGTCAAAAAAGTTACTGATATTCTTTAATTGAGTGCCTGAACGAATCAGATAGGTAACTCTTTTTACTTTCGTGAAATAGAAAAGGAAAATAAAAAATCAAGTGACAGTTCCTCCTCTTCTTGCAAAAATCAACACGAAATGACATAATTGTCAAAAGTAAAATGTCATCAGCTTTTGACATTTCTAAATATCAGACCAATGCCGTCTCTAATAGAACAGCCTCGGAGCGAGATTTATGACGCCACGCTAGTTAGATACTACGGATTAATAAATATGTTGTAGAATACATGGGGGTAGAATATTGGGGGTTTGAAAATCGATCTAATTTAACAAAAAACATTCAATTTCTACTAATAGTGATGTATTATTATTTACATTTACAAAATTTATATGAATATTTTGCAAGTATCAATGTTCGAAAAATTATATTTGCAAATAATACAATATCATAGAAAAAAGGCGTCAGCCATGGCTATGAAATAAAGATCGCTGTCATTTTATATGTAAAATTATTCTAAAATTTTTGATTTTCTTGGGATTTAGGGTTCGGGAAAAACGCTGATTAAGTTTTCATTTGGTTTTTCATTTTTTTTTTTGTTTAAAAAAACATTTCGGCTAACATTATAGCCTTCATCAGTGTTGTGTCATATAAAAAAATAGTGTCGAATATAATCCAAAAAATTACACATAAAATATTCTAAATATATATGTTACTGTAAATGTGCGAAATACAGTAAAACCTAGGATTTACCAAAAGCAAGGGGTAGTAAAAACCAACCAACCCCACCAAATAACCACCTAACCAATGCATTAACACCCCCCAAATAACCAGGCTAACCAATGCATTAAGACCCTCCAAATAACCAGGCTAACAAATGCATTAACACCCTCCAAATAACCAGGCTAACCTAATTAGTTAATGTTTTTGGTAAATCCTAGGTTTAGCGCGCTTATTCTAGATTTTACTGCATTTCGGACATTTACAGTAACATATTTTATATATTTATTTATTAATACATATTTATTAATCCGTAGTATCTAACTAGCGCGACGTCATAAATCTCGCTCCAAGGTTGTTCTATTAGAGACGGCATTGCGTCGGCATGGCCGCAAGTTGCTAACCTAATAAAATTAATACTAGAAAAGCCCGCGGGAACTGTCAAATTCAAAATTATTTGTTTCACAGACTATATTATACATTCTATAATTTAAATATAAATTTCAAAAAAAGTTTTTTATATCTTAGTTTTATTTTAAAAATTCTAACTTTGACTAGTAGATGAAATTTTGAAGTATAGTTTTCCACCATATAGAGAAAATTTACATGAGAATATCTATACAGGATGGTCCGAACTGTATTCCGGAAACTTCGGCAGCATATTCTGCAGATAAAAATAAGTAAAACAGTTCGTATAAATGTATGTCTTAATATGCTTAGTTTATTAGAAGTATCATTTTTATTTCGTTTTTTTCCAAAAAATTCAGTCAAGTGAAGTCAATATTTGGATGAAAATTGGAGTCCGGGAGTTTTTTGACATGAGAAATTTGATTTTGATTTTTATTATTTTAATTTGAAATTTATTATTATAACTATATTATAACTATATACTCATCGTAGTTTATTTTTTGACAATAATGACATGGTATTGACTATTTCCGTTCTAAATATCTTGAGAATGATTGCTCGTAGCGATTTTTAAAGAGACCTTTTTTACGTAAAAAATCACGGAAAGGTATATTTTTTTACTCAGTAGTTTTTTACAATTACGGACGAGAAGTTATTAAACTTCAAAACAGTTACAACACTTATAGGTGGCGCTCCCTGTAACTAAGAGTTATATTGATATCAAAATCAAATTTCTTATGACAAAAAATCCCAGACACCAATTTTCATCCAAATATTGACGTTATTTCAGAAATTTTTTGGAAAAAAAATCGAAATAAAAATGAAACTTCTACACCCTGTATCTACGAAACTAAGCGTTTTAGAACATACATATATATGTATGCTCTAAAAGCTTTAGTTTTTTAAGTTAAAAAATTAAAATGTTCTTACAAACTAGTGATGTGTCGGTATTTGAGTAACGCGATTTTGGAGCGGTATTTTTTTGTAACGCCGTATCGCGCTCCACAACGAATGGGGAAGCTGTTACTGAAGAACGACGATCATAATGACGACAAAATTATAAATTATTTATAATTTGCAAATAATTTATTTATAATCGCCCTTGAAGTTAGCTTGAATGTGCGACGTGTTTAGCTCCAGCCGTCGCGATTTCGTCGGTCGCCTACAATAGTTACTGGAACTGTACGAGCGTCGGGCGATCTCGATGGCGACGGCGACGTGTTCGCTCCAGCCGTCGCGCTCCTAGAGTTAAAGTTCCCTGTCGCGTAACTGCTGTAACTGGGCATCGACGCTCGATCTCGGCGGCGCGGCGGCCTACTTCGCTCCAGCCGTCGCGCTCCTAAAGTTTTAGTTCCCTGTCGCGAACAGAAGTAACTGCTGTAACTGACTATCGACGCTCGACCTCGGAGGCGGCTTACTTCGTTCCAGCAGTCGCTGGAGCGCTTTTAGGGTTTCGTTTTCGCCTGTAGCGACTGGGTCGGTTACTATTGGCGTTGGTGCTCCCGTCGCTACGTTACTTTTCAAATAGCGATTTTTGGTATGTATAGTAAACTCCACGAATGTTTGGGAGCGATTCATCGCTTGATGAAGTTAGAATCAACACGCGCGCTATCATTTTTACATTAAAAACGTAAATTTTTACCGTAGACGTAGGTTTTTAAAGGCCCGGTCTAATCATCTGCCTGCGCTCCTCCTACTTATTCTAAAATGTTAGCGTGATTGACAAAGACGGCACTATTTCGCGTGTCTTTGATTGATTGGTTTTTTTGCGTCAGTCCATTGGTGTGCTTGCAGTGCGACCAATGGGGCATTCCATTTTATATTTATAACCAAATATATGTTTTGACAGGACTTTGACAGTTAAAACAACAAATTACAACAGATTATATATTGATTATTATGACTTGAAACACCACGGCACTGGAATTAAGTTTTATGTGACCTTGAACAGATTAGTTCACATGGTAGTGACCTTTGAATAAGAAGACTAAGGAAGGAGCATAATGCTATCCATGTATTCATGCATGGTGGGCGGAAAAGCCACCATAAAAGCTCTCTAGGGTGGGGATCCTTGACAGTTCTGTTTGACGATTCATTTGACACATTTGAATTTGATTTGAAATTTTTGGATTTGTCAGTCTTTACGGAGCTTATTTTATGTTATTTATTATTTATTCTACTACTGATAGTTGTATAAAGGTAGTAAATCTAGATGGAAATTGTGGCAGAACTTAAATTAACAGTGACACTATCGCGATTTATCGGAAAAGTCTCTAAAATAGTTGGTTGTGTAGCGTGCGGTAGATCTCGGCAAAAATTGAGTGAAATAATGGAACAACTTTTCGCTAGTAAGTGACTATATAATATACATACGTGTAGTAAACCGATCATTTATGAAATTCACTTAAATTAACTAAATTATATATTTTTCTTGCATTTTAGCTTTTATTTATTACTTGTCAAAGATTAGATGTCAAAGAATTTAGATACGTTAATTTGACTTACCTGCTTCAGTAGCGTATCGGATGTTTGTGTTAATAAATACTTATTATAACTTATCTATTTTTATTAGAATTATATATTTTTATAACAATTTTAATAACTACCAACATTTATTCACAACGTAAAATAAAACAACAAATTATTGAGTCTACCCCACGTCTACCCTACATCATAGTTTTACATTTTTTAAATAAAATTAGAACGACACTGATAAACCGGAATTTAAGTCGGCCATATTTGAGGCCCATCGCGGTGTACCTAAGATTTTTGATATGCTCCTTCCTTAGTCTTCTTATTCAAAGGTAGCGACCGATGAATCACTCCCAAACATTCGTGGCGTTTACTATACTAAGCATGGTATAAAATAGCGTTGTTTGAAAGATGAAACGTAAAAGCAAATAAAATAAAATGAAAATTTTGTTTGCTTTTATACACTATATCTATTTTTAAGGTGCCGAAACCGGTCACCAATAAAGATTTTTTTTGACAGTGGTTTATGGGACTAGGTAAGTAGTATAAAATAAAAGTAAGTACCAATGCCAGAAATACTACATAAGCGAGGACCGCGACACTTAGGAAGTTGGAACCTGGATTAGAAAATCGCGGTATTTTGTCGCGGTATTTTTCTGAACGGTCGCTATTGTAATGCGACTCATGTGGAACCGGTATTCCCATCACTAGTATAAACGAACTTTTTTACTTATTTTTATCTGCAGAATATTCTGTATACGGAATACAGTTCGGACCACCCTGTATACTAAATTTATAAATGAAGTTTAAAATTCCACTTCTTATATTACGTTGTAATACAAAAAGGTCAATTAATATGATTTTTTTTACTTAATTGCTACATAGTTTATTATTGCATTTAAATTAAAGGTGATAAATATTTTTTGTGCGACTTGAGTATGCAAATCAGCAATTTAATGTGGCTTGTTTATGTAACTCTAATCATACCTAGTGTGTAATTAGTTTTGAGATAAATATTATAAGACTCATAACCAAGTTAGAGGTATTTAAAAGAAATATATGAGTGATTAGGTGACTGCGTACAGATATTTTAAAATAAATAAATAAATAAATGCCTTTATTGTCAAAAATTTTTTCAATTTGTAGACAAAGGTAAACTAACAAACAAAGTAAAAAAACAAGGTACACAAACAAACAAACAAAAGATAATACAAAACAATATAAAATAAAATATAAATAGGAACCAAATTTTAATTTTTTAATTTAGTACTTAAATTATTATTATTTTGAAGTCGAATAGCATGTTTCTGTATGATTTTTCTTCATCATAAACTTATAAAATCAGGTTGCCGTTTATTTTCATCAAATTCTTCGATTTCTTTTTTGTATCCCTTTCTATCAACTGGTTATAACGTAAATTAGGTATCTTTATTTTTATCTTACCCATTAAAATACAGACAATTGATTTAGAATAAAACTCTATTCAGAACCTCGCAATTAGTGGAATAAACTAGTGGTTTCAATTACGACAAAATGACATTCCTCTCAAATTTGGAAGTATAATTAGGGGAAAAGTTAAATGTTCTTTTCTACTAATTGAAAATGACTACCACTAATATTGACGTTCTGAATTGCTTACATTGAAATTAAAGGAGCAAACTTCTACGCTAATTGAAACCACTAATTGCGAGGTTCTGAATGAAGGTTAATCTATATAAACGGGTATTGCTATACCGATTGCTTATTCTGAACTGTAATTATTATTATTTTCAGGCTGTAGTAACGGAGTTTTTAATTTGTTATGCTGATCTAATCTTCAGCGATCACTTACCTAACATCGACCAGCCCGACCTGGCCGACAAGGAAAATCTTTTGGCCAAAAAATGCCGACCTAATAGTCTAGCTATATCTACGCCTACCAAACTTATTACTTTAGAAGAAGCTAGGTTAGTTATTAGGTTAACTGTATATTTCACGTTTAAATTTGTCATGTATTGTCCTTGATTATATTTTCTAACTACTTTTGATTTTTTTTTAGAAATAAACATTTAAGTAATAAAACAGAAGACTGCAATTACATCGAAGTTGGAGGTGGACCGAGCAACTTGCCTAAGAAATATCATACTATTATCGATCTACCTCCAGGTGAAGTTACTAACAGCTGATATATTTATATAATGTTTTTAATATATATTTTAAATGATAGGTACAAGAAAAAGAGGCCATACCAAAAGGTCTCCATTGGGCTGGCGAATGTTCTTTACTAGATCTTCGAGGAACAGTGATCGAGGTAGCGTGAATAAAAACAGGAAAGCTTCCACGCCCATCACAATTAATGTAAGTATCTAGTGTATGGAATAAATAAATTAGGCCACACGCTACGCTATCCCACGTGGGCCCACGTGAGTCCACGTTGCGACGTGGAAAAGAGTGTACAAATGAGATCTGGGACAGACGACAGACGTGTGATAGCGTAGCTTGGCGTGGGGTGGCGTGTTGCCTAGTGTGTATGCAATAGATGTAATTAAATGGAAAAACATACGCACAGGTCTTGTCGTGTGGCGTAATGGGGTCCCGGCTTAAGAAAGAAGTGTGAAACTCTATTTCTATATTTATGCATTATTACCGTTAATCGCACTATTGAGCCCAGACTAAAATATATATACCAAATATGTATACCAAGCAATGATGAAATTCACATAGAATTAACTAATTGTTTTAATCTAAATTTATTACTAGGTTACCGGTCAAAAATAATTTAGCTAGTCAATTTTAGGAATTTCTTTGAGTTGTTCCAGTAGCGTACCTGTCTTTTTCTTGTTAAATAATTACATTAATATGTTTAGTTTTATTCAATGAATTTGAGTAATTATTAATATTTATTTACTAAACATAACACAAAACTAGCTGAATGAAATTCAACCTATTTTATATTAAAAAAATCGAACGCAACTGATGAACCGGAAGCAAAGCCACATTTAATGGCTTGACTTCACAGGGAATATAGCTTTGACATTTATACAGGGTATCCCAATATTCCGTGGACATAGAACTATGTACATTGGACACAATTTACCTCTATAAAAAGCGTTTCGTTTAGAGGGCAACAAAAATAAACACTACCGTTGATTAATTTAAAAGTTATGAAGCTTATTGTCAGAAATTATTTGTGACACTAACATAACATTCCATATTTAAGCAAGATTTTAACGCTTGATGTAACAAGAACTATTTTTTGTGGGTCAGGTTCGAAAAAAAACTTTGTTTTCTCGAAAACTATGCTGTGTGGCGTTAGGTTAGGTTAGGTTTTGGTGACCAAAAAATATAATATATACTAGAAGGACTTTTTGATAAAATATCTTTCAAATCGAAATATCGGTTCTTAAAATATCTCAAAATATGTGTTTATTTTTAAAAATTTGATTCCCACTAATGAACAAATGAAGCACTTTTGGATAGAAGTTAATTATCATTCGATTAAATTATTTTGATTCTGAATATACATAATTTGTTAGTAAGTTGTATGTCCACTGAATATTGGAACACATCCTGTTTATTTTATATTACTCTAAAAAGTTGGATTATCAAGGATTGCTTTTTTTATATAGGACAAATCTGTGACCGAGTCTGATTTGACTGATATGAGGCGAAAACTACGGACAGTCAAATCTGCCGAAAGCCTGACATCAGGTCATTCGGAACCGGCCAACACAGAAGATGTTTTAGGACCGTTACATTCTTTAATAAAACCTCCGGGACACAACAGGTTTGAGAATATCCACCCGATATTTAATGGGTTAACTTTTTTCAGCAGTACTTTTAAAATTACAGGTCGGTGTCACACGATTCGTACTTCGACAATCTGCAAACGTCTAGGGATAATTCTGAGGGATCTCTGTTGGACCTGAGCGAGATTCATCTGAACTTTGATCTGGAAGAATCGGAAATGAGGATTTTTTCGGAAGACGAAAGTTTGGTTAGTTCACCTAGAATACAACGAGATGTAAGTAAAGTATTTTCATGAGGGTTCAAATATAAGGTTCGTTCCAACATAGCAGAGAATCGTTCTCAGTTACTTACGCTTACGCTACAGATTAACTTACAGATGTGGCACTTATTTCATCTTGCTGATAAGCGCTGATAAACGTGACCTCGAACCTTTAATAGGGCTATGGTGTTGTTAAACTTTGTTTTTTTTTCTCAGATGCATTGTTGCGTTTTCTAAAAAAATGTATTCCCAATTGAAATAATGAATCTCTGGTATAGCTTTATTGTAGCGATTTATCATATGCATGCGCTTTGTATTCAGTCCCTTTAAATACGATATTTATAGCGACCGAATTGTATCCTTATTTTATTTACTTTTTCCATCTTAAGGTTGATTCTCACTATCCTTCCATTTCCATTCCATATCCCTTCCATATCCGTTCTGTGTTTATTGTATGGACGCTATACATAAGATTCCGTTCCGTATCAGTTCCATACTTTTTATTGTACAATTTATATCATTATGAAAACTTTTTTTTAAAAATTTGTATCTTTTGAAAAAGGTAATATATTTAATTAAGAGGTGTAAGAATAAGCAAATATCAGAAAAATTTTAATAGAGCTGGTACAAATGTAAGAACTTGACAACGCTGTTTCCGATACGCTTCAGTCTGTCCGTCAAAAAAATGTATGGAAAGAAGGGATATGGAACGGAAGGGAAACGGAACGGATAGTGTGCATTGTCCTATTCATTTACATGATATAATATTTTATGTAAACGGAACGGAGCTGATATGGAAGGTATAGTGAGAATAACCTAACCTTTACTGATAAATCTGTGTTAATCTGTGCCTATGCGTAGCGAAGAAAATGTGTTCCAACCAGAGTTGCAGTCGTTAGTGAACTGGTTCCGGAACGTTGGTTTCGTTTTCAGCCTCAAATTCAGCTGAGTATTTATATATATTTTTCTAATCCCTCAAATTTTATTTGGTATTTATCGTTTTTATACATATATTAAATAAAGATTTCTATATTTTTGTACTAAATATGATGAGTGACGAAAAGGACTTTGATACTGAGTCTGTGTATATCAGTGAAGATGATTTAGAACTTAGAATTGTAATTTACATCCAAAAATTCAAAATTTGTAATTTATATCTAAAAAAATTCTAAAATCCGTGCACAAACCATCCCAACATGCATTTAATTTTTTGGTATTTTAACAGAATTGTCCAAGTCGACACATGCGTACACATTGACTATACCAATTACCGTACAAATTTGTGTGTTGGAACGAAGCTATAATATAACTTAAACCGTGGACATAAGTCTTGTCTTCTTTACACCTAATCTTGATTTATACTGTAATAATTAATATTTTAATTGTTTCAGTCGGGCCAAAAACGGATTTTAAGCAGAGCAAGACCGGAAGAGTTTACCAGTGCCGGAAATTCTGTTAATCCGTCGCCCAAAAAACAAGCGAGAGCCGTACTTTCGCCAGATACCTTGTCACGAAAAAGGACGAGGCTAGAGGATCAACTATCCGACATCCAGTACATCGATTGCGGTACCCCCGATAATCTCGTTAGTACCACCGCAGTCATTCACCCCACGCCAAATAGTCCGAAAAAATCGGAACCTATCGAACCCAAACGCCAATCGCTAAATTTGGATAACGGCCCGAAAAAGTATTCGCTTACGAAGTCCTTTACCGATGTTGATATTAACAGACAGTTCGTTGAGAGCACGAGCGTGCTAACAACACCCGGCTCTCCGAGGTACCAACGCCTAGGAGATTCAACCAGTACCGGTTACGAAAGCTCCCCATCCGAAATCACTTATCAAAATTTGCATAAAAGTGATACAGACTCTCTGCAGAAAGCTTCCACACCAAACTACGAGAATATCCTCACTACCATCAGTATCACGTACAAATCACCACCGAGAAGCGCTTCAGCCTCACCTTTGAAAAGTCCAGAGTACGAGAATGTGATTTTAAACCCGGAAAAGGTGGAAATTCCTACAAGCACGGCATCGTTGCCAGTCCAAGAAGCGTCGCAGCCAGACCTGGAAGAACGGCCTAGGAGTTTTAGCGGTTCAACTGATTCGACGACGGTTAAAGCCATGTGCAGCACCAGCGAGCAACTGTCCCTGACTAGTTTGAACGATCAAAGATCGGCTAGTTCCAATCGGAGCTCGGGTTCGAACATACAGTACACCGCTAGCTTGAGTTCGACGCCTTACCAGTGCATGGAGAATTCCTCCACGGATCTGAGCTTGAGCGAGGTGGTCCAGAGCCCCACCGATTCTAGTCAGACTTCGATCAGTACGCCCCAAAGCCCGTCGAAGAGTCCCAACGTTAGTCCCTCCACGGACAGCAGGAACGATATCTTACTTGGTAGTCCCGTGCGGTCTAATTCGCAAAACGACAAACGAAAGTCAGACGATACAGAGTCGTATGACGAGAACGCCATCTACCAGCAAGTAAAGTATTTTAGAAGGTCGATTCATGAAGTTAACGCGTTGCTGTCCATGGAAAACGATGAAAAACCTGAGGATAAAAACGATGGACAAAAGGAGGCGGAGGATGAAGCGGATGGCGATTCTTTAGAAGAAGACTGTCACGTTTACGAAAACGTCGATGCGGAAAGTATGAAAAGTAATGAAAAGACTGAAGAAAGATGCAACGTAAAAGATTTGATGAGTAGGTTTGAAGATGCCGGGCCTAAAATCGTTAACGAATCCAAGCCCGAGGAGAAAAACTCGAAACCGCCAAAACTACGGGTGTTTTACGAAAAGGATATTCTACCTCCGTGTTTGAGAGCGCGCAATCTGAAAAACCAACTGAAAACCCGATCGTTAGACGAGAATGAGTTTGAAAAAGAGTGCGGACTGATGAAAGCTAACCAGCGGAGGAAATCCATGGAAGAGAACGTGGGTTACAAAACGAATTCGCTTCCGAAAACTTTGAATTTACCAAAGACTCTCCCTAAGGATGAGCCGGGACAGCTGGAGTCTATTCATTTAGGTCACAGCGCCGAAAAATTGCCCGGAGATGAAAAAATCAGCGAGGATGAAGAACAAAAGAAGAGGGAAAGGATTGAGAAGTACAAGGAAGAGAGGAGGAAGATTTTAAGCGAAAAGTTCAGGTAAGTGTTTCATATATGATCTAGGTGTCTCATAATAATATGTTATTTTTTAAGAACATGTTCTAAACATCACCTATGATTTTATCTTAAAAATGTGTTTTAAGCAGTATATGTTTATTCGGGTGGGTCAAAAAAATTGACTATTTTTTTTTCACTTCATACTTTGGAAAAAGGTTCATAGACACCTCAAAAAAATTATCTCCAAGTATGAGCTCTTAAGTTTAATAGGAAGGTACTCCGCCTTTTAATTTTCTATTTTTTCCTTATTATTAGAAAGAAAAATTTATCTCGGTATCTACTATTTGGAAAAAAACATCTCGTCTCACGATGTAGGAAACTATTATTACAATTTCCTACTTTTTGTAGGAAATTGAATTCTCTACAAAAAAGGTCTCTTACAATTTTTATGTAAACCGCACTGTTGGAAAGTTATTAAAGTTTGAAGTTTCATTATTTTAAGGCAGTTTTATTTTTTCTTTAAAAAAAATTAATAAGTTTTGTTAACGAGTTAAAACTCGTTAACAAAAAATCATTGATAACGCTACAAAAATGATTTCTTATGATTAGTTGATTAAATTAACCGGTTAAGATATTCATCGCCAAACTTCAATACACATTATTTTTAACAGTTTTTGATTAATAATTCGAACAATTCCAATTTGTAATTTTATGAGTTTCGGGAAAATGTGTACAAATTTGAGTTTATGGTTAGACAACAAACAAGTTATTTAAACGTTTTTTTCTACTTTTTTTAGTCCTAAGCATGTTTGAGTACATTGAAACAAAAAATTATTGCATTTTTTCTAACTTAGAGTCTCGATTCATTAAATTTCGAGTAAATAACTTTTTTGTTGCAAAATTTAATATAAAAAGTATCGATCTAGAAAAAAAAATTTATCAAAAAGTTTTTTTTTATTTAATTATTGGATTGGAATTGTTCGAATTATTAATCAAAAACTGTTAAAATTATTGTGCATTTGAAGTTTGACGATGAATATCTTTTCTTCTTTTTCTTCTTCTTCCTTCTTCATAGTAGACGAATCGCCTGTTTGGTTTCGTCGTCTCTACCAGTCAGACTAACAAGTGGACGTCCTAAGCTTCAATTTAATTTTCTCACCCCATAGTTTGAGTTCGATGACCCCCCCCCCCTAAAATAATTGAAAGATCGGGCTACGGAAAATCACACAAATTTTCGGAAAAATTTTGACACCCGCACACGCGATAGTTCCCATCGCTAGTATAAAGTGAAAATAAATAGTTGATTTTTTTAACCCATCCTAATGTTTATAAGCGATGCTTAAACATATTCATTTGCTTGTAAACCATGTCGATATGTTGTATTGGCATTTATCTGACATGTGAAAATTATTCTTTATTAGATAACTATTTTTCTTTTTCAAACTAAATAATAAAGAGTTCCTACTTGTAGTGAACTTTTTTTGGAAATCACTGTAACTTTTCATAAAACTTTTTTGATTTAGGTCCGAATCTTTTAAGGAAGATAAGGAGGTACTTATGTCTCGACTGAAAATATACAAAGTCAAAGACGACGTTATCGATACTGCACCACTGCTACCTCCGAAAGTTGATTCGGAAAAGCCTCCACGAGTGAGACGAATCAGTAACGAGTCCAAGGATAGTGACACGAAGAGCTCTACACCGTCTCCTAAAAAAGAAGCGAAAACGCAAAATACCGGCAGCCTGAAGGTGCGGGCGGCCATTTTTGAGCAAAACCAAAAAGTAGCCCCGGTCAAAATGGAGTTTGTTCGAAATAATAAGGAAAAGGACAAAAGTTTCGGAAGATTTCTGGAAAAAAGTTAGTATAAGATATTATTCGATTTATTATCTATGTCGCTTGTGTGACATTTCCCATTTTATTTTTGTTGATAGTAACTTATCGATAGGTAAAATCCATTATCGCCAATCCCTAGTTTTTTTCCATAACAAGGTGCCGTCCTCTGCCGGAAACACTTCGACCTGTTCTATTGTGTTTGTCCCCCTTCTATATCTGCACCCATTCTCCTATCCCTGTGCCCTGCACTAGTTTATGCAGGTCCTTGATAGGATGGGAGCATAGTTCCTCCGGTTCTAGCCTAGCTTTCCCAAATAAAAAGTGTCGCTTGCGATCCAGAGCCTAGCAATAACATATCATGTGCTCCGCTGTTTCAGGATCTTTATCGCAGAGTCTGCAGCAAAGACTTCCTTGATACAGGTTGAGCTTGTTCAGGTAACACTTGACAGCCATGTGTCAAGTAACACACAGTCAGGTAACACTTGACAGCCTGTCAAGAGGCCTGTTGTAATCCGCACTTTATTCTTGCTAAGCATTAGCAGTTCTTTTGCGGTTTTAGAGCTAGGTCCTTGGATAAAAGCCTTGCTGTGCCTGTGCCCCTGTCTGTTTCTCCAATGGACATTGTGCTTTTCCCTGATCCAGTGTTTTAGTGCACTATGGGCCATACATTTGGGTATTCCCAGTACTGGCTCTGGACCAAGGTAGGATGCCGATGATCCCTGCCTAGCTAGCTCATCGGCTTTTTCGTTGCCTTGGATGCCGCTGTGGCCCGGCACCCAGAATTATTTAATTCTGTTTCTTCGTGCCAGAGCTCCCAGTTCACCCAGGCATTCCCAGACGAGTCTCGACGATACCTTTATACCCCCTTTACATGCAGCCCACTTCCGCGGCAGTGAGCATGGAATTGGACAGAGAAGTGGGCAGCGCGAGCATGTAAACACGTCGCTCGCCCTGCCATTGCTCATGTCATTGCTGCTGCCGTACGCTCCCTTTAGTGGCGGTATTTTGAAGGGACATCAAAGGAACGGCAGCACGAGTGGCAACGTCTGTTTACATGCTGCCGATTCCGAACCTCCGGCGCCGCGAGTGTTAGTTGTTGTGTAATTACCTACTATTTTTCCTATACAACAGCACAAAATATTCATGTTATTTGGGGTGCGAAATTATTGTTCAGATAGTTACTTAGGGAAACCACTAATGCATACTTTGTCAACTGCATGCCATCCACGTTTTTTGATTTTTTTAAGTACAAATTACTTTCATATACGAACATACTTTTTGATACGATTTGAAAGGTTAATCATCTAGTAATTTATAATATGGTAATTCTGCTTCAAAATCAGTGTCCGGGAAAAATATTTTACCGCGTAGTATGCGGGAAAGTGCTACTTTGCGTATGCTAAAGTGTGTACAAATACGTCGGCGTTTTTTTTTTCTATCACACTTCTCTTTAACATATTAATATAATTTTGCAAACTCAAAAAACAGAGCGCTGTCGCCGCCGCAATTTCTACGTTACTGATGGAGAGCAATAGCAATGCGAGGCGCAGTAGCTGCATGTAAACGGTCACTTGCTTCTACAGCTGCCGTGGAATTATTGAGGGCAGGACAGCGGGCAGCGCGAGTAGCAGCGGCAGTGGCTGCATGGAAAGGGGGTATTAGGTTCATAAGCGCCCCAAGTGCCGCCTGACTGTCTGAGCATATATTGATGAGCTTACCTGAAGAAGCTCTTCTATTGTTTTCTCTTGCACATTGTAGAATGGCGAAGATTTCTGTCTGGAATACGGTTGAGTGTTTACCCAAGGAAAAGGATAAGCTTGCCCTTGGTCTTTCCCCAAATACTCTAACTTCTATTCCTTCAGCGGTCTTTGACCCATCTGTATACCAGGTTAGTCTATCCTGAAGGAATGTTATATCTGTCCACATTTCTCGATCCATTTTGTTCACCTCGAATGGTTTGTGGTAGTGATAAAGAGGGGTCATTTGGTCCGATCTCATTTGGAGTAGAGATCCTCCGATAGAATCTCCCATATTTAAGTGTCCTGTTTCTGTCCTATTTCCCAGAGACAAGACACTTTTTTGTCGATAGAGTCCCATTCTTGCCTCCGCCTGGATCACTATGTGAAGAGGCGGAAGGTCCAGAAGCGCCTCCATTGATGCAGTGGGCGTTGATTTCATTGCCCCTGTTATGCTCAGACAAGCAAGTCTTTGCACCTTACTAAGGCTGAGCATTGTTGTTTGTTGCATTACCTTAGGCCACCATACCAAGGATGCATATGTTACTGAAGGCCTCACCACCCCAGTGTACAGCCAGTGCACCATCTGTGGTCTGAGGCCCCAGATTTTTCCATGAAGTCGTCTGACTACCGCTAGTGTAGTCACCGCCCTCCTTGTGACATTTTCCAAATGTCGGTTTCAGGTCAGTTTGGTATCCAGCATGATTCCTAGATATTTGACCTCCCACAAGAGAGGAATATCATCACCGCAGAGTCTTAGAGGTCCTAGTCCCTCCAAAATTCTTCGTTTGGTGAAGGGGATTATTACGGTCTTTGTAGGACTAATATTTAGTCCCTCCCGTGTCACCCATGATTCCACAATCTTCAGGGCCCTTTGCATTCGCTCCCTTACTGTTGGGTTAAACTTACCTCTGACTAACACGACCAAATCGTCTGCATATCCCAGAGTGCTGAAACCAGCCCTCAATCCCTAGTTACTAATATCTTCTTTAGTTAGTCTTAGTTAACATAAATTGTTATTTAACAATTTGGTATTTCAGAACTGTTATTTGGAAATAACAGTTTTTAATTCCAAAAAATAAGAGATATGAAAATAACAGTGCATTGCTTAGACGACTCTATTTTACAAGGCTAGCTGGAATTGTCAATCTTTTCGTTGGGGTAAACTTTTTAAGTAAGCCAGTAGCTATTATTTCTTAAATTACGGAGGCGTCGGCAGTTTTTATTTAGAGTTATAACTGTTGTCGATTGTTGGCTATTGTTAGATAATTATTGTAGGCAGAGATCATGTCATAACAGTCATATATGATTGTTCATAAATAAATAGAAAAATACAGACAGCTGTGGTTTCACTACTGTGAGTAGTTTATTATATCGCTATTATTAGTAACTGTGATTTTTCTAACTGTCATAAACCGGAAATACATTTAAACCGAATAGATTAAATACTAAAAAAAACATCATGCCTTGCTAAGCTTTATTTATGTTTCGATTTAAGGCGACAAATCAAGTCTCGATGATATAGCAGATGATCTGAAGGAACTAGAATTCATAAGGCATAAAAGAAGAGACATGGGAGAAGAAGAACGAAGAAGACATACTTATGAGACAAGGGAGAGGGAAACTGACTTAGAGCGACAGCGGCGAGTTAGCTTAGAGAGCAGAAATAGTCCCAGGTTTGATAATAATTATTTAATGAGATGTATGATTATCACTGATATGTTTTATTATTACAGAAAGGAGAGAGCTTCTCCGACTTACTGCATCAAAGACATGAAAGCCATCTTCGAATCAAAATGTAAACAATAGCCTATAGATATTTATACATATATACAAATAAAAACAATTTGATATTAAACGAAAGTACTAAAGAATTTGCTTAAAAGTTGACCAAATCTTATTATATTTTGTTCTAGAAGATTGCTCTAAGGTATTTTGTATATATAAGTTTGTGTATTCTTATACACATGCATCTATATATTTTTTAAAGCCTTTAAAGCTAGATGAAGACCGATTTTCGATTTTTGGAGTTCAAGTTAATATTTACTAGGGTAGGCTTAAAACATATTGTTATTGATCTGATGTTTTTAGAATATTTGCCATTTTATTGACAGATCTGTTGTATGAAATTCTATTAGATAGATAAATAAATTGGAATAATTCATGTGTACGACATCTTGACACATCTTAAATTCTACAGGGTGTTGTATAAAGTAACATGAAATAATGTTACTTCTTGCCTAGTACGTCTTAAAGTTTATCTTTTGAATTCGCCCTGTTTCAAAATAAATATTTGCAAATTGCGTAAAAAACGTGAGGTAACCATAGATATATAAAGTAACAAATTGTGTCAAATCAATCGCGCATCATGTTGATCAACGATTTTATACAAAATATGCTTTTTATCTTAAGGTATAAACAACTTTGAAAAAATATAAATTTTAAATATTCTAAATTTCTTGGATGCAGTGAGAAATTTTATTATATGCTTTTATGAACTTATTTTCAATTTTTTTTTGATCTTGTGCCATAATTTTACTCTATATTATACCATTTCTTTTTTAGGCTACTACTATTTTGGTAAATATATTTATATTGGTGTTCTTGTTAAATAAGTTTTATGTTATATTTTTACAATTCTGCTTTTTGACTACTTTGAGTTTATTGTTAAAAATATAAATGTTTATGAACTGTACAGAGTAGTACACTTAGTGTGGCCTTAGTTTTGGTTAGTTACATGCAACATGGTGATTTTTAACATGTTGCAATTTCCAACACAAATGAAAAAAACGGATTCTTATAGAACTTTTTCCTTGGAATCCAGTGGCGTAGTTATTTTTTTCATAATGTTTTGTTTTTGATATAGAACACCCTGTATATAGAGTATACAGACAGTTTATAAACAAATAAATTTATTAGAAGAAACTAAAACAAATATAACCAAAATAGTAGACTCTGTACAAAGATAGAAAAGTTTAGTTTTTTTTAGAATCATGTTTTATTCTTTAATGACTAGCACTAAATAAATCATCACCATCTTCTATTACTGTTATATATCTATGAATCAAAATTAATAAATACGAATATTATTTTTGTAAGTACATGGGCGGATACAAAACACTGTACCAAAACTACTTGTTAAACAATCAAATATAGAATTTTCGTCAAAAAGTATTATAGCTATATAGAAGTAAATGCTCGATTTTTGCTAATAACATATGATCATAAATAAATAAAGTTAAGCTTATCTTCAAGTCGTACGTAGCGTTTTTTTTGTTGACATTTTAACGTCATAAATCAACTTAGCCACATTTATTTATGATTGTAACCGTACAACAGAAATACGAATGTGATAAATATATATTTTTGTGTACATTTAAATAGTCAGTTTTTTTGTAATTTCTTTTATACTCGAATTTGTGAAGTTTCCGTGTAATTTAGTTTAATCAAAGTGATATGAATATAGACAAAAAAGAAATCAAGATATAGATCGCTTTAATTTTAAAGAGACGCATGTAAGGATATTTATGAGTAAAAGAGTTTCATTATGTATAATTTCATATTTCGTGTTTGTGTTTTATGCACGAAATACCTCTTGATCCAAATAAAGGATAAAAAGTAATATGTAGAGGACAATAAGAAGTATGACTTTTGTTAATCAAGAATTATTTTATCGCACTGATAGTTTGTTTTTTCTTTATCTTAATTTATTATTATCTTGGTTGTATATATTGTAATTACGCTTAAGACGCAAAAATATAGTTATGTTTAAATAAAGAACACGTTTTTCTTTAATTCCCAGTTTCCAAATAAGAGTTTATACATATTTAATAAGATGAGTAAAGTAGAGCAAAGAGCAAGTATTTTCGCAAACGTATGAAAGGAGAAATGTCTTCGTGTATTGAAAAGTGGTCATCAAAGAGGGAAGGCTAAAGAGGATGCTGCTTCCAATTTTTCAATAATGTCCCATAAGAGACCTTTCTCGTGTTTCTCCTTACCTCTAACCAGGGGGGTGACAGTGAAATAGGAAGATTGGAAACAGTCATTAGTGTCATTCCTGTCATCTCCTGACGACAAGTATGGCCGCCTAGACAAGGACAGCAATGTTTCTCTCTAACTATTGTCTAACTTCACAGTTTAGAATTGACAGATTTCAGAGACAACTTCAGATTTGTTCTAGAACAAATTTCGACGCCATTTTAATTCTCTCTGTTTAGTTTTGTTTGTAAAGTAACAAAGCATATAAAATATATATTACATGAAAAATCCTGGAGAAAAAGACGTTTCTGTAGTACTAGGTATGTTTCATGTATATTAAAAATAGGTAGTAAATAAACACTATTTCTGCATTTTTTAGATGCAAGAAAATTTTGTTATGTTTATGATCGGCGATTTTTTTGAAAATGGAAACAATTTACAGCAAGGTAAGATCATTTTTAACTATAGTCAACATTAGTTATCTCCAGTATGTGCGATTTATTGTCAATAATGCAATAAATCTGACTGATACAATCCGATTGTTATCCGACTAAAAGTCTCTTTTTGCTTCTTTTTGATTTATAAACCAGGTCTCTTTGGGAATAATGGACGCTTTTTTTAAAGAGTATATTTGTATTTTATACCTACTAATATTTTTACATTGTTAATTTTAGTATAAAAAAATTGTTTTTCTGTTTTCAGGTTTTTTGTATAAGGCTCCCGTTTTCATGTTCCTGCCCCCGTTTTCTGTCTCTGATGGCTGTGAATACGTGTATTTATTTACAAATTACTGTAAGTCATGCTTATACCTTACTAATTTACGTTAAAATTGCATATAATTAAGTAATTGCTGTTGAAATCATTCAATTCTTTATTTTTTATATATATTTAGTCACGTTGTCTCATATTTCAAATAAATATGTTTGAATAAAATTTTGTTTTGTTTTATTTATGATAAGAAAGAGTACAAAATACATTTAAACTGAAAGAGGGCCCGCCATTGAATAACCGGAAACGGAAATAAATACGAAGCCATCATGTCAACCTGTCAATTGGAAAATTAGTTCTCCAGACGACAACGAAGGCTTTCGGTGGCGTATCGTGTTTCCACGATATAACACAGAGTTGACACTTCTTTCTAGTTAATTATTTTATGCCTCTAACCATACAGTCCTTGCCTTCTAACCTCCATAATGAATGCTTAGATATATAGAAAAGAGACACTTTTGACAGATGACATAAGAGACAATTTACTTTTGAATTAAAATGATAGACAACTGTCACTGTCATCTAAATAAAAGCATTTATCAAAATCTTTTCCAGGAATAGTTTATGTTTCTATTTTAGATTTGTTTAATTTCTTAGTTTCTTTGATTTTATAAAATAAAAACAATTCAAAATTATTATGTATTGATTTATTAATGTTACAAGTAATGACCATTTATACATTAACTCAATAGATAGTAATTTTTGTTTTTGCCCGATGACAGAATATATTACTTCAACGGATGACATCCGAAAAATTTAAAACAATAAACACTTTTTAATAAATTAAATTTGGCAATAAACAATTTCAGACATACCTTTAAAGTGAAATGACAGCTAACTGTCATTAATTTCATATATTTATCGCGGAAATTGTATATTTCAATTCCTGATTATAGCCAGTTAATCTATAAGAGGTCAGTTATTTTAACTCATTTTATTATTAGATTACTATTAGAATAAATAACATAATAACCACATATTCCAGTACCATAACCTATTTGTAAACAGTTATTTTCACTTTTGAAAGTTGGCTCTTGTAGTAACAATCAAAGTGACAACAAAGACAAGCGACAGCTGACAGTGGATTATTTCAAATGTCAATAATGTCAAAGTGTCAAGTATTTTTCAGGTTAATATGAATTCTTGCTAGAAAATTAAAATATAAAGAAGTTTTATGCAAACTTTTGAGAAATGGCGGTATATAAACATTGCAGATGTTGCCTAAAATATCAAAATAATTATGTTGCATTTAATTTTACGGATTCCGAAAGTAAATTTAGTGTTTCTGCAGCATTACGTTTAGTTGTTCCAGAATTGGTAAATATTTTTTGTTCTTCGTGTCAGTGGCGTAACTAGAGAGTGGCTAGGGATGGGCTAGGGGAAGCCTTTCAACCTCAAAATTAGCCTCCTAAGAAGATTGGTAAGGGTGGTTTAAAATCGGTTTTAACCTAAAATCGGTAAATTATAAGTGTAAAGGTCGATTTATAAACTCTACAGTTGGCTTTGGATTTGGCGTTGGCGTTGGATTTGCCGTCGACTGTTCGTAGCGCCGCAAAATCGCATTTATAAACTCGACGGTTGACAGTTGGCTTTGGCCGTTTTGGGCAGATCTAACCTTACATTTTTGTTTACTTTTTACTTAAGAGTAGCAGAGTCTATAGTGCGTTTTTAGAGACGAAAGTGTTTAAAGTTTTGGTTTTTGTTCGAGATTTTTAATTATGGATTTGGAAAGTAATGGTCTTGATGAAATTACCCTATTAGGGTTATTGGGAGTGACCATAAATTTGGAATTAGCATACTTCAAAACTAGATGTAAACAAAGCAACACGTGATCGCTCTTTACTATTCTATTGGCTGTAACGTCATTTGCTACGTGGTGCTACGGACGGCGAACCGCCGCGAACGGTAAAAAGTTAAACATAATTCAAGTCCGACGGCAACCGGGCGCCAAAGCCAACGCCAACCGTGTTTATAAATGCTCTTATGGTAATATACAGTTTTAAGAATTGGGCGGCGGCGCCAACGCCAAAGCCAAATCCAACTGTGAGTTTATAAATCCTACTTAAATCCTACTTAAGGGCTTCATAAGGGCTTGAGCTTCCCCAATTTTTTTTTTGTTGCGCCAGTCTAGTTGCGCCACTGATTAGCGTAACACTTTTTTTGTTGCATATTTTTTATTTTGCCACTAGATATAGGAAAATGTAATCTTCAGAGGAAAAATAAATATATATAATTTTTTTGGCGCTTTTGTGATGTACTACAGGTCAAATTAACGTCGCATTTATTTAAAAACAATTAAAAGTCGATATTTTTATGTTGCGTTCAAATGTCATTAAACTAGAAAGATTGCTGATAACTAGTTGGACCAATTATACAACACTCTATTATAACGCGTATGGTTTATATTTAAAAACTATAATTAATTATTCTCTAAAAATACATAACTTACTTTAAGAATAACTGTAGAACCCTGCTATGCATCCCTGTAGGCTTGGTACATTCTCCGCCGGTGCTGCCACCATCGGAGAATATCGTAAAAAACTAGCATATACAAATACACAGGTTTAAATAGCGAGTATACGAAAAATTTATTGTTTAATTATTTTAAAAGTGTTAGGAAGTGTAATTTGTGAAAATTCTAAAAATAAAAATAAAAAAATAAATATTTTGATATCTTCAGAAGGTCTAACTTAGTAATTAGATGAGTTCAACTACGGTAGCGAGCAGCATTTTGCACGCACCGGATTTGCTAGTGGGGTCATAATCGGGGCTATTTCGGCTATAACAAAATTTTTTAAAGGTACATAATTATAATTTTAGAAGATGTTCATAAAGCATTTAACCACTAGTTGATTAAATAAAGTATACCATTAATATTGCAAATTATATTTTATTTTTATCCTCTCATAGTCTATTTAATTTTTTGATTATGTAACGAGCATTTTGTTTACACACTTGATTCGTCGAACTGCTTGAATCCATTTCTGATTTTGCTCAAATTGGTGGGTGTGAGAAACTATGAAGCTATAAAATGTGGTTTCGGGAGAGTTGAATAACCAAATTTACGTACCTCGGCTTGTGGAAATCGACAGATTATATTATTCCCGTGATCCTTAACTGATTTTTTTCAAAATAAAAATAAAAAATACGCTCGAGAATATCCAGGTTATGTTTTTTACTTACAATTTTGTGCTAGCACAGACTAGCACAATATCCGAATTATCGCTCTCCAGATTATCAAGTCTTTACTGTAGTCATGTTGTTTTTAGTTTAGCCACAGCTTATAATAGAAGCAAAAATATTTTTAAGAATTATATGTATATGTTTTTATGTTAATGTATGGAAATATTAATGTTTATTTGAAATTAGGTTTCTGGAGTTAGCAGGTTATCACGTTTCACTGACGTAATGGTAAATTGTGAACGCAACTTAATTTTTTATTCGGTGATCCAAATACAGGGTGATACAACGTTCCGAAAAACTTCCATATTAGGTTTCCTATTTGAGGTTTTCACTTCATTTTTCTTTCAAAATAAGTGTGCACACCTTAAAATTAATTTGCAGTGCGACTCAAATATATTATTTTTTCACTAGAGTTATATTTTTTAAATTAAGTGACTGTGCAAGTCAGTTATAACCTTAAGCGGCGGCTACACGACAGCGACTTGCCTGCACGGTATAGTTTGCGCAGTTAAGACGGAATGCCGTTGGGTGGCTACATGTTGCAAGCATGTTTTCGGTTTGCGCAAACCACAGTGTGGTTATGGTGTGGTAATCGTCGATAAATTTTGTTTGAGAATTCGCAGCAATGCTAAACGATTTTTTTTTTATTTTAAGTGCATTCTTCTACTGTTTGCTACTGAAGAAATATAAAAGAAAACGAATAAAAAAAATTCTGTTATAAATGTCTTTGGATAACTCCGTATATCGTCCATTATCACTTTTCTTTTATTTTATTTTCACTATTATCATAAAATACTCGACAAAATACTACTATATTTTAGGTTATTTCGGCATGTTTACAGAACCGAAGGCTGTCATCCCCGTCCACACGCACAAATTATACCGCACAAACCGGTTTGCGCAAACCAAAACTTTCAGCAAGACGACGAAAGCACAGGCCGTGCTTTTTGGTTTGCACGAGATACAGTTTTCCCGTCCACACACACGGGCGTCCCGATACAAACCAGTTTGCGCAAGTAAGTCTTCGGTAAAGCCTGTGCGTGTAGCCGGCCCTTTAGATTAAGTTATAACCTATACTGGACAGACTTTATGAATGAATGGTATTGATGAAACGTTTTCATCATATTATATTTCTATTTTTAGAATCAACAGGCTCCAAAAAAAGCTGTCATATGTACGCAATGCTACGCTTTATTGATATTGTCATATAATTTTCGCTTACAAACTTTTAAAACGGAAAATATTATTAGCGCATTCAGAAAAAAAGATCGACATATACCTAATTTTTCTGAAGAAGATTTAGCTGAAGTAGCAAAACTTATCCACAATACTGACGGTGAGAATATTAAAGCATAGTGTCAGTTATGTTTTTATAACTTAATTATTAGGTACTGCCCCTGAACCTCTGCGAAACGAGGAAGAAATAATAAAAATAATTGAAGCAGCAGAATATTTTCTTAAAGGAAATAATAGCAATCTAGTAATAAATGAAAATGATCTTACAAAGCAGTCAGTTGAGTCAGTTAAGCTAGGTGAAAATGGAGGTGATACAAATGAAACGGATTCCAATTCAGAAAAGTACCACGAAGAAAAAACAATAGAGCATAAGAATGAAGAATTGGACGCTGGAAACTATATACGATTACCTCAAGGGATTTTAACGAAACATTATCTTAAACAATCTGAACTTTGGTCTAGTGTAAATACCAATGTATCAGATAAAGAAAACCAAACATACAGATTAGAGCCAGGAGAAGTACTACCCCTTACAGCGAAATTGACACCAGTCAAATATAAAATAGATCGGAATCTTTCAGATGAAACACTGAAAGATTCTAGCCTAAATACTAGCGGTCCTAAAAGTGATGAAAAACGATTATCCAGGTAAGATTTAAAAAAAATTAAATTAATTTACAGTGTCTTTCAAAAAGATTGAAATCAAGGCAGCATACCCAAAGCAAATTATTGAGTCTATCCTGCTTTATATTTTAACACGTTTTAAATAAGATTAGAATGCCACTGATAAACTGTAATTTAAAGCAGCCATATTAACGCCCCATCACGGTCGCGATGTTTAGTTAATAAGCTCCTTCCTTAGTCCTTAGTCTTTTTATTCAAAGTATTCCCATTTGCTCCGAACTTTTTGGAACATTATAAATTAATATTCTATAAGCGATACCAAATAAATTTTTAGTGACGTTAGCGAGGCATGAGTTAATAATTTTGTATTACAACTTTTTAGTTAAGTGAATTGTGTTGGGATACTTTACGCTTAATTTTATTTACTAACAAACTGTGCTGTAAAAAATTGTTCTTTTTAGAACCGCTTTTAGTGCGAAGTGTACAAGATAGCTTAATAGCCGTTGCAAAAAAACTCATCGCAACCTTATTAGAATATTTTGAACGGGAAAGCGGTAGTGATGGCTCTTTATGTCCCTTAAGTGTTGTTCACCCCCCGGTGAGTTTTGTTGATGGAAATAATAACTGTTTATATATTTATAATTAATTCATTTTTGTTTCCTAAAATATGTTGATTTATTATAAAAGAAAATATGCAAAAGTTGGCAACGCTGTGCAGGTCAAGATTAATCACGTTAGTTTATTTGGTATGATCTTTGCATAAAAAGATTTAGGAAGGAGTATAATGTTGTCTATGTATCTATGCATGGTGGGCGGAAAAAGGGCTCTAGGATCCTTGACAGTTCTATTTGACGATTCATTTGACACATTTGAAATGTTGTGGATTTGTCAGTCTTTACTGAGCTTATTTTATGTTATTTATTATTTATTCTACTACTGATAGTTGTATAAAGGTGGTAAATCTAGATGGGAATTGTGGCAGAACTTAAATTAATAGTGACACTATTGCGATTTGTCGAAAAAGACTGAAAAATAGTTGTTTGTAGCGTGCGGTAGATCTCGGTCAAAAATCGAGTAAAATAATGGAATAACTTACGCTAGTAAGTGACTATATAATATACATACGTGTAGTAAACCAATATAATTTATGAAATTCACTTAAAATAACTAATTATATATTTTTTTCTTGCACTTTTGCTTTTATTTACTACTTGTCAAAGAAATTAAATACGTCAATTTGACTAACCTGCTTCAGTAACGTACCGGATGTTTGTGTTAATAAATAATTATTATAACTTATCTATTTTTACTAGAATTATATATTTTTATAACAATTTTAATAACTATCAACATTTATTCACAACGTAAAATAAAACAACAAGAGTGAGTCTACCCCACGTTTACCGTACACCATAGTTTTACACTTTTCAATTAAAATTAGAACGGCACTGATAAACCGAAATTTAAGTGGGTTATATTTGAGTCTTGAATCCTATCGCGGTTGTGTGACCTAAGTTTTTTGATATGCTCCTTCCTTAATCTTTTTATTCAACGGGTATGATCTATACCTATATTTACTTTTTGATTTAAAATGTTCAGTAAAGTAGAAAAATTAATCATATTTTTATATAGGCCATCAGAAGACGTTAACAGCAATACAGAAGTAAAACAACTTATACCTACTCATAACAGTCAGTTGGATTGTTCTTCAACTACACCACCCAACAGTAGTATTGCAAGCAAAACAAAACCGAAAAAACGTCAGTCCAAAGCAAAAATTAAAGCCATCGAAGAAGGTAACGATATACCATTAATATTGATTAAATTATATTTGATCCTCGCAATATATGCCTATTTAATTTTTGTTTACTCAATTATTTCATCGAACTGCCTGAATCTATTTTTGCTTTGGCTGGCAATCCATGGTTGGCAACAATGAATTTAAAAATCGTTTCCTCGATTACGTAACTAAAAGTTTAAGGCTGTACTTAAACTGCCGTTAAACGGTAGCTTACTAAAATGCCGTTAATATGTATGACGTCGTTGATGTGACGCACTTGACGGGCTTTATGAAATACAGGAATTTTATAAGAACTAACGCTATCTACCCCACCAAATAACCAACTTAACCAACGCAACTAACCTCGACACTGATATGAAATATAAAAAACAAATATAAATTAGTAAAAACCAACCAACCCCACCAAATAACCAATGAATTAACACCCTCCAAATAACCACTCTAACCAACCCGCCAAATAACTTAACCAATCCAACCAAAAAGAGTGAAACCAATGCAATAAGATCACGCTATAAGCAAAAAAATATTAAAAAGTCTTGGTCGGCGTGAGATTTGAACCACGGACCGTGCGCTCACGAAGCGATAGCCTCAGCCACGGAGCCACAGGTGCTCTTGCAAAATACTTATAGGTAGGCATTACTTTCCGCCGACATGAACGTCGTCACAATATCTATTAACGGCATTTTAGTAGGCTACCGTTTAACGGCTGTTTAAGTACATCGAAAGTTTAATTGGTATCAAATGAGGCGTCAAGTTACAAAACCCGTCTTATCCCACAAACGTTGTTTCGAGATAATAGGCAAAAACTGTTTTAGCAAATGTTTGAAGCGTTAATATACAAAAAAACGTGACCATTGAGTGGAATCATTGTTTTGTATCTTTTTCTAGGAATAAAAATTAATATTTAATTTTTAAACGAAAAAAAAAACTCAAAAATAATTCGGATAAGGTGGGTTTTGTTGCAGTATGATGCATATTGGCTATAAAATGAAGAACGCTGTCATTTTATATGTAAATTTTTATGGGAAATGTCAGCGATCGTCATTTCCTAGCCAACTGGACGCGTTTTTTCGATCATACGGTATTTGCCTCCTAACGTGATTTATTAAATATACTATTTTATTAAAATTAAGTAAGGATTTGAAAAGACATCAGTAGTAATATTATACTTGTGTAAAAAGCTTATAAAAAAATGCGGGATTTGTAAAAATAATGACAATAAAAAGCAAATATAAGTGGATAAGACGGATTTTGCTGCAGTAACGTAATTTGTAGTGAATTTTATATACGAATAGGCCAATTTTATTGCAGTTTGGGATTATGTTTATGTAGATTTCAGGGTCCACTATTAATATACATGTCATTAGGATTTTTTTTAAAAATTGGATAAGGCGGGTTTTGCAACTTGACGCCTCAAGTATACTTAAATATCATGGCATGACGGAATTTAAAAAAATCGGTTGATAAACACCAGTCCTATAAGTCTTAAATTTTCTAATACACTATCTATCAAAACAATGAATACTAAACATTTATATTTTTGAATTTAATTTTTTTTCCCTATGGATATCAACGAATTCTAGATCCAAATGTTTCACGGAAGGGCAGAAGGGTTTCAAAAAAATCCATAAATAAAAGAAAAACTAAAAGTCTCTCACCAAAAGAGGACATGGAGGTTGAAAATAACAATACAGCTATATCAAAACCGCCCGATGTAAGTCAAGAAACTTTGTACGAAAATCTCGACATAAAAAAAGAACCATTGTATGCAGAAGATTATCTAAACTTTTTCGGTAAGCCCAATATAGTACGACCACAAAGAGAATGTATGACATCTGTTGCATTTTGATGTAATTTGAATGTATTTTCTCTCGTTGAATAGGTTTTTAAAAATAATTTTATAATTATATGGACAGTTCAAATAAATGTAATATTTTTACTCTGAGGTCAACCATTTGATTAACAGGTTGAAAGGTATTTTGTTTTTTTTTGCAGAATATACAGAAGAGGAAAACCACGATATGGAATGGAACAACGAATCATTATCCAGTGCATTCCAATCTATGGATAATATTCATAATATTGATAACATCGTAGATATTCTACCTGAAATTGGTAACTAATTTTTATTTATATCTCTATGAAGGGGAATATAAAATAATATCTAGTATTATACGGAGCGACCAAGAATGATTGAAATTGTTGGCTATTCTGATTATGCTTGGTTGGTTGGCAATAAATTTCAGAAATTCGAAATTTATCACTAGCGCCAAAACAAACCAAAAATTAAATATGATTATTTTTTACGATATTTAAATTCGTGTCCCATAACAATGTGAGACTAATTAAAAAACAGATGAGAAGTAAGATATATTATAATAAGTATTCCATTTCCATATTGAACACTATAGTTGTATTGATAAATAATTTTTTACATTAAAAAATACGTCGATTTCACAAATAAACAAAGTTTTCAAGAAGATAAGAAACTACGACTAAAGAATACAAGAACTAATAACACCCGATACCAAATTGTTACCATACCCCCAAACAGTGCCGTGGCACATATTTTTTTTAACTTAGCTGCTTGAAGAGATATTATATTTTTGATAAATGTTTTGACTACGCCTATGGTGTATGCGGTGGTATCATACTAATTAATTATGAAAAAAACGTATTAAAATGTTAACAAAAGGTACAAAACTAGTATCGACGTATAGAACAGATCAATTATGGAATTTTTATGGAATTCAATAAGAAAACTAAAAAACCGTTAAAAAAGTGGAGTGGATTATGTGGCTCTTTCTTATCGCTGCGGCTTTTACACTTGAAAGCTGAACAATTAATCACCATTTTCATAAAGTTTATACAAAGTTCACTACACACTACACACAATAATCTATTAAAAATCGCTAAAATTGTCGCTAATAACCAGCTGATGACTCATTAGCTTCAAAAACCTGACTGAAAAAATGACTCGTTACCTCCAAAAAATGGCCGTCTAACATCACAAATTCTGCTGCAGTCCATATAATATGAGCATTACGTGTCCTAAAAAAAAACTGAGGTCAATGAATTGACATATTTGCTATTTTTCGATTCAATAATTTGTTTTAGCATCAGTACCAATCGTTAACTCTAAAATCCTTCAATACAGTTTTGCCAACTGTGTTAATCAATGTTAATCACTCCGTAGAATAGTATTTCCAGCGAAGCATAATGTGGCTCTGACAGCTGTTGTGTATGTGTCATTTTAATTCAAAAATAAGCAGTTTATTTATATCGAGATTAGGCGTTGATTTTATTAAGGAAGGCGTTGATTTTATTAAGCTTACTGATGCTGGAAGTACACACTCGCCGAGGCGATACGAGGTGCGACAAAAAATTAACGATATGCACATTGTTATTGGGTAGGACCGTCCTTTTTTGTCGCGCCTCGGCGAGTGTGTACTTCCAGCATGAGAGTAGAGACATAGTGGAGCAGTTCATCTCGCCGTGCAACGATACTGATACATTGTAGGACATGGTTAGGAACAAAGATATTTAAACTCGGGAGATACAATGTTCCATTCATAAAACGCTCTAAAGCTTCATCACACATTGGTTTGCGAAAATCAACGAGTGCAAGAGAGAATGGATAGAGAAGGAAATAGGGAAATATCTGCTCGATGGCAACAATGTAGTTGTGTACAAAGATTAGACGTTTGAGGTCAATTTCCAGTGGCGTGCCGATCGACCGACAGTATTTTAAGGAAATTAAAATAATTGTTTAATAAATTAAAATAAAATAATAATAAAACTTACATCTTACATATTTGTCGCATTGTAAAAAAATAAGTTGAGGGAGGATAGCGAAATAAAATAAAAACCGGCATAATTTTTTATTATAAGATGGCTTTTCACATAAGAATAACGATTAAAAAATTAATAAGCGTTTTTTACTTTATTTTATTAAATAAAATATCAAATTTTAGGTGTATTAGTAAATGTAGTTTCAATATCTTGTTCCAAACCTTGTTCGTCTCGGTGAATGAGATTCCCTCTATTAGCAATAACAAAATAAAATAGTTATTTTAACCTAATAACACAATATTTTACCAAAAACCAGTATTTGTAGAGTTCACATATTTTTGATAAAAACTTTATTATTATATATATGAATTTTACAACTACAATAAAAAACAGTGAATAAAATTTAAAATGTGCCTTATAATTTTTATTAGTTCACAATTGTTCACTAATGAGGGAATAAGAAGTAAGAAAATTCAACATTTATTTACCTTAAGTTTCATTTTAGGGATGTTTCAAACACAGTAAATCAGAACTGAAAATATAAGATGTATATTATACCGTACGATCGAATAAAAACGGCGTCAGCGATGGCTATGAAATGAAGATCGCTGTCATTTTATATGTAAATTTATATAGGAAATGCCATCGATCGTCATTTCCAAGCCAACTGGACGCCGTTTTTATTCGATCATACGGTATGTGAATATCTAAACAAAATTATTTGATATAATACACAGTCATCAGAAAAGTCTAGCGATAATTTTACAAAATCATAAATAAAATAAAATGGTGATTGTTTAGTAAACGGTTCTTAGTTTAAAAAAATATTTAGTTTTTTTTTCTCTTGTTTCCAAAGGAAAATTCATATTGTTTATAAATAATAAAAAGTGCATGTGCAAAGAATTTCAATACAATAAAATGTAAGAAAGTCATAAAATTCATGTAATAAGAACATTAATTATATGCATGTCAAAAGATGTCCATTTACATTATAGCAACCAAAATTTAAAGCAAAAGCCGTATAAAATTGTAACGGCAACAAAAAAAGTAAGGCCGCAAAATTCCATCTTTGGTACACCCCAATAAAATTTTCACAAAAGGTAGGTAATGGTTTGTCAAACCCAAGTAGGTACCTAGATTAGATTTATTCTTATAAGAAAGTACGGTTTTTCGAAAATAGATGTTTATAAATTACAGACGGTTTATAGAACTTAAAATTTAATTTTTAACATTCAATACCCTTTCTTAAAAGGGAAACAGAAATTGTTATTAACTTATTAGTAATTAGTATGTACCATGTACCTTTTTGCTACAAATAATTTAATTAATAAATATATAATTTAAAAAAAAACATAATAAATATATGATTTAAAAAATAAACCTAAAAATATAATTTAGAGATCTGCTATTTTTTATGTACCTAACCCTACTTATTTGTATTTACCGGTGAAAAGTTAAATTTGGATTTAAATGATACACTCTCTTGTACACAATACATGAATGCGCTATATTTTTAAATTAATGAATGGAATGATGAAGGAGAAAGGTAAACAATTGTATCTCGAGTTTAAATATCTTTGGTTAGGAACTACTCCACTATGTTTTTACTCTTAGTCTATTTTTTCGATATTTTTAGTCATACGGTATTGAGATACTTTTATATACAGGTGATGAAATAGATACCCCCGAGTACGTCAGAATAAATAGTATAAGACCTGCTTCTTTTAAGGATATAAAGAATCAATTATCTGGGGAGCCAGTAGGTACCGATAAATCATCGGTTAAAAAAGATAAAAAGAGGCAAGTAACCGCAGTCTAGCCGTGGCTCAGTGGCAAGTGTATCTGCTGCTGACCTGGCACTCATCCATTAAATTGTGGTATCCATACTTTAATATACATTTTTTTGTTAAACGTAGGTCAATTAGTCAACCTGGCGTTTACTATCCCACCTACCCGATATACAGCGAGACTGGTGACTACATTAATGATCACGATTATTTGTCGACTCCTTACGTCACAAACGGCATATTACGACGAATAGGCAAAAGGAGGGTGTGCGTATGTTGGCTGTGCGATGCCAGTCATGCTGTCGGGCAACACGGCTTTGTAATTATCCATATACAAATATAAATAAATACGATAAATATATTTCCTGATATTAAGCCCCATCTACACCACGTTTTACCTATCACTTTTATCTGTTCATTCAAAATGTATTAACATTGATTGAAAGAATTGAGAAGATACGCAGCCTAATAGGCAAATTTGTGACAAGGCTGATTTGATTTCCCCTGACGTCTCAAGTGCTGTACGGTGGAGCCTCTACTCGTTCTGCAACCAACGCATAAAACACTCACTTCTCTAATTCGGCAAGCAAAGGCATATCGAAAACGGTGTGGAACTGAAAGCGACAGTGTTGCTATATTAAAATGTGTAATATCTGTAATACGTTTGACGAAAACATCTTTGGATGAAAAATCCGCGTTTATGTATTGAAAATTTATTCGTGTTAAACATAGAATAAACACCGATAGACGCCGTTCTTTGTTTATTAATATTACTATATTAAATTGCTTAATGATAGAAAATCCGTATTATTAACGTACTGTACCCAAAATCCGTAAATCTCCTAAGATCTACGGATCAATCCGTAGTTCTGGCAACAGTTTCCAGCAACCACTCACTCTATCGACTGAAAGCAGAACTACGGTACAGTATTCTGTATCCGCTGCGCTATAAACGACTATCAACGTCGCAACGGCGCAGAGTTAAACTAAATCTCGGACAGGTTGCCTAGCGGCAACGATATCGGCAGCTACATCTCAGACAGGTTTTGTGCCACGAAATCGCCCATAAATGTTGCGCACCTTCTTATTTCTTCAATCAACGGTATTAAGTAAGGTAACAAAATTCACAACACCGACCGTGTTACAATAAAAAAAATAATGGTATTTAAGAAGGATAATGATTACAAAAGACCCATTATTTTTAAATTTATTTTAAAAGTATGCATTTCCATGCCTCATTCATTACACCATTGATTATAGGAACTTATTTTTTCATATTTTTTGATGAGGAATCAGTGAGTACTCATTTAATACCTTGACCAGTCAATGATATTAAAATGTTTAATATTGCTATTAAACTTGGTTTAAGATAGATTAATAAAATAGCGTTTATCTCATCAAGGAGCCAAAATATCGAGAAACAATTTTTAATCGCCATTAAATGGCCTACCCAATTGTGCTAAGGGCTCAAACTCACTGACGACCAGGTCGCAACGACCTGGCCGTCGGCTGGCCGGATGCTTTACGTTTTTAGCTGCGGCCAGATGAACGACCAGTTTCAACAGAGTTGTCAAATCTAACGATTTTTTACGTTTTACCAATTAGAAAAAGCGAAGTTGCTATTCACAACAAACAAAAGGCATTGTGTACGCGCGACCGACAAAAAGAGAGATATTCTGTTTCTTTTTTCTACTGATATGGCGCCCTTATTGACTTTAGAAGTAAACATATTAGGTCCATCGTAAAAAAAGATCGTCAGATACTGCCTCTAAATATAAGCAGGTAGAAAGTTTAGCTTCCAGTTATTTCAATGTTTACAATATAACGAAGAATCTACAACAGTAATTACTTCTATTTTTATGAATGTTTAAGTTACTTTCTTAATTTTTTTTTCAAAATAATGTACCTAGTAGAAATATAGTCTAATGAACCCTGTTTGAAAAACGTTAAATTAAATATCATATTTAAAATACAGTTGTCCTCCTTTGTATATGACTACAATACAACTAAAAAAACTAATTTAATAAAAAAAACAAGTGGTTGTAGAAAAACTTTAAATATTATTTTTTTTTATTTTTTAAACATCGAAACTCAAAGGTATAATAACAGGTATCATACTAACCATAAATAGAGTAGGTATGCCATATAAAAATGTTTTGAGTTTTTACTAGAATCGACCTTTGATAAAAAAAGGGATTAGATTTAAGTTTACCTTTGATCCAGTCTGTATACTATTTCTTTGGATTTTCTGCACGTGTGCAAAAACTACACTAAAACACTATATCTTATAGAAAATAAAATATTGTGCGTTGAATTTGAGGGATTTCATCTGAAAAAATATTAATTTGGAAGAAAACCGGCAACAAGCGACAGAAAATAATAATATTTCCGTGCAGTCTTCTGGTCGCAACGACCAACGGACGGCCAGGACGTTAGTGTGCGCTATATCATATGATTTAATGGTTTTAGAGGTAGCTGCGGCCTGGCCGGTGCGACCTGGTCGTCAGTGTGTTCGAGCGCTAATGAGAAAAAAGTCAGAGGCGCACATTTTTCTTTTTAGAAATATATTCCAGTGATAAACCATATGCACGTCCGTTTTATCCTCAAAATATCATTCGAATCTACGAAATCATCGTAACTACGAAAATTTTGATATAAAAAATAAATCTTATTTTTACTTTTTTTGTGAAACACCCTGTATTGCATAGTTTCACAGAGTGCAGGTAAAACGTTATGTGTAGACGGGGATTTACAGTCATAATGATTAACTTTTTAATTTTTCAGCACATGAGAAGACATGAAAAAAGCACGACATGTACCGTATGTCACGTTAATTTCCACAATGTTTTTCTTTTAAATATTCACGTCAAGCGCCATTATTCGTATTGCAATCCATGTAAGACGACAGTTTCATACCTGAGTCATCACTTGCACGTCAAATGCGACACTGCAAATGAAGAATCGAAATGTGAAAATGACCAATATTATAAGGATATCCCCGACAAAAACTTCGACAATCAGGAGGTTTCGTTAAAAGAAAAGGTTCGTTGATAGTAGTATAATACATGTTGTGACTATAACTTGTCAAGCAGTCACTTCATCTGCGTGGTCTGTATTTTAATGCACGGGACAGTGATAGATATAAATGACCGGTTGACAGACAGAGAAACAAAATAAAAAGCGGCATACAATGTTACAAGTTTTTACGTGTGTAGAAAAAATTAAACTATTTTAAAAACTTTCATGTATACTAGTGAAATGAAGATACTAATCTAAGCTAAATATAATCTATTACAGCTGTAGTAAAATGGGTAATCAATTGTAAAAAATAAAGTTCCAACCCTAGATGCAACATTTTTCGTAAACGCCTACTTGAGCGGTTTGAAATTTTGACTCAAAATCTGACAATACCACATAGAAGAGATGCATCAACACAGCGTTTATCTCTTTTTAATACATTTGATTTTCCATTAAGGTGTCAACATCACTGTCTTACACGTTAAAATCCACGCAGTTTCGATGACCAGCTCGGTACACCCCAAAACACAAAATAACACGGAAATGCACTTTTTGTGCAAGATACTAATAAATCCTTATGGGTATTTCGCCACTGCACTGCAAGAAAATCTACAAAATAGAATAGTTATTTTTTGTAAACACTTCTGCGTTAAACCTAAAAAATACAATAAAATTTTTAATTATTAAAAATTTTATTGTATTTTTAACAGAATAACGTCAACGGCTTCTTGTAGACGTATCTGTTTTAAAAAAGTAAAGTGTTCTCGAATAGTTGAATTTAAATATTTTAAATAGTTTTTTTTTTTCTTTATTCTTTGTATTTTTTTGCTTCCGACGACGGAAAGAGATGACTTTCCGAAACGTTAAGCATTTTTTTTGTTGGGCAAATTTTGTATTACTGTGAACATAACTTCTGACAAGCAGCGTCCATTTAGGTTTAACGCAGAAGTGTTTACAAAAAAATAACTATTTTATTTTGTAGATTTTCTTGCAGTGCAGTGGCGAAATACCCATAAAGGATTTTTCTGGAAAGATGAATCCGCCACATAGATACAGACATTTTATACAAGTAAACTAAAATTTGTTGTCCAGTGTATTCAGTTACAATTTACATACTTTTTTGTCTTAAATTAGATATATTTTGATATTTTTCGAAATAAAAATAAACACTTTTTATTATAGGTTACCGGTACAAAACCTGTAAAAACGCAATCCCAACAACAACTGAAACCTGATAAAGATCTTCTTAATATAAGAAAAAGCAGCAGAATAGCTAAGTGTACTAATAATAAAATACAAATGAAATAAAAAAATAGGCATATTTTTAAAAAGTAGCTTTTCAAATAGAGCAGGCCAGGAAATCGTATTTTAATTTAAACATTGCTCTGCTGCTCCCTGACCATATTTTCCTTTTTAGCATGCAGCTAAGTGTACGCTAATTCATAATTTTTTTGAGAAGATCAATATTTGTATTAAAACGGAACATGAGTAATTTTCTGTTTGGATGAAGTATTTTTTATATATAATTTCTCAAGACTCAAAAACAAAGATGTTGATTAAAAAACTCAATGTTCAAATTCAATTCGTTCAGAATGTTATATAGATAAAATAATAAAAATATATGTATATTTAGGTTTATATTATACTAGATGTATAAAACCTATATTTGTACAAAATACTCTAGAATAATTTATATTGTTTATTTTGAATAAAAATTGTTAATTTCGGCTATTTTATTATCTGCAACAGATATATACCAAATAAAGTATATTTTTGTCCCCATCAGTAACATTTGTTCGCCAATTTAATTTTCTGGTATGTCAAACAAAAGTCAATAAATTTTTGTGTCTTAAAATTGGAAATAGCTTCCAAAGAAAAATGCTGAAAAACCTCCATCCATTTTAGTATCATTTTCCTTCACTCTTTATTTTTCCTTCTAAGGTATTTTGAATTGATTAAATTCAAAATTCAATTGACAGACAATGTTGACTGACGGACATCGCGTCTAAATAACGAACTGTCCATCATAATGACGGCCCTCTGGTTCTTGTGGGTTAAAACAATTATTAGTAAAGCCACTCAATTCTAAACAATAACACAGTTTCATCAAATCATAGGTTTGACATTTTTGGTTCAATAATAGAGGCAATAAATTGTGTTTTGTTAAAAAAGTCATCGCTAGTAACATAACAATTATTTAAACATTTGGATTCAGTTATTTTATAAAAAATCTTTGTCTCGTACATAAAATAAATTAAAAGTGTTTCTCCTTTATTTCTTATTTACCAAATATTTAACTTTTCTGACTTGTAGTCTTTCAGAAATAAAACATTCAAAAAAGCTTTCAGAAAAAAAAAATTTCAAAAAAGCTTTAAAGAACAAGGATTTTGGATAATTTAAGGATGAATAATAAATAAAAACATATCTCAAATATAACTGTTATATCAAACTAATACATCCTTTAATCATATCCCCACACTCCCCCACTTTGCTTTACAGTATCCCTGTTTTCCCTTCTTACTCGAGTTACCGCATTGGCTTCACCCTTTGCCACACATCTTTTCTGTTGATTTTTAGTCTCTTTTGTTGTCAGTTGCTTCTTTATTCTTCTTTTTATTTCATCTGGATGAATTGTAGTTGCAGTTGATCTAACACTCCTCGATTCAAAATCATCATTTTCAGTACTATCATTACCACATTCTTCTTGACAATCTGACTTACTCATTTTATCATTTCTTAGTTCTTTCATAATTGTTTCAATGGATGTGTAATTAGAATCTTCTACTATTTCTTCCGTATCATGAAATTCATCACCTGATTCACTATCTGCACAAAGTTTTTAATTACCTATATTTTTGTGTTTTATGAAATATATTTATATATTACCACTCTCTTCACTGCTCTTTTCAATCCCTAATTCTAAATTGATATCTTTAGCCATTTCTTTTGTAAACCCTGTACAAAAAACTTCAGCATCTAGATTATCTGTCCTTTCTATATCACTAAATGTTGGGTATGTCTCACTTTCATAGTTAAATCTATAAACAAAACTCAATTAAACTTAATAAATAATGTTGTAAATATTGTACCTTTTCTTAAAAAACTCTTTTACACAGTTTACGTCCCTATTAAAATAAAACTCAGCATTTGCATGTTCTGTCGACATCATTTGTGGAAAATCTATGATAACAGGTTTTTCATCTTCAGTTAAAATAATATTAAATTCATTAAAGTCTCCGTGAATGACTCCAGAATCAGCGAACCGAATTATCAGATTCATCAGTTCATCATACAATGCTTCAACGTCCTTTACTTCTGAAATATGATTCAGAAGGGTACCTACAATATATAGAGCATGCTTACAATGCATATGAAATAATATGTTTTTTTTACCTTGTACAAGTTCCATTACTACACAATGTCTATTAAAATCAAGAGGTTTTGGAACTGGAAATTTTCTATCATACAAAGCCTTCATATAAGCAAATTCTTTAGTGGCTGATATCCGAGATAAATAAAGCCAAGATGCTGATTTTCTAACAAAAAAAATATTAAAATACACTTAAAAGAAAATAAGAACTGTTTTAGATACATACCTATGTTTATGATAATCTCTCTTCTCTGTAACTTTCCTAAAACATACTCTACCCAATCTATGCAACTTCAAACATATTTCTTGCCCTTCTGAATCTGCTACAATGTATATGTTACTTTCTTTTCCGACTCCAATCTGATTTCCAAAAGAAGCAATAATGTTACGCTTTGTCAGGGAATGCAAAGCTAAATAATCATATCCAGCATTAGTTAACCGATACCCATCGTAGCGTTTACCGCGTTCATAACTTAGAAGTTTGTGTTTACATAATTCTCTAAGTAGTTTATGAACTCCGCCGTGCTGTAAGTTAGCAATCGACGCTGCCATGGGGCCAGGTACTAACTCATGATTCTTCATACCCATTTCTATTGCTGTTAGCACTCTGAAGTCTTCGTTGGTGAGATATCTCATTAATGATACATTTAGTTTACCCATTATTAAATCGTATTGTCAAACCTTGTCTTAGAAAGTAAGGAAATTATAAATTATTTATTATTTTAAATAACATGTGGAAGTTTACTTTCGCATGGTTATTTTATTTTTGTTGTCACTGTTACTTGTCATTTAACTTTGATACAAATGAACTACTATTTGACATTTTTTGAATTCCTAACCTTACTTATAATCTCACGTGTAGGATAGCCAAAGCAAAGCCGATTATTAAAAAAAATACTTTAAAAAATGGGCAAGCAGCAGAAACCTTTAAAGCGAAAATTAAGTGAGGCTACATTTAAAGGCGAAAAATCAAAGGAGAGTGAAAGCAGTCAGGATTCTGAAGAAGAGGTATTAATAAATTACATGTATTTATAGTATTTTTCACTGACAAACTTTTAAGGATCTGTTAAAAGATCAAATCATTGAGGACGAATCTTCTGATTCAGAAGCTGAAATCGATGAGAGCGATTTAGATTCCAGTGACAATGAAGATAACGAATTTGCTGAAGAAGAAAGTGAAGAGGATTCTGATGATTTATCATCAGCTGACAACTCTGAAGATGGTATTGGATGTTGTTTGGTGATTAGAAAATTTGCTTTAATATATTTTACATTTCAGAAAACGACAGTGACGCCGAAGATGAAGACGAAGAGGATAGTGACAATTCAGAAGACGAAAACAAAATTGGACAAGAAAGTGGGGGACCAATTTCCAGTGAAAGCAACACAAAACAAATTGAAAATGAAGATGAGCTACAAAATAGCTCACACTCTCAAAAACACAAGAGCAAGGCTAAAAAATCCCATGAGAAACAAGTCACAAGTGTAGATGAATATGCTGAAGATACAAGTGATGAAGAAGACATTAGAAACACTGTAGGAAATATTCCTAAAAATTGGTAAATTATGTGCATAACTTGTTACATGAATTTTTTATATCTTCTACATAATTATATAGGTATGATGACTATAAGCATTTGGGCTATGACTGGGATGGTAAACAAATTGTAAAACCAGAAACAGGAGATCATTTAGATGAATTCTTAAAAAGAATGGAAGATCCTAATTTCTGGAGAACTGTTAAAGACCCTCAAACAGGACAAAATGTCATTCTTAGCGATGAAGATATTACTTTAATTAAAAGAATCAAAGCTCAAAAAATACCAGACGTTAGTTTTGACGAGTATGCACCTTGGATTGAATGGTAAATCTTTAACATAAATATTAGGACTTATTTTGTTAATTAATATAATTTTAAAGGTTTACAAGTCAAGTGGAAAAAATGCCAATAAGAAATTTTCCTGAACATAAACGTTCATTTCTACCCAGTAAAAGTGAAGCTCGAAAAGTGTCAAAAATGGTTCATGCTTTGAAAATGGGTTGGATTAAATCCAGAGAAGAACAGAAGAAGATAAGGGCTAAGAAAGAACCAGAGTTTTATATGTTGTGGAACACTGATGATCAAGCTGATGAAATGAGGAGGATTCATAAACACATATCAGCTCCAAAGAGATTGCTTCCAGGTAAAATATACTTAAAAAATCAAAAATATTGTGGTAAATGTAGAATTTGTTATTTATAGGCCATGCAGAATCATATAATCCACCTCCAGAATATTTGTTTGATGCCAAAGAAATGAAGGACTGGAATAAGCAGAAAAATACACCTTGGAAGAGAAAGTTACATTTTGTACCTCAAAAATTCGATTCCCTAAGAAAAGTACCTGCCTATCCAAGGTAAAATAAAATCAAATGTTATTTATAATACAACACTAAGTCACATTTTTTGATGATAGATTTATCAAAGAGCGATTTTTGCGTTGTTTGGACTTGTATCTCTGTCCGAGGGCGATAAAAATGAAGTTGAACATTGAACCAGAATCGCTTGTGCCTAAATTACCCAGTCCAAGAGACTTACAACCATTCCCGACAGTTTTGGCCATTGAATATAAAGGACATACTGATATGGTTAGAACTATTAGTACTGACAAAAATGGACAGTACTTATTAAGTGGTTCTGATGATTGTACCAGTAAGTTATCTAGAGTTTTGTCTTTTTAGTTCTTTAATATGTATTATTTTCAGTAAAAATATGGGAAGTGAATACAGGGCGTTGTTTAAAAACAATTAAAACTGACAGTATTGTAAGATGTGTAGAGTGGTGTCCTAATTCTGCTCTATCTTTAATTCTTGTGGCCACTGGTAATGAGGTTCTTTTAATTAACCCAGCGGTAGGAGATTTTTTGGTTACAAACAAAACAGATGAAGTACTAAAAGAAGTACCTCATAGTGATGTTATTATTAGTGACAGGTAAGAAAATGTACCTAAAAATAGATAAATAGTAACATTATTTGATATTATAGGATTAAAACCACAGTTCAGTGGTGCGAACCTGAACAAGAACTGTTCGATAGAGGTGTTAGAGCACAGTTAAAACATTTCAAAATGGTTACCCAGGTAACATGGCACGGTAAGGGCGATTATTTTGGATCGGTGATGCCGGATGGGCAAAGCAGATCAGTTTTAATATCACAGATATCGAAGAGAAGAAGTCAGTTACCGTTTGCAAAGTCCAAAGGTATAATTAGGCATTTTGGAGTGAACGAAAATATAAATTAACTTTTTTTCTCTTTAGGTTTGGTGCAGTGCATTTTGTTTCATCCTACAAAACCTTTCTTATTTGTGGCGACTCAAAGGCATGTTCGAATATACGACCTAATAAAACAAAGTCAAGTTAAAAAGTTATTAACTAATTCCAAGTGGATATCAACTATGGCAGTGCATCCAGGTGGTGATAATCTGTTAGTTGGTAGGAAATTTTAACAAGTGAGAGAAATATTGAAATATTAATGAATTCACGATGTTTACAGGCACATATGACAGAAAAATGTTATGGTTTGATTTAGATTTAAGTACTAAACCATACCAGACGTTAAGGTTGCATGGTACCGCAGTAAGAGGAGTAGCTTTTCATAAAAGATACCCATTATTTGCTTCCGGATCTGATGATAGAAGCTTAATCATTTCTCATGGAATGGTTTATAAGTAAGTTATACCTAGTTTTTCTGACGTAACTATTCAGTAAGTATTATGCAATTTTGGATAAGTTACGCGAGAAGAACTATATTTTGTTTATATAAATACCTTGATATTAATATACAAATTTCAGTGACCTGCTACAAAATCCCCTAATAGTACCATTAAAACGACTGGAAGACCATAAGTCATTTAATGATTTTGGAATTTTTGGAGTACATTTTCATCCACTTCAACCTTGGGTATTTTCATCAGGTGCAGATGGGACTATTAAATTATATTCAAATTAAGTATATTGTTAAATTTAAATAAATATGTTTTTGTAAATCCCTTTCTTCTTATCCTATTTCACCGAATTGAGTTACCATTCCTGTATTCTAGTGTTTGTTTATAAACAAATTTAACATGAGGAAAATACTCAGTTTCTCTAATGTTCTCTGCTTTGCATGTTCTTGAATATTTTTTTCATAGAAAAAAAATTCCAAAAGTTTTTAGAAACGAAAATAGAAAAAGAAAGTTTAATTTTTAAATATTCCCTTTGAATATTCCCTTTAGGTTTTAGGTATTTTTGAATTGTTATGTTGGTAGTGTCAGGAAATGTCAGACCACGCCTACGCTGCACCAATGAAATCGTAGGATTTCTCAGTTAAAAATGGAATGAAAATGGTGCTTGTTTAGTTTTCTGTTATTGCTTCAGTCATCAAATCTGTAATTAATTTACTAAGTTATAGTCTTTATTTTGTAATTTGACTTTAATTCTTACTGCTTAAAAATGTCTAGTGAATCAATCAAAACGGTAAGGAATATATTTGGATTTTAAATTATTTTAATTGAGTAAACATTCTTTGTTTATGAATATTGAATGAGAGGTAGCTAACAATTAAATGTTTCAAGCCCTTTTTGATTATTGCTGCTAATAAAATGCTAAATTTTATAAAATAGGTGTATTTTACTTTATTTTTTAGTTGAATTTAATGTGCTATTTGATAATTTTTATTTAATATCATGTGTTTACATTTCAGTTTTCCAGCCTAGAAACTCCCGGTTATGTCGGTTTTGCCAATCTTCCTAATCAAGTTCACAGAAAGTCTGTTAAAAAGGGTTTTGAATTCACCCTGATGGTTGTGGGTGAAAGTGGACTGGGAAAATCTACCTTAGTAAATGCATTATTTTTAACAGATCTGTACCCTGAAAGAGTTGTACCCGATGCAGTTGGTATGTTTTATTTAAGTTCTCACAGATGTTTCACATCCGAAATGAACCATATGTTTGTTTATTTAATCTATAATTAGAATTGCATCCTGTGTTATCAGTGTTTCATAAATAACTCTCATTTTTACAGAAAAGTTGAAACAAACTGTAAAATTAGAACCAACCACAGTAGAAATAGAAGAAAGAGGAATTAAGTTACGTCTTACTGTTGTTGATACACCTGGTTATGGAGATGCAATCAATAATACTGACTCGTTTTCTGAAATAATCAGTTACATCGATGATCAGTTCGAAAGATTTTTAAGGGATGAGAGTGGTTTGAACAGGAAAAATATCGTTGACAATAGAATTCACTGTTGTTTTTATTTTATTTCGCCATTTGGACATGGGTGAGTAAAAAATGCATAAATTTCAGATAATTAATATTTTGATCATGCAGTGAACTTATTTCTAAACAGGAAGTAATTTAATCTAATGTAAATGTAATTAGGATATGAGTGCAGCATGCTTTGCACATAAATTTACTACATGAGGATGAGGACTGATTTTTAAAAGTAGACTTAATTGTATTATTTGGAATTGTAGGTCATGCATAATTATTTATTTTATTTGTGTTAGCTTAATTTCGTAGTGAATTTTATAGATTTTTAAGAGAGAATCATTACCAAAGTTGAAAACACATTTAACAGGGTTGTTATATTTAAAATTTTTATTTAAAAACATGTTTTAAATGTGTTTAAAACACCAGTACTTGCTTTAAACTTGCTTAAACCATTTAAGACTGTTTTAATTGGTATGTAGGTGTTTTTTTTTTTAATAAAAAATAAGACTTACTTTCAACTATTTAATAAAAAATAACTCTAATACAAAAGGAATAAAAAACAAAGTATAATCACCCCAATCTGATATTGCCTACAGAATGTTTCCAAAAAAATGTGCAGTATTTTTTCGGTGAAGTGCCCCTTCATCTACTGCACCTGACGAGCCGCCACTGAATAGTACTGCGGTTACAGATTAACTTAATCTGTGCTCAGTTGTTAAAAAAACTTCAGTGTTTCAGATTTTTTCATGATTTTATGTTTTGGTATTTGAACATTCATATTCATATTCATACATACAATAATAATAATACATATCATTACAATACTAATCAATATAATATTCTTTTAATGTAATATCAGGTACAAAAAGGCACCTAGCGGAAGTAACAGCTGTATGTTCCAAAAAAAAATAGCAAAATAATATTATTTATGTACTTACTTAATTTAACAATATGCAAGAAAAAAAAACAATATAACAATAGCATATTTAAGATTTTTTTTATAACAATGTAATAAATTTTGTGTTATTTACAAAAATATAGTTTCTACAGGCCAAGTTAAATTTTTTTAGATTTTTTATTCCCTTAATATTACCTGGTAATAAATTATAGAATTTTGGTCCTAAGTATCCAATAAATCTTTGGTTAATATTTTTATGACTAATAGGAACTTGTAACTTAAGTGTTCTACTTCTAGTTAAGTGACAGTGATTTACATACTTCCTATGACCCTCAATCTTATGGACATAGGAACAAACAGAATGAATATATAGAGATCTAACATTAAAGACTTTCTCATCGTAAAGAAGGTTCGTTGAGAATAATTTTTCCTTTTTGTTCATGACTTTAAGAATATAATTTTGTGTTACATTGAGTTGTGTCAAGGCAGAAGAATAAAGTCCTCCCCAAATAACGATTCCATACTTAATTAAAGATTCTACCAATGCCTTATAAATAATGAATAAAAGTTTTTTAGAAAGGATATCTCGCAAAATATAAAATTTATATATAAGTTTTCTAAGGCTATTTGTTAGTTTTAAAATGTGGTGATCCCATTTTAAATAGCAGTCAATAATTATGCCCAGATACTTTATGTTAGAAACCTCCTTTATTGTGGTGTTTACCTCGCTTATTTGAATGTTGGAAAAATTAGGTCGGTTTACATTCGTAGATGTAAAGGCTATATAATGGGTTTTATCTAAATTTAAAGTAAGTTTGTTAAAATCTAACCAATTCTTTACAACAGCCAAGCCATTGGCTACCTTATCCTTAGTGCTGTTCCAGTCTCTGCCAGAGAAAACCAAAACAGTATCGTCCGCATATGAAATAATGGAACCCCCAATATTAAGAAATGTCATTGAATTGATGTAAATGATAAATAGTATTGGCCCTAGTACGGTTCCCTGTGGTATACCAATAGTGGTTTTGAGAGGATCACTCAAAGAATTACTTATTTTTAAAAATTGGTTTCTATTTGTTAAATATGACCGAAAGATGTCCAACACAGGGCCCCTGATACCACTTTTTTCAAGTGTTTTAATTAGCATATCATGGGGCACCGTGTCAAACGCCTTAGCTAAGTCCAAAAAAACTGCAATACTTTTTTCACCATTGTTAAGATTTGAAGTTATTTGATCCACCAATTCATACATAGCATCGCAAGTGCTGGTCCCACCCACGAAACCGAATTGTTTTTTAGATAAGATTTTTAAATCGGAAAAAAATTCCATTAATCTTTGCTTAAGACATTTTTCAAACAACTTCCCAAAATTGTTAATGACACTTATTGGTCTGTAGTTATTAATATTATTTTTATTACCAGCTTTGTGGATAGGGGTTATTACAGCAGTTTTAAATCTTAAAGGTACAATGCTAGTTTTAAAAATTAAGTTTATTATATGTGATAAAGGATTCAAAATATAGGCATGCACCGATTTTATAATCCTGACTGACACACCGTCTTCGCCAGGAGCCGAACAATTTTTGAGTGAGTTTATGTGTTTTATTAATTCATTTTTATTTACCGGTGTTAAGAAAAGTGATGATGATGGTTCTTTATTAATACATTCCGGCTCCCTGGCTGGAGGTATTTTTTTAGCCATATCGTTACCGACTGATATGAAGAAGTTGTTAGAAAAGTTGGCCATGTCTTTGTCTGTTTTAAAGGTTTTGTTTTCATTGTCCAAAATATTTATTATGTCATTGTTTTTAGCATTTTCATTTGTGGCTTCAGATATAATTTTATAAATTTTTTTCATGTCACTTTTATTTTCATTTATTTTATTTTTGTAATAGTCAAGTTTACATTTATTTATTACTTTATTTAACTGGTTTCTATAATGTTTATACTGAGTTTTTAAAGCTTTATTATTTGAATGCAAAACTTTCTTCCTTAGTTTATCTCTTTGTTTTATGGAGTTTATAATACCAATTGTAATCCAAGGTTTGATTTTTTTTGACTTGTTCATTAAGACTTTTATTGATTGGGCTTTATTTAGTAAGTTTTGAAAAATTTCATAGAACATGTTAGTGGCTTCCTCAGAAGTTGAACAGTCCATAACAGATTGCCAATTTTGCATTGCAAAAAGGTTTGATAAAGCAATATAATCAATTTTAAGAATTTCTTTATTTAAGTTGTCTTGTCTCTGTACGTCATAGTCAGGATCACACTTTCTTACATTGAGCATGACTGGAAAATGGTCAGTTAAGTTAGAGTCTAATATGAAGGACTGATACTTAAGCATAGAATTATTAATTTTTTTCGCACAAAAATATGATCAATACATGTGGCAGTTGTGGAAGTAATTCTTGTTGAAGAGTTTATATATGAGAGAAAGCCAAAATTACTTAACGTCGAGAGATAGGAATTAACATTATCGTTATCACTGTCATTGATATCAATATTAATATCACCTGTAAGGACCTCAATCTGATTTTTTAGATTCTCATTAAGATACCTTTGTATGTCTAAAATGAATAATTTTAAATTTGATGAAGGAGGTCTGTACAGGCAAGTTATACCAAAACTAATTTTATCTAATTCTAATTCGACTTTAGTTAGTGTAACATGCGATGTTAGTAAAATTGTATCTTTTATAAATACTCTTAAATTATCTCTAGTATAAATTAACATACCGTCATTTTTGTTTATATTGGCATTGTTATAATGGACAGAGTAACCTGGTACGCATAAACGATCAACATCATAGTCATTTAGTTGAAACGTTTCACTCAACACAATTATATCGCAATAATCAAGTTCAAAAGCCCTTAAAGTCACTAAGAGAGAGTCAACATTTTTTTTTACACTTCTTATATTTATGTGCAATAAATTAATTATTTTCCCATTAATATTAATCTTTGATTTTAAAATATCACTTCCCACACTTTCACCTGCCTCGTCAAGATTTTCCTTCATATTTTCTAGAGTATCAAGGAGATCTACCTCGATATTGCCTGCCATTGTAATGTTCCATAGTCTATTTTGCTCCGCATAACTTCCAGCATGTATTTGTAGGTTGGGCAAATAGTATCACTACTTTCATGAGAGACATCATAATTTTTATTATATTTGTTATTGGCAAATGTACAATTGGCACATTTTTTAAAAGGTTGGGAGCATTGATTAGTGTCATGAGAACCCATGCAGTAACCACATACCATTTGGTTTTTGCAGTTGGTACTTTTGTGGTTATAACCTTGGCATTTGTAGCACTTAGGTACACTAATGTCTTCAAAAACTCTACAGCTTTGCCACAGTAAAAATACTCTTTCATTGCTCATAAATCTATGAAAAAGTTTAGGAGAGCATTCCAAAAAAATTGTGTTTTTATTTTTGTTTTTGTGTTCTTTCACATATACTACTTTTAAGTGATCGTCTTTTTGAATAAAAGAATTCTGATTTCTAAGGCAATCTTCTATTTGGGCTGAAGTCATTTCCGGGTTCTTAGATGATACATTAACAATTTTCAATTTAGGAGATTTTAGTTTGGTCAAGTGCACCTCATAGTCGTTACTAAGAGCTCTTTGTGCTTCTTCTTGAAGTTTTTTAATTTCATTTGTGGTCCCACATTTTATGACAATACCCCCATTACTGATTTCCTTCATATTCTTTATACCGATATTTACTGCCATCTGGCTTTATATTTTTTGTAAGTCTGCTTCAGTTTTGCGTGAGTTTTGTGGCTTTTTTGGTTTTAGAATCAAACTGGGTATATTTTTTTTTATTTTCTGTACCTGAAACTTTTTCAGCATATGTTACAATAAGGATGTTTTCCGATACGTTCTTTTTTTCATCAAACTTGTTTTTAAGCGCAGAAAGATCTTGTTGTACAATTTCAATCATGCTAATAATTCTTGGCATTCTTCTTAAAAAAAATTTGCATGTGTCATATACAAACATCAACAAACGTTTTTGCAAGGGCATAACTCGGATCTCCGAAGAGGATAATCCAGCGCAATTTTTATGTGTTTTTTTACATTACATTATTTTTATATTACATTATCAACATTATCTTTCTTCTCACAGATTGAAGCCTTTAGATGTCGAATTTATGAAGCAACTCCACAACAAAGTCAACATCGTGCCTGTAATAGCCAAAGCCGACGTTCTCACTAAAAAAGAAATGCAAAAGCTGAAAAAGAAAGTCCTGGACGAAATAGCAGAGAACGGAATCAAGATTTTCTCGTTACCCGAATGCGACTCTGACGAAGACGAAGAATACAAAGAACAAGTGCGCCAGTTGAAACAGGCCGTTCCTTTTGCCGTTTGCGGGGCGAACACCCTTCTGGAAGTTAAGGGCCGTAAAGTGAGAGGCAGGCTGTATCCGTGGGGTGTGGTGGAAGTGGAGAATCCTGACCACTGCGATTTTATCAAACTGCGTACGATGTTGATTACGCATATGCAGGATTTACAGGATATTACACAGAGGGAACATTACGAGAATTATAGGAGTGAGAGGTTGGCCAAAGGAGGACCACCACCAAAGAGAAATACGTAAGTTTTATCTAATATAAAAATAAAATTCTCGTGTCACGGTTTTGGTTACCGTACACCTCTGAAACGGTTTCTCCGATTTGATGAAATTTTGTATATATACTCAGTAGGACTGAGAATAGGTTATCTCATTTTCGTACCCCTAAGTGATATGGGTGGTCCACCCCATTTTTCTTACTTTTTGGACAATTTTTTTTGTGATGTGGCAATAAAAAAAATACATACAACCCTAAATTTTCACCCTTTTACTATCAACCCCTGTTTTTAAGTTTTTGTTGCCATACTCCTCTAAAACGGCTTGACCGATTTTGATGAAACTTTATATGTATATTCAGTAGGTCTGAGAATAGGTTGTTATCTATTTTTTATCTCCCTAAGTGATAAGGGTGGTCCACCCCAATTTTTTTTTTGCTTTTTGGACACAATTTTTTTTTATCTTTTATGACGTGGCATTAAAAAATATATACAACCCTAAATTTTTACCCTTTTACCATCAACCCCTATTTTTTTAAAAAATTTTTGTTGCCATACTCCGCCAAAACGGCTTGACCGATTTTGATGAAATTGTATATGTATATTCAGTAGGTCCAAAAATACATACAAGCCTAAATTTTCACCCTTCTACCATCAACTCCTATTATTTAATAGTTTTAGTTACCGTACTTCTCCGAAACTGTGGCATTAAAAAATACATACAACCCTAAATTTTTACCTTTCTAAATCAACCGCTGTTTTTTAATAGCGTTATTAGTAACTCATTAATTAATTTAACAACAAATTGTTTTTAAAAATTGTTAGAATACCTTAAATAAAAATGTTAGTATGACTGGGTATACTGGGTGCGTCTCAAAAGTGGCTCCCCCCTATAACTTTTTTATTTTTTCAGATAAAAAAACGAGATTTGGTATGTTAGTATATGACATAGATTAGGATTGATTGGTGTATTCAATTGTTTTTGGTCACTTCGTGTTTCACCGGAAATGACTACAACTTTTTATTTTTAAATGGCACCCCGGTATTTTTTTACTTTATTCGATAAAAAATGACATTTTGAATAGAATGACATATCATATGTCAACTTTTGACATTCTCGCTTAATAAAAAATTGTATTTTAAAATTCAATCTAGAGTGCCACGGCTATGTTAAAAACACTAATTCTTCATCCAGGAGCCTTGGAAAAATAGATTTGATCGTCTAATGTTTTTAGTGTCTTGTCCTGGCCAGTTAGAAAATGCTCAAATCGTATTTTTAATCATATCTCAATTTTTTCAAATGGAACGAGGGTGGCGCATTAGCATATTTGGAAAAAGCATTTTTTTACGAATAAATTGATACCACACACACTTGGATTTTCGAGTCAAATTTTCATTACGAACCGCAAGTTATAATTTCAAATAAACCATATGCGAAAATGTCAAAAGTAGACATATGATATATCATTCTATTATATTTACGAAAACGAAATAACCGTTGACTGCATATTGCATAGGTATTATACATATTATATTATATTGCATTTATCGAGAACTGTTGGAAAATCAAAGCAGACTTGAACAGAAATTATCTTTAATACTGAAGGTAATCTATATTCGGTGTATTCCATTTAAAATAAGCAGAATGATTATCAAAAATTTCACGAGCAAATTTTCAATTTGTCATTTTTAGTATAAAATTTTTTTAGGGTACAACAAACTACAATACAAACTAGGGTACAACAAACTACAAACTAATTTTTTTTAGGGTAATTTAAAAAATTTTACTTTCTCTTAGATAACTCATTAATGGCGAAAATATGCTGGATTACCCTGTATATAGAAATTATTAAACAACTTAAGTCTAAGCAAAGTTTATTGTCAAAAAAATATGGGAATTAAAAAATTAAAACTTGGGTATTTACCCAAATTTCAATATACAGGGTACTCGCTCATCACTGACCTTAGCCACAGCAACGCGTGGCCGGGCCGCATATTCGTAATTCGCCGACACATTAGCCGCTCGGATTAGGTCGGGTACAGCGACGGACGTTTGGTAAAGTACCGACGTATTAGACCAGTCCCAACCCTTATGCGTCCGCGATTTACGAAAACGAAATAACCGTTGACTGCATATTGCATAGGTATTATACATATTATATTATATTGCATTTATCGAGAACTGTTGGAAAATCAAAGCAGACTTGAACAGAAATTATCTTTAATACTGAAGGTAATCTATATTCGGTGTATTCCATTTAAAATAAGCAGAATGATTATCAAAAATTTCAATTTGTCATTTTTAGTATAAAATTTTTTTAGGGTACAACAAACTACAATACAAACTAGGGTACAACAAACTACAAACTAATTTTTTTTAGGGTAACTTAAAAAATTTTACTTTCTGTTAGATAACTCATTAATGGCGAAAATATGCTGGATTACCCTGTATATAGAAATTATTAAACAACTTAAGTCTAAGCAAAGTTTATTATCAAAAAAATATGGGAATGAAAAAAATTAAGACTATTTATTCTTGAGAGTTAATTATTTATTCCCCCCTAAACCCATATTTTTTTAATTTTGTGTCTGAAAGAAATTGTTTGATAGTTCCCAAGTAGCATTTTCACGACTTGCGACCACATGTTTACTATCACAACGTTGGATTAGTTACAAAAATAGTTAGCTCCCTACCTTGGGTATTAAAATAAATTTAAACGTTTTTATAACGTTGTGCCGACGTTGGACTAGTACTACAGCAAAGTAGGAAGCTTCTGCGACGTCGAATAAACGTTGTCTTGTAACCTTTTTTGCTTAAGTGATCTTTAGGTGATTCGGACAACGTAGTTACAACGTTGGACAATATAGAGTTTTCCGACGTCAGTTTCAGGACCTATTCCAACGTTATGCAAACGTCGTCTGTTTTACTAATTCCAACGTTGTTTAGATTTCCTTATTCTTACGTTGGTAGGACGTCGAGTCACTACCTTTTTGCAACTGTATTGAACCATAACCTTAAATTTTAAATTTTCACTTCATTGTTCTGTTCAGTCAGACAGTTCAGTGCTGTTTTTGTTTTTATAAAAAAAACTTAATTAAAATGGGACATAAGAAAGGTACATATAAAACTAAATTTAAATATACATCGACATATATTACCGATAGTTTATCCACTCCCTCGTTTATTTATATTATAGAGGGCGGCACAAGCTAGACTCTAGGATGACTAAATTAGGCAATCTTGCGACTAGTATACTACCTGTTAAGGCCGAACTGCGACTTTATTAGTCCAGTATGCGACTACTCGAACTACTCCATCTTAATCTCCAAAACAACAAAGTGAAAGCCGCCATGTTGTTAAATAAGAAAATGTTTCGTTCCTAAAATAGCAATTCCTGCTTTTTGAATACATTAACTTGAAATATTTGACCCTAAAAACACGCGGAAACAATTTTTTCGACTGCGAATAAATTATTCTCATTTTACTAAAAAAAAAATTCAAGAAAATTTTTAAAACTTCTTTAAGCATTAGTATTTTTCAAAGTAGAAACAATACATTTATCAATAAAGTTGTTTGCGTTTAACTTTTTTGCCTTGGGTAACGAGTTACAGAGTCGGTTAAAGTGTTTCAATAATTATGATCTTCAAACATCCTCCACACTTAAATACTTTTGTTTTGTTTTCCTTCACTGCCATCTGACATATGTCTCTAACTAAATCATAAAAGTAATATTTTTACTATAATTATCCCAATTTAGGATAAAACGCGACTTAGACGCCATATTAGTTGTGTATTTCTGTGAATTAGGATTTTAAACAACGTTGCAGTTTGTACTAAATTAGGCTTCTAGCCAACGTCGGTATCCAACGTCGTTTCGACCCAAAAATTATTCTCCAAACTAGTGCAGACTAGGGTTGGCACGAGGTTGTGCCGACGTTGCGCCCCGACGTTTGGTCGCGTGACACAACGTTGTCCCGACGTCCAAATGCTGCTTGGGTTACTAATAATTTTACTGGACAGTCTATATTTCGGGAAGTTCTTTTTCGGCTAGCTTTACTGTTTTTCTTTTACGTTAAAAAGACCAATCTTAAAAAGTTTTTGAAACTCTTTCAAATGTCTGTAATGTCTTAAAATCGATATTTTTGAATTAGCAATCTGCTCGAAATGTGCTAATCACTGGAAAACTATGAAAACCAACTACAGACACCTACTGATTATCATAAAAAAATACAAATACCCATTACAGACACGGATCAAATAATCCGATTTACAAACTTGGAAAGAAAAAACAATATTTTGAGCGCATCGTAAATCGCCGACGTATTAGTCTAATACGTCGGTACTTTACGCAGCACCCGAACTAACCCGAACGGCTAATGTGTCGGCGAATTCCGAATATGCCGCCGGGCCTGATATTTTTTTTATAAAACTGTTGATATGTCTACAGGGTTTTGTCATTACTTTAATATTTTTAATGCATTTAAATGACTAAAGTTTTAACTGCTTTTTCTTACAGTATAGTAGAAGAGAAGACAACAGAAAAAGACAGAATCTTGCAAGAGAAAGAGGCGGAACTAAAACGAATGCAGGAAATGATTGCACAGTTACAGGCCCAGATGCAACAGCAGTAACATGATGCGATATCTATCAATTGACTGACTTAGGTTTTCATTACATATCTTATTCAATGCCTATTTAATTTTTGCTCATATTCATACTCCTAGGTAGTTTTATTCTTCAGACGTGTTATTTTTTTAAATACTATGACAGTTTTAAATTATTAAGTTTAATTTACAATAGACAATTTTACTTTTCATAGCATCATGTTTGACATGTATTATCGCAATTTTTTTGTAATCTGAAGCATTTTTTATACTTCAAATTGTGTTATTTTCTTACTATATTAACTGAAGGTTTTCATACGCCTTCCTAAGAATCTTAAAGTAACTATTTAGATGTATTTTTTTACATTATAGAGATTTATATTTTTTAGTTAAGCGATGCCATGATATTTTGAATATTGATACTTATATATGTGCCCAAAGTATAAAGTGATATGCAATGTTTTCAAATAAAAAGGAATTCTTTTTGCTAAAATATTTTGTTTTATTTTATTTCAGAAGAAAAGCCCAAAGCAACTAAAAATTATTTTATTAAAAAAAATTGTAAATTAATTTGAAGTATCTAAAGCTTTTTCTACACACGAAGTTTTACCTGTGAATCTCACATGTTTGGAGAACGTTATGCGTAGACGGGTCTTTCCAACGACTCGGGGAAGATTTCGACAGACAATAGCCAAAAAAATGACACACAAAGAATACCATTTTAAAAAAGACAGTTATAAATCTTCTCCATTGGACGTTTATGATATAAGGTAAGTCCATTTGAAATAATGGGGATATCTAATTTTTACTTACCCTGTATATCGGGTGGGTCTCTAAAGTGGCTCAACCAACTTTTATTTTTTCATATAAAAAAACATTTGGTATGTTAATGTATGACATAAATTAGGATTGATTGACATATTCAATTGTTTTCGGTCACTTCCTGTTTTACCGGAAATGACTACAACTTTTGATTTTTAAATGGCACCCTCGGTATTTTTTTACTTTATTCGATAGAAAATGACACTCAATAGAATGACATATCATACGTTAACTTTTGACATATTTGGTTTAAAAACGTATTTTAAATTTCAATCTAGAATACCTTGGCTGTGTTAAAAAACTAACTAATTTTTAACTACTAATTTTTAATCAAGGAGCCTTGGAAATATAGATTTGATCCTCTAATGTTTTTAGCGTCTTAAAGCTGGTTAAAAGGTGCCTAAATCGTATTTTTAATAATTTCTTAATTTTTTCAAATGGAGCGAAGGTGGCTCATATTCATATTTGGAATAAGATTTTTTTTAGGAATAATTTGGTACCACACACTTGGTATTTCGAGTCAGTTTGTCGTTATGAACCGCATGTTACAATTACAAATCAACCATGTGTGAAAAAAAGTAAAAAAGTTGACATGTGATGACTGATAAAAGTTGACATGTGATATGTCATTTTATTCAGAATATCATTTTCTATCGAATAATTTAAAAAAATACCGATGGTGCCATTTAAAAATCAAACTTTATATAACTTACAAATAAACTAAGAAAACAACTGTCCGTAAGAAAACAACAATATTTATTTCCATAAAATTAGAATGACCATATTTAAAATAAAATAAATATGAAAATAAAAATATAATCAAAAGAATATAATAATATGGAAAGAACAATGTAACGATTTATATAAATAATTTTAATATATTTAAATAATCAAAAAGGAATGATAAAATATATAGGGTTTAGTAGTTCTTTTAAACATATATAATGCAATGAAATTCAATATCTTATGGTTATGTAAAACAACAATTAAATGTATCACAGCTGAACGAACTCCTTAATTGAGAATTGGTTTAAACTATATAACGGATAAATTTAAATAAATAAAATCCTATTAGGAATTTTACGACATGTTTGGGTGATATGTTGGTCCCTGTTCCGCAAAGTTTTATTTCACTTTCCTAAAACAAAAAAAATGTATTATGTCTACCGTGCGACCATAAAATTTTACCATCTTTTGACAATGACAGCTTAACAAATTGCAATATAAATTCCCCTAGAAATTGTTTTTCTCCCACTTTATAGAGACAGAACTGTAAGTATAACAAATGCTATACTATAGTGCGCCTACTGGATCTGTGTCTACGAAAGGAATTTCAAGAATGCAGACACAATATTGGAGTCTGAGAACGGTAGTAGGCCAAGCTTGGAGAACAGTACATTCGTTATCGGTAAAATAGTTGCGTTATTTTATTAATTTTTTATTGTTTTTCTTCTTTTTTTTAATTTTTATAAAGATTATGTCTCATTTATGGTAATCGCAAAACAATTTTTGATGCACGTGATCAACTTTGAGTGACAAGCGATGGCGACAGCGCTGCCAGATTGTGATGGATTTATGACATGAATCATAATTTAAAATTGACAAACAACATATTTATTATATCATTTTTTAAGAGTGTTACGTTATCTTTAATTTAATAACTAATATTTCAGTGATTAATTGATTTATTTGTTTTATAGCTTATTTTATTTATTACATATTGGCAAAAACTAGTCCATTATGAAGATTATGATAAGCGTTATTATGGGTTATTTATTTATTGATATAGATCTTACAACGCCATAAGTGGTAATAACAAGTAAGAGGATGCTATTAATGCACAAACTAATAATTACAGAATTTAATAAAAACTAACTTTGAAAGTGGTATAATGCTTATCAATCAAACTTACTTTTCTGACTGCAGTGAAGGGTAGTAAAGGACCTTTATTGTCACGTTCTCGTTCGAAATAGTTAAAAAAAAAACAGGGAAGCTACAAACTCTCTGCTTCGACTGTTTAAATGCTTCGGCATATTTTGAACACACATTTTCAAGAAATGCAATACAAAAACTCGAAAATTTAGTTCTTAAAAGAACTGTTTGTGCTTAAAAGTGCAATTTAAAAAAAAACTATGAAAATAGGCAAAAAACGAGAATTACTCACAAAGATTCAACAACAACACGATATTATACAAAATAATGACTGACACTAGGATAATTGTCAAATAATAAAGGACAACATTGCTGAACATAGCGCAATGTGACCAACATAGCGATAATAAAATTCGGTTTAAACAAATTTTTGCAGCTTTAATCTAAATAGAATATCTGTTACAATCATTTGCTCTATAAAGTAAAATGAACAGCTGCTCGATATCTTAAATTACACAACAAATTTAAACATGTTTTTGCCAAAATTTCATTTAGTCAGGTTTATAGACTTTAGTGTCAATGTCGATATGATTGATGACGTACATCGGAAAATGTTTTACGATTACAATACATAGAAAAACGTTGAAAAAAAAAATAAAACTTAATACGTACGTTTGCACTTCTATTAATACAGCTCATATAATGGCGTCTAGGTAAGTCCACTTGATTCATGAGGCACGATAAGGATATATTGTAATTAATTTGTTGGGGATCTGGCGAAGGGGGGTACTTATCGTGCTGTTCCTGACAAAGGTTATTAATGACTATTAATATCATGTTGCTGCCAGTTACACGTTGAACAATAAAGGGCCTGCAACAAAATTATTTTTAAATAAAAAATTGTTATAATAAAATAATATAAAAAGATTAGATTAACAATAAAACGTGCAAGAAAGATAGTTGTCATCGTTCTTCAATCTTATAACTAGGTAACTACTAACTCACTATACAATTACAAACCTTGAGCAGTTACCCATCGTTTTGTTGTACCCACTATTTGAAATATTCCGATCACTGTAGTGAACCAAATTGTACAAAGAGAATTCATTATCACATGGTTCTGGTTTGGTTTTTTGCATGGTAGCGCTCTCATCAAATGCTTTGTCACTGCCAGCTTGAAAAATTGATAGAAAATACTATTAAATAACTATTATTACAAATTAGGAGTGTGTAATTAGAGAATCACTTAATTAATGTGGACGAACTGTTTGTATTTTACTTTGAATAAAAAGATTAGGAAAGAACCATATCAAAAATCTGTGAAATAAAAGTGTAAAAATATGATGTAGGGTAGACGTGGGGTTGATTCAATAATTTGTTGTTTTATTTTACGTTGTGAATAAATGTTGGTAGTTATTAAAATTGTTATAAAAATATATAATTCTAATTAAAATAGATAAATTATAATAATTATTTATTAACACAAACATCCGACACGCTACTGAAGCAGGTAAGTCAAATTGACACGCGATCTAAATTCTTTCTACATATTCTTACGACATCTAATCTTTGACAAGTAGGTAAATAAAATGATTGAAATTTTGATCATTATTTTGATTTTAATAAATAAAAGCAAAAATGCAAGAAAAAAATATATAATTAGTTAATTTAAGTGAATCTCATAAATGATCGGTTTACTACACGTATGTATGTATATTATACAGGGTGAGTCTTAAATAAGTGCAAATATTTTCAGGGCTGGCAGATCTCGATAAAAGAAACATATTTTCTCTTTACCATTTTTCAGATAAGTCCAAAATAACCGAATTATTTAAGTTTGCAAATTTAAAAAAAAATGTTTTTTTTTTGAAAAAATTTGGAGAGCCACCGGGTTTTTTCTGTATTTGCATCCCTTTTATTGCCGTAACCATAGAGTAAAAAGCTGTAACTATGGTAATAAATTAATAAAGTAAAGATTTCAGTTAACGTCTCGTTTTTGCTGCCGGGGCCTATAAGTTGGCCTCTGTATCTTACAAATTATCAGCTAATTTAAAAATCTAAAAGTACCATCAGATAACCCTAATAAAGTAGCTATGAGAATGTGATTAGTTTTTTGATTTTCTAAAAAATAACGACAGGAAAAGCGATACAGCGATAATAGCCCCAGGGGCGCAATTCTGTACAATCGTCGGTATCGGTAAGTTACCGACAGCTATCGGTACGTACTAGGGGATTCAATCCCGGACAATTTTATGTTGTCGAGATCCCGGGATTCTCAACCCCGAATCTCGGGATCCCGGGATTTAATACCGGGATTTCAGTAATAATGTTACCAATGTTACTTTCAAAGAACATTTTATTAAAATTAACGTTAATTAGTTAAAACAAAAACAAAGTTTTTGGAACACAAAAATACATAATGAAAATATGAACCCTTCTTGGACACAAACGGTACATTGTGAGACAGGAAATTGTAGAGAGAAACAAGCCCTATAACATAGGATACAACATTTTAATGAACAGTGCTTTCCAGAAAATCAATAAAATGAAATATATACGAAATAATATACATGTTCTGATTTCTTTCGAAAATCGACATCTATGAAACTATGAACCCTTCCGGGACACAAACGGTACATTGTGAGGCAGGAAATTGTAGAGAGAAATAAGCCCTATAACATAGGATACAACATTTTAATGAACAGTACTTTTCATAAAATCAATAAAATGAAAAATATACGAAATAATATACAATCTGATTTCTTTCGAAAATTGACATCTATGAAACTATGAACCCTTCCTGGACACAAACGGTACATAGTGAGACAGGAAATTTTAGAGAGAAACAAGCCCTATAACATAGGATACAACATTTTAATGAACAGTGCTTTCCATAAAATCAATAAAATGAAAAATATACGAAATAATATACATGTTCTGATTTCTTCCGAAAATCGACATCTATGAAACTATGAACCCTTCCTGGACACAAACGGTACATTGTGAGTAGGGGATTCAATTCCGGACAATTTTATGTTGTCGGGATCCCGGGATTCTTAACCCCGAATCTCGGGATCCCTGGATTCAATCCCGGGATTTCAGTAATAATGTTACCAATGTTACTTTCAAAGAACATTTTATTAAAATTAACGTTAATTAGTTAAAACAAAAACAAAGTCTTTGGAACAAAAGTAAGTGAATATTCTTCTTAAACAACATTAAACAAAAAATTAAAAATCTCAAACAAAACAAAAAAGAAACTGGACTGATAATATTATTCCATATTTTAAAAAAAAATAGTGCAAAAATATAATATTGTCTATTGTGTCATCTCCCATAGCAAAACGAAATTTTGTAACTATCAAGCCTGCTGACGAAAAACACCTTTCCGATTCTACACTTGTAGGCGGTATTGTACTTAAAAAATCAAAAGCTAGTTGTAAGTTTGTTCCACGTTGTCCACGTAAAATCCCGGGATCTGTTATTATTTTCCCGGGATCCCGGGATTGAAAAAATCCGATAAAAAACGTCGGGATCCCGGAATCCCAGGATCCCGAAATCCCGGGATTGAATCCCCTAGTACGTACGGCCAATGAGCGTCGTGTTGATTGTTGTTGTCATAGTTACCGATCGGCCCTATGGCATATATCGCAAAATTGTACCGACGACTCTCGGTATCTCTACCGTGAGGTTAACAAGGGCACGGTAGAGATACCAATTTTCGTCGGTACAAATTTGCGATATCTGCCAAAGGACCGATCGGTAACTATGACAACAACAATTAACACATTTTTACTATATACAAATACATATCGAGAGCTGTCGTAACTTACCGATACCGACGATTGTACAGAATAGCGCACCAGGGCTAATCTGGACGGGGCCTACTTTGTTTACGCGGAATCCGAACTGCGGTCCTCGGCCATATCATGGTCAATGGCCTACCGACTTGGCAAGTGTCTAAGTCGGCTCTTACTCACGAGATATTCGATCTCATCCGGCCTCGAACCGATGTGAAGGAGCAGTGTGTGTCAATAGATTTTACACTTTTGCCTTTATAGGACAACAGCACGATACAGAATTTCGAACCGGCCACCCGTCTATCCACTAGTATCGCCTTACGTCGCTTAACTTCGGTCTTCTAATGGGAACCGGTGTTTCGATGTAGCTGGGCCGTTGCCAACTATGGTAATATCAGAGATTAAGAAATTATACCGCAGGAAAATTTGCGATGAACAGGCAGTTCTAAAAAGTTTTAGAAAAATATACAGGGAAATTTAAAACAAAATGCACGATTTTCAGCATCTTTTTTTAGCAAAAAAACCCTCATAGACGTGTTCCTGGGGTCGAAATATACCACCCCGAAAATATTTGCACTTATTTAAGACTCACCCTGTATAGTCACTTACTAGCGCAAAGTTATTCAATTATTTCTTCCGATTTTTGACCGAGATCTACCGCACGCTACACAACTAACTATCTTACAGTCTTTTTCGATAAATTGCAATAGTACCTGTCACTGTTTGTTAATTTAAGTTCTGCCACAAAAAAATCTAGATTTACTACCTCTAAAGAACTATTAATAGTAGAATAAATAATATCTAACTTAAAATAAGCTCAGTAAAGACTGACAAATCCACAAAATTTCAAATCAAATTCAAATGTGTCAAATAAATTGTCAAACAGAACTGCCAAGGATCCCCACCCTAGAGTTCTTTTTCCGTCCACCATGCATGAATACATGGATAGCATTATACTCCTTCCTAAGGTATTTTAATTTGTCTATTTTTCATAACTTCGAAATGTATGAGACTCACTTTCATGTTCATAATCGTGATCCTTATGCTCTTGTTCCTCTTGATCTAACACGACCACGTGATCATGAGCATCATTGGATTCATCGAACGGTTCGTTTTGTTGCTGGTAGAGGGCTGGATCATACAAATTACCAGTGGCAGCTTCTACGAACAACGTCAAAGCGTTTGTCGCCCATTCCAGTATTGCCATTAAGTAAAAGTAGGGCTGAAATAAGTGCTGAATGATAAAAAAAATTGTGTGTGCACTATGTACGCATATTTGAAGTGAAACTTCTTACTAACAGCTATTAAATTGAAGGATTTAAAGGATATACAGGGTGCTACAAATTCGAGATACGAGCATTGGTATCTCGGAAACCGTAATAGATAAGAAGATGGTTAAATTGGGGCAAAGTTGCTCCTTGGCATGATCACCAAGATGCCATCAAAAAAGTTTTAAAAATTTCAAGGATTGCTGAGTTTTTTGGAAAAAACGGATTTTTTTGAAAATCAATTTTATTTTTTCCTGTCGTTATTTTTTAGAAAATCAAAAAACTAATTGCACATTCTCATAGCTACTTTATTAGGGTTATCTGATGGTATTTTTAGATTTTTAAATTAGCTGATAATTTGTAAGATACAGAGGCCAACTTATTTTTTTTAAATACGGACCTGCATTTTTTATTCTAGGTTTTGAAAGAACTCGGTCTCCTGAGTAGAATGATATGCCACACTTGATACTTTTTGTTGTATTGGGTACCTTAACAGTAACAACTGTTTAACTGTTAATTAAAATAATTTGAAGTCCGACTCTGTTTTCTTAATTTTTTTTTAATTTATTTAATCTGATTATAATCAGCACAACAATATCGATTAGCGCTAATTATCATTGAATAAGGAAAATCACGCCTGTTGAAAGATTCAAATAATTAATATCCAGGTCAGCAATTTAAAGACATCTATTATTTCTAACTTTTTTATTGTGAATTTGAAATCTCAGTGTACGATCTAATAATATGTATAATATTAATCGTAGTTATTATAAATAAATCAACTTCTACAAACAAGTTTCTAATGCTCTGCATGTTCGAAAGGGGTACCACCCTCCATAATGCACACATTTGTTTTTCATTCAATCTTATTTATAGCTCTTTGAACAGATCTTCTTATACTTCCGAATGCATTTAATTGTTTTTTATTACTCACCAATTGTTTTTGTACTCCTAATGTTGAAATATATTGACTTCAAATGTCTAAAACAATTTTTATTGATTTTCCTTATTCAATGTTAATTAGCGCTGATTAATATTGTTGTGATGAATATAAGTTGGCCTCTGTATCTCACAAATTATCAGCTAATTTGAAAATCTAATAATACCATCAGATAGATCTAATAAAGTGGCTATGAGAATGTGCAATTAGTTTTTTGATTTTCTAAAAAGTAACGACAGGAAAGGAAACAATAATTGATTTTCAAAAAAATCCGTTTTTTCCAAAAAACTCACCAATCCTTGAAATTTTTAAAACTTTTTTGATGGCATCTTGGTGAACATCCTAAAGCGCAACTTTGCCCCAATTTAACCATGTTCGTTTCTATTACGGTTACCGAGATACGAATGCTCGTACCTCGAATTTGTAGCACCCTGTATATTTTTTATGAATGCTTTTTATAAACTTCAATCGCTGTCTTTTAGAGAGACGTTACTTGTCTTGCCATTATTCAATTCATTATTCGAATTCTCAGAATGTTGTTAACAAAAGTTTCATCTTAAAATAAAATTAATCAATCACAATTGTTTATCTCCATCATTTACTGAAGTAATAATACAGAAATTACAGATTACAGCTCAATTACAAACAATTCATTATTTATAGTGATTTACCAGTAATTTTATTAAATTATACGAATATTCTCGTTGATTTTATTGGTTTGAAATAAATGTGAATGTGTCCTCCAATGAAAATGTGAGTTACTAACTCTAAATTCTAATTCTGAGCTGGAAAATGAGCTAGATGCTTTGCCTAGACCGTTATTCAAAAGCTAAAAACCTATCGATGAATGTGTGACACGTGACACGGCTTTGAATTTTTACTCCCAACGCGCGTAAAGAAGTTTCACTTCAAAAATGTGTAATAAAATGTTAGAAGAACAAAGCTTACCAGCATTATTTTCGAAGCCGAACTACCAGTGTCATGTCCTTCGGGACACAGTCCCTGATAGTCGAACATTTTATGCTCCCTGTATATTCCTTCATCGATCAGTTGACTCATGACGTCCGGTCGGATTTTCCCGAAGAAATATCCGGTTTCTTGGAGGTTGTCGCTGACGATCACGTAACCTGAATCATCCAGCATCAAGCAATGTAGCTCTTCTGAATCGCAGGTCTTTTTACATGCTTTTTGCATGTCTCCACACTAGAATAAGAAAATAAGTAAAAATAATGCAGTATGCCTTACTATAAAACAACCAGAAGACCTATAGGTTAGGTTAGGTTGCTGGGGTTTGGGATCATATTTAATCCCTCACTCGGAGGCCTTGGGTCCATTGTGATACCCCTGTATTGTTTTACCAAACCTTCCTCTCATTCTTTCTTTGCGTTAAAGCACTTCCAGCTCTTTGCAAAGTTCCCGATGTCGCTGATGTCGGCTTCTGCTGCCTCCTCTAGTCCCTCCAAAAAACCTTGCCCTAAAGTTTTAAAGCGTCGGTATTCCAGTGCCGGACAGTGGCACAGCAGGTGCTCTATGGTTTCTTCTTCCTCTCCGCATTCTCAGCAGTAGTCGTCGTTGGAAACTTTCCATCTCACGAGGTTTACCCCTGTGGGACAGTTTACAATTATGGCTGATTCATGGTACACCGTGACGGGCCGGGGCCGTGCGACGGTGAAGGCACGGCCAAACATTGTCAAATGTTATTTATACTTATGCATTCATGCTAAGCCGAGCACGGGCCGAGCTTCGCCGGAACGCGTCCGTGCCCCGTCCGAGAAATGTCGGTGTACATTTTTCGTCGGATCCGCTACGGTCCGGCCCCGTTGCAGCAAACATAAATGAGTCGCCCGGGCTAAATACTTCGTTCGTCTACGGGCCTATAGCGACTGTTTTCTAGCAGTGTTGCCGCACCCACCTTTTAGCGCGTACCACATTATAAACTAAAAATGTACCACTTTGGTACAATTTTTTAAAGCACAACAAAATACATCTGCAAATGACTTTAACCGGTTTGGTCGCTGTGAATTTCTTCATAAATTTCTACATAAAAAAACTTCCTGGAGAAAGACACAAATCGAGACGAAAAACATGAAATAGAAATTCAGAAAACCCAATTATAAGTATGTATAGGTTGAAGAATTCTAAGTAATTCTAATACTACACACAATACTTGGAAAACTTAAATTTTATTAAAAAAAAACGCAAATATAGAAGCATGTTAGAAACAGTAAATTTTCAAGTTTTTTCTTCGGGTTATTTAATATAGGCAACGCTATAGACATTACAACGTTTATAATACGTCGTTAATTAATGCGGATTGTCTCCGAATGGTATCGGTAAGCGCGTTTAATACAATATCAACGACAATAATTATTAAATATCTATTCATTTTCGGTGCGCGTGGGAAATAATTATTGTACAAATCATCCTGGATTTGAAAATGTAGTACCACTGTACCAAATAGAATCAAAATAAATTTGGTACAAATGTACCACTGCGGCAACACTGTTTTCTAGAATATAATCGGCACGGACATGATCCCCGTTGTCCACTCGGTGTAGCATATATTGAAGGCCCGGACGTGGCTCGGTGTCTACTTTACGGAACGTGCCCGGCTCGGGTACGGCCCGGTGTACCATGAATCAGCCTTTATGCTTACTAGGTAATTATGTTACGACACCTACAATTATGCGTACTAGGTCCTTTTTGTGCTCTAGTAGTTGTTTTGTCTTTTTGCTATCTACCACTGGCCATAGTCTTCGAGCTGTAGCGCAGTCCTCACGGTGTTGCCACGTCTAATGCTGCTTGGCTTTGATGGCTGTTCCTATAGCCTCCTTCAGTGTGTTGATCGTCACAAGTGGTGGGCCATCTGCCACGGCCTCTCCCTTGGCCCCGTCTTTGGCGAGTCTGTCTGCTTCCTGATCGCTCACCACATTGCTGTGGCCTGGCACCCAGCATAGAGTAGCCCCGCCTCGACCGCGACGCAGCCAGGACAGTGCTTCGCGGCATTCCATCACAGTTTTCGATCTCACTGATTGCATGGTGATACTTCTTAAAGCGGCCAAGCTGTCAGAGTATATCACTATATCCCCTATTGGTCTATCAGCAATTTTCTCTCGTATACAACTAGCCGCTTCCTTTATGGCGTAAACCTCTGCTTGTATAACATTACAGCCATCCGATAGTCTCAAAGATCGTCGGATGTCTAGTTTCTCTGAGAAGATGCTCCTGTGCCCCCTGAATTTGCGGAAGCATCTGTGTAGACTGCTATCTCTTGAGTGTTCATTACTCGGTTGCTTTCCCATTCTTCTCTTGTTGGGATGCGAATCCTTATCTTTTCTCCTAGTGATTGCAACTCCAAAATCATGTTTGGTGAGCATATAGTCCGTTTTCTGGTCTAGCAGATGTGGACTCGTGTTCACCATGATTTTCCCTATCACTGGCAATATCCCCGAGTGACCGTAGTTGGTCTGGTTCCACAGATTTTCTCATCCACACTGGATTCCCTTAATCTTAGGGCACCCTTAGCGGCCAGATCCTTCACGAGCCAGTCGATTGATTGCAAGTCCAGAATTGCTTCGAGCGCAACTTGCGCTGTGTTGTTCCTTGCTCCAGTTGTGTAATAATACACACTATCATGACAAGGACTACAATGACGTCACATACGTGTCACAAATATCAGCTGAAGCGCGGGAAAAGGCAAATGTACGTCTTATGAGGATGAGTAATCCTATTAGTTTACCGTTCTTGGTAGACGCCATTTTTTTAGTTGTAACGAATGAGTCATTAGCTGGTCATCATCGACAATTTTAGCGATTTTTAGTAGATTGTGTGTAGTGAACTTTGTATAAACTTTATTACAATGGTGATTAGTTTTTCAGCTTTCAAGTCAAATAAACACTCGACACTTTTTAGCGTTTTCTTAGCTTTCTTGATACCACCGCGTACACCATAGGCGTAGTCAAAACATTTATAAAAAATATAAATATATTTGCCACGGCACTGTTCTGTTGGTGGTGTGGTAACGATGTGGTCTCGGGTGTAATTAGTCCTAGTATTCTTTAGTCTATGGGCTAGTGTTATTTTTTAGCTTCAATATACTTACATTAATAGTGTGTTTTCTGAAGAAATTATATAAAGACGTGTGGTAGAACTGATAACCCACCACAGCTACTGGCGTCTTCCGATTACCATCTTCTTTGAATATGGCATGGCTGACAGTGACGAGTGTATTGTTTGCATCACCTATGATATAGAAACATTCATAAGAAATATTTATAATATTTTCATGTTATTTTTTTTTAATTCCTTTTTGTTAGAGTTATATTTTGGGAAAATAAAAACTTGTAGTTTGGATGATGAATCTAATTTTTATATTAAAAAGGTACAATACGACCGAAAAAAAACGGCGTCAGCGATGGCTATGAAATGACGATCGCTGTCATTTTATATGGAAAATTATATCGGGGAATGTCATCGATCGTCATTTCCAAGCCAACTATGGACGCCGATTTTTTTCGATCATACAGTACTAGTTAGAACTTCTCAAGGTAGTAATATCTTTAATAAAATCCGGGGAAATACTGTGTATAAACAAAAAATATTGACGTAGTAGATATGATTTCCATAAAATATTGATGTTCTTGGTTCTTATCGTTTACCTATTTCGTGTGGAACTGAATACACAAAACTACTTTGATCGATATAATGTTGTTCCACGGCCCTTTTGTACCATATTTCTTCTATAGCTTTGTTATGAATTCTATGAAAATGTCTGTAAAATTAAAAGAAGTTAAAAACAAGGATTTTTTAATATATTTTATTTACCTTTCATGTATATTGGAATCGATATTTTGCGGGAAATTTTGCCATCGTGTCAAACCGCTATGTGTAGCCATAAAGGCTACTACGACACCGTATTCCCTAATCAGTTGTGATCTGCATGCAATAAGGAACAAGAGAATACAATTAGATCATATAATAAAAATAATTCAATATTAGTAATTTAAAAATAAATAGCCTCAAAAAAAAAGTCTGTAATCGTGACTATAAAAGTGTGCATCAAATAACGCAACTTTATTAAATCATCACGTAATAACCATTTAATTGAAAACTACCTATATACAAGAAACAGGACGAAATAGTTATGTCTTTAAGAAACATTTCATCTGATAAATAGGTTGCACCCTTTACAAGTAGGAGTCATATTAACATCAAAATCAAATTTCTCATGTGAAAAGACTCCCATATACCAATTTTAATCCAAACATTGACATTACTTCGTAGATTATTTGGAAAAAATCGAAATAGAACTGAAAGTTCTACACTCTGTATCTCCGAAAATAAGCATTTTAGGACATACATTTATACGAACTTTTTTACTTATTTTTATCTGCAGAATATGCTGCCGAAGTTTCCAGAATAAAGTTCGGACCACCCTGTATAAAATTCTTGTTTTTTATACACCTAAGTGATAAGGGTGGTCCACACAATTTTTTTAATTTTTTGGACAAAATTTTTAATTTTTATTTTTTGTTGATGTGGCATTAAAAATTACATACAACCTTAAATTTTCACTCAATGACTGTTGTTCCATAAAAAAATATTTATATGGCAGAACAACGTTTGCCGGGTCTGTTAGTTTAATATAAAAATAAAAAATACAATATAAAAATTAAAAATAAATTTTTAACACACTTTTAAAATAATGACTTTTGTACACGGTGGACCATTTTGGTTGTTTCTATAGGGTATCTAGGAAACCGTGAGAAATATTCAAATTTTGATACTGCAGTCTCGGGTTCTTCTTTTGAAAAAAATACAATGGCGCAAACGGATCGTGGCTATCTTGACCGGTTTCGCTACAGGGGGATTCTCAGATTTTGTACTTTTTGACGGTGTTCGATAGTTTGTTTATTTTAGCAACCACGGAAAAATGAATTATATATTCTAAAGGCACTTTTCTGTGTAGAATACAGTGGCGTAGTCAGACTTTTTTCGAAAAAAATATTTTTTGTTATATTAACTATACTTATGTATGTTTTTTTTAAATAGAACCCCCTGTATATTTTTAAATTTTCTTATTCAGCTTGGCATGGGCTTCTCGAAAATATATAACACTCTATATTTATTTTCACTATTAACCTCAACATTTCAAATTTTTCTTAAAATATCCACTTAGTAGATAGTAGGCCGCGCCGAGTAACAAAGTAAACGGTTGTCATGGCGATCGGAACATACCTTTGGTGGATCCGGTACATTTCATTTGAACAGATTGAAGTGTGTGTATTTTAAATAATAAAAAAATGAGTAAATTTTTATTTAGGCTCCGAGGACATTACTATATTTATTTTATTCATCTTCTTTCTGATAATTTTTCGGATGCGGTTTTTGAAAAGATCCAAAATTGATTAAACTATCTTCTAACCTTTTAAAAATGGCTGGGTTTGGTTGCTCGCGCTCTGGATACCGCTCAAAATATAAATCAGCTGCCATTTGCTTATGTTTGTTAGACTCAATATAACATTCTAACATATTATATTTCTCAAATTTTTCAAATTTACTCATTTTTTTATTATTTAAAATACACACACTTCAATCTGTTGAAATTAAATGTCCCGCATCCATCAAAGGTATGTTCCGATCACCATGACAACCGTTTACTTTGTTACTCTGCGCGGCCTACTATCTACTAAGTGGATATTTTAAGAAAAATTTGAAATGTTGAGGTTAATAGTGAAAATAAATATAAAGTGTTATATATTTTCGAGAACCCCATGCCAAGCTGAATAACAAAATTTAAAAATATACAGGGGGTTCTATTTAAAAAAAACATAAGTATAGTTAATATCTCAAAATATATTTTTTTCGAAAAAAGTCTGACTACGCCACTGCATTCTACACAGAAAAGTGCATTTAGAATGTATAATTCATTTTTCCGTGGTTGCTGAAATAAACAAACTATCGAACATCTTCAAAAAGTACAAAATTTGAGAATCCTCCTGTAGCTTCGAAACCGATCAAGATAGCCACGATCCGTTTGCGCCATTGTAATTTTTTCAAAAAAAGAACCCGAGACTGCAGTATCAAAATTGGAATATTTCTCACAGTTTCCTAGATACCCTATAGAAACAACCAAAATCGTCCACCCTGTACAAGCTGCAATAAATAATACATAAACAATAATGACAGTAATTCTAGGTCCTTGCTGCTATGTAAGAAAGAATATAGATCCTTGGTAGTATAGCTGAAAAGAATTAGTTAAAAAGTTTGATAAAGAAGTAGATTTTTTAATTACTCTAATATAACATAAAGAGCTTATATATTATACATATCATTTATATAATACTAAATAATATACTAAAAATTAACTGTTTGTATGATGGTGTATTTTTTCATAATTTATTGGGTTCAGTTTACTTAAATACTAAATATATTATAATTACACGCATATAAACATATTTTTCCATTGCCTACTTAACACCACAGAATACATATTCATATTTAAATACTCTTTTATAGTGAAAGATATTCTTTTAATTAAGGAATAATCATCACCACATGACCAAAACGCTTGGTTCAACACCAGCCCACAATGTTAGCAGCATCAGCATTTGATTCAACCAAAATATAGACTTATTAGTTCTAGAATGATACTTTCATAAGAGATGTGAACAGCTTGAGATATTCACATAGTTATATGCAATAACATATATCGGGCAATAACATTAACTGAGTATGATAATAAACATAAACAAATGTAGCGAACAAGTAAGCTCATACCTTATGGTTAGAGACTCTGCTATCTGTTTTTTAATGCAGTCATTTTCTTCAATTTGTCTCAGATTTAAAATCAAATTTTGTCTGCGAAAAAATATGTTATTTTTCAATTAAAAAAATATTTATTTCAGGTAAAACCATTGAAATTATACCTGTCAAAAAAAATAGATCTACAAAATATACAAGCATTTAATAAAGAAATAGTTTTAATTATCTACCTGTTGATGCTACTAACATATGATTAAAGAACGTGTCTACAGAATTTTAAAATAATAATTACTCTTGTAACATCAAATGTTTGAAGCTAAAGCACATATAAGTAATAAAAATACAAATTCTAAATTATAACTCTAACGTTTCTTCCATTTTAGGCTACAATTTCTAGCCAACTATATGTATTTATTTTTATAACATCTATACCATACCTGGATATCAAAGCCATCAATATAGACATTGGTCTTTACGAATAGAGAAAATTTTATTATTAATATAATTTTAATAAATAACCATGTTGTATATCTTTCATAATGTGTAATATATAAATTAATGACAGAAAAAAACAGCTTACCCATTATCTTCCTTAGTTGTTGTAGTGGTAGTGATGTTCTCACTAAACCAAGCAGTTATTTTAGCGTCAGCAACCGTGTTACTAAACAGCTTGCGATCACCTAAAAGAATTTCTTAATTAGTAGATACCTCCAATGAAAAAGAATTGCAAAGCTAGTTAAATATAATTGATACCTATTAAACTTTTAGATACTTAATCAAGGGCGCGATTTTTAAATTCATTGTTGCCAACCATGGACATATTCGGTTAGGGCTGACTAACTGGAATTTAAATTTCCCGCTGGGGATTCAGGTGGTAGCTCTGATGTAATGTAAAAAATCTGTCAAGTTGCCACACTTATTTATTTATTTCATGACATTGTCATTCGTTTTGACATTTTAGTTTTGTATTACGAGTTTTTGGCTTAAATAAATCGTATTGTGATACTTTAAGCTTAAAAATGTTTACTAGCAGACCTTGCAGTCGAACATTGTTCTTTTTAGAACCTCTTTTAGTGCGAAGTGTACAAGATTAATTAGCTTAATAGCCGTAAAAACTCATGACAACCTTATTAGAACATTTTGAACAGAAAAGCGGTAGTAATGTGCTTTATGTCCCTTAAGTGCTGTTAAGGAAGTGAGTTTTGTTGATGTAGATAATAACTGTAATATAATAATAATTAATAATAATAATATAATAACTGTGTATATATTTATAATTAATTTATTTTTGTTTCTTAAAATATTTTGATTAAAAGAAATTATGTAACTGTGGGCAACGCTGTGCCGGTCAAGCTTAATCACGTGACTAAAAGTTTACTTGATATGAACTATAGTTTGATTAATAATAACTCTGAAATATTTTCTGAATATGGTAAAGATTGGAAGCAATAATAAAATGTGTAAATTAAAAAGAGATTAATGGAAACAAATGGTTCTTTGCTTTTAGATTAAAATACTATTTAGAACATTTATTAGGTACTTACATTCTTTGGATTTTTCAAACCATTTCCAAGCTGGACCTTCCACTTTCTTCAGGAAATGTTGAAACTCATCTTCAGCAGTTTCAAAATAGTGCTTGTCATCCAAGTACCGACAGTATTGCCTTAAACAAAACGATATTCAAGAAATAAAGTAAAAAATAATGCAGAACCAGTTGTGATTAATCAATAAATGTATTAAGTAAATACCGGATGATGGGGATGATCGAAAAAAAAACAGCGTCAGCGACATGGCTATGAAATGAAGATCGCTGTCATTTTATATTTAAAATTGTATGAAAAATGCCGATCATTTTCGAACCAACTGGAGGCCGTTTTTTTTTATTTTTTTTTAATCTAAATTTTTTTATTTTAAAATTAAGACAATTTTTGGACTGACTACGCTTATTTTCTATGATTTTTTTTCGTAGAGCTGAAATAACTCACCACTCTGGATGTATGGTCCAGTTTCCAGTAAAATATTGCATAAATCCTTTGTCGTTTGATCGGAGACGATGAATATCGTTTTCTACAGCATGTTGTACTCTATTAAAACCATATTTATGTGGTAGGACTATGACCAAACTGAAAGGTGTGCCGTTGATGCCAGTGTAGTAATAATAACGTTTGCTGATACTGATCCGTTTCTGTATAAAAATTAACATAGTATTTGTTAAACATTACTGTGAAATAGATATTTCCTAATTTAAAATATATGAAGAATTATATGAAACGCTCCTTTTAAAGAATAGGAAAAATAATTGGTTTTCAAAACAAAGATAAAAGCAATGACACATCGTATATGTCACTGTAAATGTCAGAAATGCGGTAAAACCTTTGAATAAGAAGACTAAGGAAGGAGCATAATGTTATCCATGTATTCATGCATGGTGGGCGGAAAAGCCACCATAAAAGCTCTCTAGGGTGGGTATCCTTGACAGTTCTGTTTGACGATTCATTTGACACATTTGAATTTGATTTGAAATTTTGTGGATTTGTCAGTCTTTACGGAGCTTATTTTATGTTATTTATTATTTATTCTACTACTGATAGTTGTATAAAGGCAGTAAATCTAGATGGAAATTGTGGCAGAACTTAAATTAACAGTGACACTATCGCGATTTATCGAAAAAGACTCTAAAATAGTTGGTTGTGTAGCGTGCGGTAGATCTCGCCAAAAATTGAGTGAAATAATGGAACAACTTTTCGCTAGTAAGTGACTGATATAATATACATACGTGTAGTAAACCGATCATTTATGAAATTCACTTAAATTAACTAAATTATATATTTTTCTTGCATTTTAACTTTTATTTATTACTTGTCAAAGATTAGATGTCAAAGAATTTAGATACGTTAATTTGACTTACCTGCTTCAGTAGCGTATCGGATGTTTGTGTTAATAAATACTTATTATAAGTTATCTATTTTTATTAGAATTATATATTTTTATAACAATTTTAATAACTACCAACATTTATTCACAACGTAAAATAAAACAACAAATTATTGAGTCTACCCCACGTCTACCCTACATCATAGTTTTACATTTTTTAAATAAAATTAGAACGACACTGATAAACCGGAATTTAAGTCGGCCATATTTGAAGCCCATCGCGGTGTACCTAAGATTTTTGATATGCTCCTTCCTTAGTCTTCTTATTCAAAGGGTAAAACCTAGGTTTTACATGGGTTTTACCGCATTTCGAGTTGGTTAGCGTGCAAAAAGCAAAAAGCCTTGCAAAAACCTCCCTACAATAAAAAAACAATGCAATGTTCCAGCAATAAATTTTGCTTGTTGGGGCACTTATCCTAGGTTTTACCGCATTTCGGACATTTACATATATACAGTTCTTTAAAAGTTCAAAAGGTGAAAATTAACTGAGATCTATTTGGGTTTTAGAATCATTAGGACGTTAATAATTTAAAAATAATAATAATAATTTAGAAAATAATAAATAAAAGAAGTGTTCATCACGTACAGATATATTATGTAAAATTTGGGATTCGATTATGTAAAATTTGGGATACTCATTTTTTATTGATCTTTTTATATCGACTTGGTGTATTCTCCGCCGATGCTGCCACCATCGGTGAATTTCGTAAATAATCGGTATATACAAACACGGGTTTAAATAACGGATATACGAAAAAAAGTTTATATAATTATTCTAACAGTGTTAGGAAGTATAAATTAACATAAATAAATTAAATACTATTGCAAATTATATTTTATCCTCTCATAGTATATGCCTATTTAATTTTTTGATTATGTAATGGGCACTTTGTTTAATCAATTGTTTCGTCGAACTGTTTGAATCCATTTTTGCTTTTGATCAAATCGGTTTGAAAAGCTATGAAGCTATAAAATGTTGATTTGGGAGAGTTGAATATTCGGGAAAGTTGAGTTATTGAATGTTATTCCACCTAACAACCAAGTAATTACGCCTTCCTTTACGCGTTAACATTTTTTCGGCAATTTTATTAACATTTGGAATTGTCAGAATACAACGCGACGCCCAGTTCGAGTTCTTTTTCACTTAATTTTTATTACCCGAACATTGCGGTTACATCACATAAACCTCGTACCTGAGTGTTTTATAGTTTCAATAACTGCACTAGCAAAAACTAAAATACTGAAACATTATGACAAAGCCACGATTTCAATATTATTTTAAAGCGGTCAACACGAGGGTCAACATGAACTGTAACCGGGTGAAATACATAGCGAACATTTCTGATTTCTGCCGTATAGAGCGCTGCGGTCGGATTTCTTTTAAATCAACTGAAATGCACCAAGCCTATACATTTTATAGTCATTATTTTGTATAATTTAAATAAGAATATTCATTAAACTTTATACGCAGCACTTTATGTTGCGAGTTTTTATTGTTCTTTATGTAAATACAGCAAAATATTTTGGGTAAGTATAATATATATCATTATATTTAGGGGGCCACTAGGTTTTAAAAATCCAGATCCGTACTTAAAAAAATAAAGTTGATGATGGTTTCTAAAAAATAAAACGTCAAATTGAAAATCTAATAATATAAACTTGTAGAACAGGAAAAGTAATAATGGGATTGTGAAATTTTATTCTATATTTTCGTAATAACATCTTACCATATCATCCAGATGGCTTTTCACTCTCATAGTAGCGTTTCCCTTTTTCTGCATGATAACTTTGTATCTTAGTTCTTTAATGTCATCGTTAAATTTTCTTGGTTCGGTATCATCATCAATTACTTCAACTTCCATCATATCTACTCTATTGTAGGCAGGCTTCAATATCCCTTGGTACTAAAAACGTTAATAAATAATAAGAAGACATTAAAACTGTCATATAAAGGGCCTAGCAACACGACAAGTTGTACAGTGTGGATTTTTTTTAACATTATAAAGATTGTCTAACGGGACAGGACTGATTTCGACAGACGACATCCAAAAAATTATGAAAGTATACTTTATTTTTGAACTAAAATAGCAACAAGCTTTGAAGTGTTGAACCAGTCTATACTGTGCAGGGTGGGTCAAATTCGAGGCTTTTAAATGAAAACACCCTTTTCTATAGGAGATAGACAAAAACTAATATGGGTGTCTGGAGCTCAATTTTTGTCAAAAACATGATGGTGAAAACCACATATCGATATCTGTTACCGTTTCGGAGTTACGGGGTGTTTTTCAAACATATGCATTTTTAACAAATTGCTGTAACTTTTTTGCTATGGAAAATTTTGTATTTTTATGAAAAATTTCTAATGCACCATTTGAATTTAATGGTTTAAGTATAATTTTTTTAAAATTAATAATTTAAGAATTATCAACAAAAAATTTGATTTTTTATATGGGACACCATGTATATTTTTAATTAACTGAAAAGCATTTAAAATTACCTTTCCAAAAATATAGCACACTTGATATTTTGTTATAATCCCCTTCGAAATACAGAATTTTTAAAAGTTCGCCACTTTTAACTAGTAGGCTTTGGACCCCTTATTGATGATATGCCCTTAATGGAACTTGAAAATATATTTTTCCAGCAAGACGACTCACCGTCTCTGAACACTGAAGTTATCAGCAAATTTTTGCAGCCAATTTCAAGAATTATTGGATAGCTAAACAATATCCCAGCCGTTGGCCGTCGAGGCCGCCTGACTTAGTGCCCATTGATCTAATCATATGGATATATTTGCGGAAGAATAAAGATTCCTTATTCTTCCGTATATCTAGACAAGAATTAAAAATACTTAGCAGTTATGAGAGGGTATCTTTCACCCCTACTGAGTTAATGAATTCCGCGAAAATTTTTCAAAAACTACCCCGTCTGTCCATAACAGAAAAGGGTCGATATGTCGAACACCTGTAGCAAAATCTGATGTCTTGGTTTGCTTTTTATTTTTATTGTTATTAGATATAGTTTAAATGTGTCCAAATGGTGGTTAAATATATTTTAAATTGTTAAAAAATTCTGCATCTCTCATAGCAAATATTATTTTCGTTTTAATTGATGCTCACAGCTAGAAATTTTTTGCATTACAGCCGGTGCCGTTCAAAGCCTACTTATTTAAAGCGGGCGAATTTTTATATACTCTATATCTCGAAGAGGAATCGAGCAAAATATCAAGTGTGTTATATTTTTGGAAAGATAATTTTAAATTCTTTTCAATTAATTAAAAATATATAGGGTGTCCCATATAAAAAATCAAATTTTCTGTTGATAATTCTTAAATTGTTAATTTTAAAAAATTATACTTTAACCATTAAATTCTTTACGTAAAAGTAACTTTGGAAATGTTTTCATAAAAAAATACAAAATTTTCCATAGCAAAAAAGTTACACCGATTTGTTAAAAATGCATATTTTGAAAAACACCCCGTAACTCCGAAACGATAACAGATATCGATATGTGGTTTTCACCATCATGTTTTTGACAAAAATTGAGCTCTAGACACCGATATTAGTTTTTGTCTAAAAGCGTCGAATTTGACCCACCCTGTACACCTTGTCGTACGCCTAGCGTGTATGTACCGCCTTGGTTTCAATTATTTATTTCTTAAACTATTGCTTACCACTGGCCTTAAATCAGGGATGTATCAGAATGTATCCATTATTGGATACAATAAATCCATAACCATTTACACCCAACTGAAACATAAGTACTATTTATTATTAAAATATTACAGCAGCATTGTTTTACATACCCGGTAAGGTAGCATCAGTCTTTGAATGTACTCAATTGGGACATCAGTTCCTGCAACCCCAGTAGATTTGCAACTCTTTCCTAAAATTAATATAAAGTAATTATTAGATAATATACGTACATAAAAATGTCAGATTTTTTCTATTTTTGCTATATTTTGCTTTTTTAGATACAAAAAAAACTAGCTATAATTAATTAATATACAAATATAGATTCTACTTTTTAGTTTAATTATTCAGATATCAAAGCTGGTTTTAGTAATATTTTTTTTGTCGGAAACTGTTTTGAAATGTTGCGAATAGACATTCCAGGACAGTTTTCGAAATAGTAAAACAATAATATAGAATATAATAATCAGTACAAAACATATTTCTTTAACAACTCTGTTCTAAACTAACATCTATACAATAGAGCTAATATAACTAGACGCCTCTAAAGGCCGCACTACACGCTGGCTTCTGTCGTCTATGTTCAATCCTAAACAGCGACCTGTCAAATGACACGAATCTAGGTAAGGATAACCACACACCACTGCTGGCCTAAAAACTCACTAAAGTCCCTAAAATAATGTTACACAGACTGTCCTTTCCGTGCTTTTTACCTCTCTGGTCACCGTTATCCATAGGGCTTCGTTAATTTGTTTTTGTTCGGTTATGTTCTGGAGATAGAAACGGTGGTTGTGTTGAATGTTTATAAGAAAGTACAAGAATGGATTAATTACAAACAATAGTGGCTTGAAACAGTTGCTTTACGGTTCAATTTTGTCTAATTACTTTTTACTTCATTATTATTTCAGAATTCTAGGATACATAAATACAAAGACATCTAACAAAAAGGAAGACACAACACTCCATTCAAAAAACACCATTTGCTCATACTTTTACACTTTTATATAAATTAAAAAGAGATTGATTTATAATATACATAATAAATATGTAATTTAATGTAATATAATAATTATTTATCTACTATAGTAATACCACAGATTATACAGATTATAATCTTTGTTTTTTCTTTATTGTTTTTCGTGGTTCCAATTTTCGGAATCGGGCACTAGTTAGGTGACTAGTTTGCGCACATAGCACGCCCACTTATGACCTCTAAAATTGTGCACAGCGCCTGACCGGCACAGTTATTAGAGAGATATCGGAAAACCGAATAGCGTCATCCATATTTACGCGTACCTTATCATGGTTACGACATGCGCGAGTCTTTGAATAAGAAGACTAAGGAAGGAGCATATCAAAAATCTTAGGTCCACCACGATGAGCCTCAAATATGGCTGACTTAAATTCAGGTTTATCAGTGCCGTTCTAATTTTATTTTAAAACTATGATGTAGGATAGACGTGGGGCAGACTCAATAATTTTTTTTTTATTTTACGTTGTGAATAAATGTTGGTAGTTATTAAAATTGTTATAAAAACATATTATTATAATAAAAATAGATAAGTTTTAATAATTATTTATTAACACAAACATCAAATACGCTACTGAAGCAGGTAAGTCAAATTGACGTATCTAAATTCTTTGACATCTAATCCACAAATCTAATCTTTGACAAGTAGTAAATAAAAGTAAAAATGCAAGAAAAAATATATAATTAGTTAATTTAAGTGAATTTCATAAATGATCGGTTTACTACACGTATGTATATTATTGTATAGTCACTTACTAGCGAAAAGTTGTTTCAATATTTCACTCAATTTTTGCCGAGATATACCGCACGCTACACAACCAACTATTTTAGAGTCTTTTTCGATAAATCGCGATAGTGTCACTGTTAATTTAAGTTTTGCCACGATTTCCATCCAGATTTACTACCTTTATACAACTATCAATAGTAAAATAAATAATAAATAACATAAAAGAAGCTCCATAAAGACTGGCAAATCCACAAAATTTCAAATCAAATTCAAATGTGTCAAATGAATCGTCAAACAGAACTGTCAAGGATCCCCACCCTAGAGTCCTTTTTCCGCCCACCATGCATGAATACATGGGTATCATTATGCTCCTTCCTTGGTCTTCGTATTCAAAGGCGTGAGCAGGGGTGCAACTAGACATATACTTTTAGGGGGGCTTAAGTCTTTTGGGGGGGCTTAGGTCACTATAGGATAAGATTCATGTGAGGTTAAAACCAGATTTATACGATACCTCCCCCCCTAGTTGCGCCTCTGGGCGCGAGTCAATTTTTAACGCAACAACCGCTAATAACGTTACCGCCTGACGTAATTTGCGGATCAATTACACCAAGTGCTCTTTCTAAATAACCTCTGATAACGTTTAAAAATTGCTTAAATGGGCATGTGCGGGTATTTGACAACCGGAGCCGGCCGGCGAGATCTTTTATTTTAGGTTATGTTTGAATTGTTTTGAATTATTGCTTTAGTTTTATTAGGTAATTTGATATTTAAGTAGCTGGGATTAGTTTTAATTAAATAAATATGGCCCAAAATATGGATTCCACCTCTTCCAATACTAAAGAACCTATAATCTTAGGTTTACAGCAGATGACGACTTAGCCCTTCTAAGAGAATTTGTTGCTTGTTGCCCTAAACCCACTGGCAGACGTTGAACAATAAAGCACTGGAAATAAGCACTTTAGCCCTTTAGTTTTAAAATACCTAGTAAACAAAACAATTTCAAAATTTTAAATTCAAAGTTAGGTTAAGTTTAAATAGCGGACGCGACGCGATCAGAATTCTTTCTGATCCGATAACTATAAATGAAGAGAGTTAATACCACCTCACGTAAAGGAAATAACACCTGGCCTTATTAACGTCCATGCACGCTAATCGGTTTAGCGATATCTCTCTATTACGCTGTTTATTGTTATTCTACGCGAGTTTATTTTTGCGCACAGGAAATTTGACTCGTTTGCACATCGTCATAAAAAACAATTTTCGTACCACGAACTAGGGACAAGATTTTTATCTGTATACTTATAGGATACCTAATCTGTGGTAATACTAGATGAGAATTCAATATGTAAAGTCCATAAAAATCGTATAGGGTATACTTTTATTTTCAGTAGGTAATGCTCTTTTGTAATAACCTATTAAGGGTGGCTGCAACGACGTCCCGTAATCCTGCTGTTAAAATATAACAATTGGTTTTTATATATAAAAACCAGCTGTCCTATTTCAACAGTAGGATTACGGGACGTCGTTGCAGCCACCCCTTAAAAATTTAATTAAGTACACCACTGTTAAAGCTAAAAAATACGTACGTCATTAACCGCCGAAATATCAATTTGGGATAATATAGGCCACCGGTTGCAAATTAAACACTGGCGAACCATTTAAAAATACTTTACACAGTTCTTTTGCTAAGAAAAACAGTAAAAATTACTTGAAAAACACAAAAGTTCACAAACACCGCGCAGCAAAACTGTTGAACATAACTTGAACGAATCCATTAAAATTTTACTATTCATAGTAAAATACATTGTAAAAATCATAGAAATCAAACGTCTTCCTGAAGCAGCGTTATCACAGGTACTTTCCTAATAAATTTTAATTTAATTTAATTAGAAAACTAAAAATAATTTCAAAGTTATAATCTTTGTATTTTAACTAAATAGTATACCCAAGAAAATATTAATAACAAAAACAACGTACTTTCAAACTTCAAGCTTTCAAACACAAGCTGTAGATCTAACGCAAACAAAGAAAGTCATCGATTTTTGTTGAAAACAGTGCTTGATCGCGATAAAATGGAAATTGTCTCCTTTTATTTAGATGTCTTTGTTGACATGTATAACATTAAAAAATAAGTTCTATAGACATTATAAGTATTGTAATAACAAAATATATATTTAAATACCTGATAAACATTAAATAGAAATATAAATTCAATATAAATCATGTTCAAATAAGAATTAGACATAATTACACTTGGCAATAACATTTAAATTAAATACACATACCTGACGGGGCTTTTTGTCGTAGACTGGAAGTGATACTGACGTCATGAGATGGTACGTTTGGGTTTCACCATAATTATCTTGTTTCTAAAAACAAGTAAATAAGTATAAATAATAATTAGTAGTAATAAATAAGTGTTAAATGTACCACAACATTTTTGACTTAGCTACTACTCTGGATTTAGGTTAAAATTTTAGAATATTTTAAAAATCTAATAATTCAATAGGCCCAGTTAAAAAAAATACCAAGGTACTATTTAAAAATAGAAAGTTGTAGTAATTTCCGGTGAAAGAGCATGTGACCGAAACTATTCTTGATACCAATTAAACAATTTTTAAATCCATTGTTGCCAACCATGAACATATTCGGCGCCGGGCTGACTCTGGAATTTAAATTTCCCGCTGAGGATTCAGGTGGTAGCTCTGCGGTAAAAAATGTCAAGTTGCCACGTTTATTTATTTATTTCCTGACATTGTCATTCGTTTTGACACTTTTGTTTTGTATTACGAGTTTTTGGTTTAAATGAATAATTGTGTTGTGATATTTTAAGCTTAAAAATGTTCACTAGCAGACCTTGCAGTCGAATATTGTTATTTTTAGAACCTACGATGTATACGAGAGATAGCTTAATAACCGTAAAAAACTCATGGCAACTTTATTAGAATATTTTGAACGGAAAAGCGGTAGAAATGGCCATTTATGCCCCTTAAGTGCTGTTAAGAAGGTGAGTTTTGTTGATGTAAATATATTTGTTTCCTAAAATATTTTGATCAAAAAAAGTTGGCAAAGATGTGCCGGTCAAGCTTAATCACGTGACTAAAAGTTTATTTGATATGAGCTATAACTAAATACGTCAATCAATCCTGATTTATCTCATATACTAACGCACCAAATTATTTTTTTTAACTGAGGAAATAAAAAAGTTGATAGGCCACTTTTGAGAAACACCCGCTATAAAGTGAGAATCAGATACAAATAAGTTATGATATAGTATAATAGAACTATTCTGTTAGATACCCACCCGTTTTTGTTGATGGACAAATTTCTTATCAATCTCATCCGGCGACATCATATCCTTATATTTACTGAATATAAGATATCTCTCTCTTTGAGTGTTCCTTTCCCTGTTAACCCAAAGCCAATTGGTCAGCTTTGGATCGGTGACGTCCGCATACACCGGACTCCACGTTGGGTTCGGTTTGATACTAGCGTTGAGTACCATTGGCCTCGCCATTACTGGTATATAATGAAGTACTTCTTCTCGTACTTCTGCGTAAGTACTCAGGTGTACATAATAGCCTACAAATTAATATCAATGTCGAAGTTATGGAGAAATATAAAGTTGTAACGAAGATGTTTTAGCTTCTGAAATGTTTGTTGATTTTTTGTGCATTGTGAGGGTTGTATATAAAGTAAGTCATTTATACCTTGGTTTGCACATGCCATCCACTTGACTTCTCTAGTATCGCTGACCTCACGACCAATCAGATAAGTAAATACTCTGACGTTGACTATGGGCAAGCTGTCCCAGTTGTATTGCTCGAAAATCTCTTTGAAATTGTACTGCGATCCGTCAGTTATTAACATTATTGCTTGATTACAATTGGCACCTGCAGAATACAAATGAAATCAATCATTTTAGAGAACATATGAAAATAATAATACAGTATTTATGATTATAACTGTTAGATAATTATAATAATAGAATTTAACACGCTTTGTAAGTTCAAAAAATAATATGTGGTATTTACCTAAACTTTCTCTCCTGTAAGTTTCCAGCAATTGAAAGGCTGTGATGAGAGCTAATGAGAAATTGGCTATTTGTTCTGTCTTGAAATCGCTCATGCTTTCCTTTAATGTTCGTATATTTGCAAGGTTTGCCTAAAAATACGTATTTGTTTACAAACAGATACCATAAGCATCGTACATAAAACTCGTTTTAAAAAAAGTTTTATGTACGGTGCCATAAGTGTCGTAAAAAATTGGGCAAGTGCGAGTCGGACTCGCGCACGAAGGGTTCCGTACCATTCATTATCTATACAACATTAGACACTATTATTATAAACATTTTTTCCAATTTAACTGAAATTTTGAATGCGCGTATAAGTAATTAAAAAAAATGAAGAAACACATTACTAAAAATTGTATTAATTAATAATAAATATGTAAAAATATGTAAAAATTAAAAAAAAACGATTAAAAACAAGTCTCCTTGACTAGGATTCGAACGTGCCTTACTACGGCTCCAACGTCATAGCAGCGTAAAGTCCTAACGCTTTAAACCACGCGGCCACCGAGGACTTGAAAGATGTAAAATTCTTACTTAAAAGATAATGAGATTTAGTGAAAGTACTTTTTTATTTATAAATATTTATTTAATTCTGTTTTTAGTATTTGTTCTTACAGCGGCAACATAGACACAAGTATATGTAAAAATTTCAACTGTCTAGCTATAATGGTTCATAAGATAGACCTTTGTGACAGACGGACGGACGGACGGACGGACGGACAGGCAGCGAAGTCTTAGTAATAAGGTTCCCGTTTTTACCCTTTGGATACGGATCCCTAAAAATGACTTGAAAATTACAAAATAACAAAATTCAAATTGCAAATACAGTAAAACTGAAAGATTTTATGTATATGTGTACAGAGTATCCCCTTTTCGTGTGTTTTATAGGACTTCTCGTTTATCAGTATAGAGATACAATGATGCGATTTTCACATTACTTTGCTACTTTTTGAAACTAAATATTATGCTACACAAGTTTTGTCCTAGCCTCCTTAGTCCCTGAAATACAGGGCGAATTTGTGATGCGCAGTAGTGAACAGATGTTGAATACAGATATGATGCGCAGTAGTAAACGCAACGTCTACCGGCAGCCAGACGGTCCGCACTCTGTTCAGAAGAGCATATTAATGAACCAGCTTTCTTAAAATTCTCTCACGAAAATGTTGCTAGCTCTTAGACTATAAGTAAAACAGCGAAAGCGTTATGGAAATGAAAATATAAAATGGCACCAATCACAAGCAAATCAGATCCCGATCCAAAAATATATCCGATAAAAAACTGTGTAATTTAAAAAGAGAACCACAACCTAAAGGTGGCTACACACACTACTGCAAGCTTGACAAGAATGCATGAAGAATCTTTTTGTACAAGCATGCATAATTTACCTTTGCCGCCACACGGTACATGCATGCTTGAACGAGCTTCAGTTTATGCCGCGAAAAAGAAGAAGAAAGTCCGAAGAAAAAGAAGAAGGAATCCTGAAGGCATTTATCTTTTTAATAACGGCAGCCTTATCGGCTTGGCTGTCAATTAATCTATATTTATTAAGTAAAACTTTTTCTTCACCCTATCATGATATTCTGGTGATTTAATTCGCCAAAGACATGGCTGATTTTCGTATGCGCGAATAAAATCTTCCAATAATCCTGCTCCTTTTCAGATCGCTAGACATGATGGCGACGCGACGTACAGGTCATTTACGATCACGGACTGAACTAATTGTTTGTACAAGCTGAATACATGTGGTACACACATGCCGTTCCGCTTGCGCAAGCATGGCTTGTCCAAGCTTGCATGATTCAAATTGAAACAATCATCAAGCGGCTTGCATAATTAAAATGCTTACGCAAATTTTCCCTACAGACGCTACAGTTTGCTTGTACAAAAAGATTGTTCATGCATGCTTGTCAAGCTTGCAGTAGTGTGTGTAGCCACCTTAACGAAATATGCTCCCATCCTGTCAAGGATCTACAGAAAGGGGACAAACACAATAGGTCTTACAGGTCGCAATGTTTTCGGCGCAGGACGGCTTCTTATTATTGAAAAAAAATGGTTAAACACTTACCTGAACTAGCTTTTTATCAAAACAGTCGACTAAGGGATCAGTAGTATTACTAAACGTATAGATGTTGACGTAATCGTTATTCCCCAACGTATCCAGAATGTTATGTACGACGTGACGTGCAATTTCTCTTCTCATGCCTGCAAATTATTTTAATTATATATTTTTATCTATTACAATTAATATCTGCCTCAAAAAAATACACAATTAATTGTTCTAGAAATAAAAAAATACACCAAAACACTTTATTTTAAATGCTAAATCCCCGTATATATCTTATTTAAATATCGATGCAAACCAAATTATAAGAAACTGCTTCCGGAGAGGAAACGTAGAAGTATTAGTACGAGAGCAACGTCGGAAAAAAACAAGTATTTTAAAACGTCTGGCCCTTTGATATATCTTTTACTCTGCTCTCTAGAACAGCATGCGGCCCGTCTAGCTGCCGGTAAACGTTGCGTTCCCTACTGCGCATTGAAAGAAGATCCTATATTTTTATTAGTCCTTTAAATTCTAGTATTGAATATAAATCGAACATGTCTTTATATATATAATATTTGTTTTTTTTAATCACCAGAATTATTTAATACTTTACTATCAGAATATAAACGAAAATAAAATAAAAAAGTCTTTGCCCTGACCCGGATTCGAACTCTGAATCAACGGTTCGTAATTGAAAAATCTACGAACTGCGCTATGGAGGCACGTTCGATTTATATTCAATACTAGAATTTATAGGACTAAATTAAAAAAAAATATAGGATCTTCTTCCGATGCGCAGTAGTGAACGCAACGGGTATCGGCAGCCAGACGGTCCGCATGCTGTTGCAGAGAGCATAGTAAAAGATATATCAAAGAGTCAGACGTCTTAAAATACTTTCTTGAAAACGTTGCTAGCTCTTAGCCCGTGGTTACATTGGATGCGTGTCCGTGCGTTTTTTTGGTCGTACGTGCTCGGACGTGCACGCAGCAAAAAACAAACAAATGGTATCTACGCAGGCGGTTACATTCTATCGGAGTTTGCGCGTCCGTGCACGTGTCGATTTCCGTTGGTCGGATGAAAACAAACTGGTTTGTTTTTTTAATACGTGCACGATTCCGAGCGTTCAAATTTTTATATCTCTGGGCCCAATACATTCCCAAAAAAATTGAATATTTTTGAATACCAGGGGTTTATTTTTATTTTAGATATATTAATGTTGCTGGAAACATTCTAAGATATTCAAAAAATTGACCAATTGCTGTTTTAATTCACCCAATATTTTACATATCCATTTTCTTTCCCTTTTCTTGCATATAGATCATTTACCTAACATTTTCTTCTGTTCATAAGTAGTTATTTTAACATCAAATCCTCAGACAGCATCAAAGTATTGGCGTCCGTTTTGACAAACTCGACACACAGGCATATATATATTAACTAACGTATATTGACTCCAAACTGCATTCTGTGAAGCCGAGCCGGTGAAATGGGTATATAAATCTTCGCTCAGTTAGTGAAGCACAAGCGTTGTGCGCAAGCGTGAATTTTTAATTATCGATCGGATAACTAAACCAATCAGAACATAAGCTGTTCATTCGTACAGCTTCGTACGGCTTTCGTACGGTTGCCGTACGTCTTCGTACGGCAACACGAAGACAGTTGAATAAGAAATGAGGCACAGAAATGAGGATCGTGTTTGCGCTCCCGTTCGACCACGCGTTCCACAAGGCCAAGCTAAAACTAATCGATATTCGGAATTTTGGAGTTGATACATGGACCGCTTATCTAGTTGTCTCTAACTCGGCTTCAACTCCAACACATTGCAGGGATAGGCGATGATCCGTATAGATTTGATATGTATATGCACACAGGACACCAAGAACGCGCATCTAATGTAACCACTAAAATAAAATAGTGGTGCGAGTAAAATCCGTCAGAGCTCGCACGTTTAAAAAAACGCACGGACCCGCGTCCAATGTAACCGCGGGCTTAGACTATATAGTACGATTGAAGAAAAACGGCATCAAGTTGACTGAGAAATGACGATTGAAACATTCTTTGTTAAATTTTAAAAATAAAATGGCATAGATCTTCATTTCAAAACCAACTCTGATGCCGTTTTTTATGGCACGTTACTTGACAATTAATAGTATGTTGTTAAAAATGACACTTTTTGTGGTGAGGCTGTACGTTTGAAGGCAAGCCACAAAAAGTCATTTTTACTCCAAATAGAACATGCTATTTTTTTCAAATGCCACAAATATTATTTTAAACAATTTCAAACGTTCCAAATAATATAAAAAGATTTAAAAGTATTACCTTGTATGTAATTATATATCGCAATACTATGGTTATGCTCGTTGAATTTGACACTTTATGTCAGTTTAATAATATATTTTCGTACTTTTGTGCTTAGGCGTAAAAGTGCTTTACCTTTATGTCTAGGCGTTAAAATAACTTTTTATATTGTCAATCACGTCGCAAAAATTAATACTTTTGTGACGTTTGAAAAAAAAAGTTTATCAAAACATTATTTACCTGTCATTGATCCAGATCTGTCAACCAAAATGACAATATCTTTGGGAGACGATGCCGCTTCAATGTACCACGATCTAGTACGGCAATCGAATAAATCAATTGGTTCCTGTGACCAAATCATGGCTGAAATTTTAAAATTACTTTGTATATATAATAATTAAAGCAATGGTTCTTTAACTTACCAGGAAACTGTCTCATAAAACCTGTGGAACTACCAAAGTACTGCCAGGATAGACTGGGATCTAGATCGTAGTTGCTTCTAAATGTTTTATCTAATTCTTCTGACCATTTTATGCCAGCTATCACGTCTTTAGCTGAAAATAATGATTGTATTCTTTCTAGTGTCATGGGGGTGTCATATAGGTGTCTCCGAGGTGTGTCTCACTGTTGGAATTACATCATAATTACATGTATATATTTTCTTGGCAGTATTTGGCAGACATAGTCACTCTTCTTCGCAGTCAATCGCTTGGCAGTAAAATTATATTTTGGCAGTACATGTGCATTTTTAACTCAAGTGAGACACCCCTCGGGAGAATTGTTCACAGAATAAAGTAAATATATATACCAATAATAATTATAACTTACATCTTTCATAAACATTGCTAGGAACATGGACGGCACTATGATTTATATTAACAGGTATATTATAGAAAAACCTGTTTCTATACAGGGGTAATTTTGATTTATCTATCGACTGAGTTTGGCTAGCCTGCGGATCTTTTTCTGCTAAATCATCAGTTATCTGAAAATAATAAAAAAAAATCAGTACTAATGAAAGTAGATTCCGTAGATAACATAAAACACTTTTCTAGATTGTTCAACTTTAATATTTATAAATGAAATGTTTAGTTTACTGTAAATTAACCTTGTTTTCTTCTTCCAAAAAATCATCGTTATTTGAAGCATCGCTTTCAGGAGAATCTTGATCTTGCTGGTAACCATCCATTTCATCAAGCTGGTAGCTCTGTCCATAAATATTACTAGCCATAACGGTTTCATCATATTTTACTTCCCTTGGCAAGTGTAAATCAATCTATAACAAAAGTATGATTACAACTAATATTCGTGTTTATGCTAAATAAGAAGTTATAGTAGTATCTACCTCATTTTCATCTGACCCAGACATATTAGGTGCTGAGTTGGTTAAATTTTTGGCATTGTAAAATTGGAAATTGTAGTCTATATCGTCTTCTTTCTGTGCTTGAGCTGCTTGTTCTGCAATATCCATTATTCTCTGGAAAAACAACAAGTAGTAGGTAGTATTATATAGTAGTTTATTTGTTTTGAAAAATTACTATCGATCCTATGCCTACAAACATATTAAAGTTACATGATATATTCAGAGGAAGACAAAAAAACTTTTTTAGTTAATAACAGTGAAAAATATGTTTGGTGCTTAGTACATTTATGGTGAAGAAATTCACCAGTAGTAGAACATTCGCCAAAATTCACAGCAGACCTGATCACCTGATAAGCAAAGACAGAAAGACAGTCAAAGCTGTAGTGGGTCTACTAACAGGGCATTGTAAGCTGAATAGGCATCTAAAGCTATAAAATGACAACGATCTTTATTTCGTAGCCCTCGCTGACGCCTTTCTTCGGTTATACGGTAGTTTTGACGATTTAAAAGTCAAAAAAACTCATTTTTGGGTGTGGTCTTGTAATCATTTTTCATCAAAAGTTATATAGCCCCATAATTTTAAACTTTGAAAAAAAAAAGCAATGTAGTGATGAATTTACCTTAACTGCTTCTACTTTTTGTTTCATCATACTAGAAATATTCTCATGGATGGCCGCCAATAGTGTTTCTCCATCTTCTACTACTATTGTGGTATCTTTAAAGCTCTAAAAATACATAATATTATACCGGGCGATTCACAAAAATGGTTCACCCCTATAACTTTTTATTTTTTAGATAAAGAAACGAGATTTGATATGTTAGGATATGACCTAAATTAGGATTTCAATTGTTTTCGGTCATTTGTTTTACCGAGAACAACTACAATTAATTTTTAAATGTGACATTTTGAATAGAATGTCATATCATATATCAAGTTTTGACATTCTATTATTTTTATTTTGCGAATTAAAAAATAGCATTTTAAATTTCAATATGCTAATAAGCCATTCTCGTTCTATTTGAAAAAATTGAGTTATGATTAAAAATTGATTAAAAACTTTTAACCGGCCACAAAAAGACACGAAAAACATTAGACGATCAAATATATTTTTCCAAGGCTCTTTGATTAAAAAGTTTTTACACAGCCATGGCACTCCGGATTGAAATTTAAAATACTATTTTTTTAAGCGAGAATGTCAAAAGTTGACATGTGATATGTCATTATATTCATAGTGTCATTTTCTATCGAATAAAGAAAAAAATACCGACAATGCTATTTAAAAACCAAAAGTTGTTGTCATTTCCGGTGAAACAGGAAGTCAAGGAAGTGACCAACCGAAAACAATAATTAATTAATTTTGATTTGTGCCTAATCTCGTTTACTTATCTAAAAAAGTAAAAAAGTTATAGAGATATTTCTGAGAAACACCCGCTAGGTATAGTATTTTATACACTTGCGTGGCATAGAAATCGGCCCAAGGCTAACTTTTGAAGTTAACTATATATTTTTTAGAATCTATTTGTCAGATTAAGAAAAAATATATGCTGTTTGAAAGACAATTTCATATTCTTTGAAAAGAGTTTAGAGATATTAATTTGTATTTTGGTTTCTTTGGATTAAAATTATTAAATTAATGCATGAAACAAATTATCGTTTTTTATTACTAAGAGGTATGTTATTATTTATTTATTTATGTATGGACAATTAACTAAACTAAATTTTCAATAATGGGTATAAGCCCCTCTTGCTCTAACAACATCTCCCATACGATTTGGCATAGATTCGATCAAATTTGATATGTTTCTTGCTGGATGATATTAAGCCACTCTTCCTCTTCTGCAACAATGAGCTCTGGAATAGAAGTTGGGGCTCTTCGTCTAGAATGAATTCTTCGTTTTAGCTCATCCCATAAATGTTCTATCGGATTTAAGTCTGGAATGGCCAGCATGCAGGCCATTCCATAACCCGAAAACCGACTTCTGAAATGTAATCGTGTACGATCAGGGGCGGATACAGGAATTTATTTTAGGGGGGGCCCAAAATAAAAAATTATGTAGAATATGCTTTTTAGGTTACCATTTTTAATCCAAAAGCCCAATATTTGACTTAAACTATAGATTTTAGGGGGGCCCGGGCCCCATGGACCCCCCCTCTGTATCCGCCACTGTGTACGATTCTTGATGTGTGTGCCCTCGCATTGTCATGCATAAAAGTGAATTCGTTTCCAATGTAGTCGACGTAAGGTACCACATGAACTGCTAAAATCTCCTCAATATACCTAGCACCAGTTAAACTTCCTCTCCCGTGCCGACGCGACGGTCGCCCCAATGGATGAAAACTGGGTTGGTTCGCGCAGTCATAGAAATTGCACCCCAGATCATGCAGGAACCACCTCCATAAGCAATCCGCTCCTCAATGCAGCATTCTGCGAATAGCTCACCTGGCCTCCGGTACACTTTTCTTCTTCGGTCGCTACCATAGAGGCATATCCTGGTCTCATCTGAGAATAAAATAGATTCCCATTGTTCTAGTATCCAATTCAGATGTTCCCGTGCAAAACGCAGGCGTGCTTTACGATGAGCTGGGGCAAGTTTTGGACCAATTGCGGGTGTTTTGGGGATCATGTTACTTTTCTTTAGTCTTCGTCTTACTGTCCACTGACTAATAGTCACTCCTCGTGTTTCACGGTGCTGTTGTTGCACCTGAATAGCATTAAAACGCCGATTTCTCAACATTGTTGACATAATAAAGCGGTCATCACGATCCGTTGTATGTTTCTTTCTACCTGTTCCAGGTCGCCTACTAGAAAGGATCGAGTCTCGTCATATCGTTCACACACTCTTCGAACCGCTCCGCATGTCATATGTAGTTGCCGAGCTACAGCTCTCTGTTTAACTCCATTTTCGATTAAAGCGATGACTTGGGCGGCTTTTTCCGGTGATGTATACATTAATTGAAACACTAATCAAACAGTGAAACACAACTAATCAAATAATAAAAGAACAGTGTGAAAATTTCGATAACAAAGGTAGTAATTGCAATATTTGACAAGTTTGTTATTCTTATTGTCACCACAACACAAATACCTTTCATTTGTTTACCCGTTGCTACGCATATAAACGATAAGTACTCTGAATAAATTTATACTCATATTAAAGTATGTTAAATTGTCTTTGAAAAAGCTCATATTTTTTACTTGCTCTGATAAATAGATTTTAAAAGACACAGTTAAAACCAATAGTTCACAGTGGGCCGATTTCTATGCACGTAAGTTTATATTAAGGATACAACCATGTTCTATACTTACTTCTTTTACCCTATGTCGTCTAGTTACTAATTCACCAAAGTGCCATAATTCTCCACCTAATTTTTGAGCCCAATTTTTGACCCTACAAATATAAGGATATATAAAAAAATATATAATAAATAGCCTTAATTCAGAAATAAAAAAAATTAAATTAACTTTCTACTTATTAGCACTTAAAATAAAATCAAAATGTTTAACAAATAAGATACAGTATTGATCAGAATCAAAAGTTTAATGAATTTCCATGTAAGTGATGGTAAATCGACAGGCTGCTTATGAATAAGTCGTGGTATTGAAAAACATGATCAAGCGTGCTTTGGATGATGAACAATAAATAATAATTATTGTTATAAGAAGTCGAAGCCCCCCATTTTACAAAGGTTAAAAAAATGAACATTTTAATTTTCTTTCCTCCGCTAAAAATCGGCTTTCCGTTTAAGAATCATGATCATATTATTTTTTCATGTCTTAGACTTCTAAGGGTGGCTGCAACGACCTCCCGTAATCCTGCTGTTAAAACATAACAGCTGCTATTTATATACAGGGTGGTCCGAACTGTATTCCGGAAACTTCGGCAGCATATTCTGCCGATAAAAATAAGTAAAAAAGTTCGTATAAATGTATGTCCTAAAATGCTTGGTTTCGGAGATACAGGGTGTAGAAGTTTCATTTTTATTTCGATTTTTTCCAAATAATTTCTGAAGTAACGTCAATATTTGGATAAAAATTGGTGTCTGGGAGTTTTTTGACATGAGAAATTTGATTTTGATGACAATATGACTCCTACTAGTAGAGGGTGCCCACCTACATGTTTTTTGACTAGTTTAAAGAGTAATAACTTTTCGTCCGTACCTGTATAAAACTACTGAGTAAAAAAATATACATTTACGACGTTTTCTACGTGAAAAAGATCTCTTGGTAAAAATCGCTACGAGTAATGGTCTTAGAGATATTTGGAATCGAAATTATCAATACCTGTCATCATTGACATAAATTAAACATGTTGACCAAATAGTTATTCGACTGAAATCATATATTTGAAATGTTTTTGTGCCAAAAGTTCAACAGAAACTGTTTTATCATCATTTTTTGCAGAAAAATTTATGATTAATTTAAAAAAAGAAAAATTTTCCATATTTATTATTTCAGTGAAATAACTATCTACTCAAAGTGTTTATTTTTCGTAAATAATGACATGTATTGACTATTTCCATTCTAAATATTTTAAGAACGGTTGCTCGTAGCGATTTTTACAAAGAGATATTTTTTTACATAAAAAGTCACAGAGATGTATATTTTTTCACTCGGTACTTTTATACAGGTACGGAAAAAAGTTATTACGCTTCAAAACAGTTAAAACACATGTAGGTGGCGCCCTCTACTAGTATGAGTCATATTGACATCAAAATCAAATTTCTCATGTCAAAAAACTCCCAGACCCCAATTTTCATCCAAATATTGACGTTCCTTTAGATATTATTTAGAAAAAATCGAAATAAAAGTGAAACTTCTGCACCCTGTATCTCTGAAACTAAGCATCTTAGGACATACATTTATACGAACTTTTTTACTTATTTTTATCTGCAGAATATGCTGCTGAAGTTTCCGGAATACAGTTCGGACCACCCTGTATAAAAACCCATTGTTATTTTTTAACAGCAGGATTAAGGGACGTCGTTACAGCCACCCTAAGAGTTAGAAAAAAAATATCATTAATTAATTTTGAATTTTACCATAAAAATAAAAATAAAATTGAAAAAAACAGTTTTTTTTGAAAATCTCGAAATCGTTTGAGTTAAAGAGCTAAAAATTTAGGTGAATTATTTTGATATGACACCAAATCGATCCCCTGAGTGCGGGTGAAAAAAGCCCCGGGAGAATATTTCCTATAATAATCCGGCTGAACCCTTTATTAAATTTGGGTCAACTTTCGTTTAGCTGAAATCAGTTATTAGTAAAAAAAATGTCTTTAAAAAGCTACTGTGAACCACGGAAAACACAAATTTTATTGCGGAAATGCGTAGATAATTTCCAAAAATTTCGCACTTGAGAATAAATGAATTCTGCCATAAAAAAATACATTTTGCGTTTTATTTTTAATATTTTTTCTGAATATATAAACATAAAAATTTTCCTGCGGAAATAAGCTGTTTTCATTTTCTAAGGAAATTTATTAGACTTTAAATCAGTTATATAAAAATTAAATAATTTTTGCCTTTTAGGAGCATTCACGAATTGAGGAAAATAAAAATTTTCATGCGGAAATAAACTGTATCGATTTTCTGAAGAAATTTAATAGACTTTAGAATATGCACTGATTAGAAAAAATGCTCTGACTTTAGAATAGCCGAAATCTGTTACATTTATATCAATGTTTGTATTAAATTTTAGACATTTTTCCGATTAAAAAAACACAAAAAAAACTGTGCGGAAACTTTTTATTTTCATTTTATATAAAAAATGTTCTACCTTTAGAATAGCCGAAATCGGTTACATTTACGCTAGTTTTTTTCCACTATAAAAACACCAAAAGAAATGTGCGGAATAGCCGGGGAGGTTGGCACAGTTTTTTGACAGAAAGTATGCCTATGCTTATAGAACAGTTTAAAAGAAAAAATCCTTGGATGAAGCACTTTTGAACCAAAAAAAAAAATTAAAAGTGTCTAAAATGCTAACCAATCTAATAATAAATCTAATAATATTTTTACAAAATCACAGTTAATTATTAAAATATAAAAACCACAGCTTGACACCCTCCACAAAGAAAAGCTAACCAAAGCAACACAAATCCTAACCAATCTAATAATATTTTTACAAAATCACAGTTAATTATTAAAATATAAAAACCAAAGCTTGACACCCTCCACAAAGAAAAGCTAACCAAAGCAACACAAATCCTAACCAATCTAATAATATTTTTACAAAATCACAGTTAATTATTAAAATATAAAAACCAAAGCTTGACACCCTCCACAAAGAAAAGCTAACCAAAGCAACACAAATCCTAATAATCTAATAATATTTTTTGCAAAAATCACAGTTAATTATTAAAATATAAAAGCCCACAGCTTGACACCCTCCACAAAGAAAAGCTAACCAAAGATGTTTTACCAACCAATCTAATAATATTTTTACAAAATCACAGTTAATTATTAAAATATAAAAACCAAAGCTTGACACCCTCCAAAAGAAAAAGCTAACCAAAGCAACACAAATCTAACCAATCTAATAATATTTTTGGCAAAAATCACATGTTATAGAACAGTTAAAATATAAAACCACAGGATGACACCCTCCAACAAAGAAAATTTAAAGTGTCAAAAATGCAACACAAATCTAATAACCAAATCTAATAATATTTTTACAAAATCACAGTTAATTATTAAAATATAAAACCAAAGCTCAACCCTCCAAAAAGAAAAAGCTAACCAAAGCAACACAAATCCTAACCAATCTAATAATATTTTTTGCAAAAATCACAGTTAATTATAAAATATAAAAACCACAGCTTAACACCCTCCACAAAGAAAAGCTAACCAAAGCAACCCAAATGCTAACCAATCTAATATTTTTGCAAAATCACAGTTAATTATTAAAATATAAAAGAAAACTGCATGATCCAATGATTTTTTGTTTTGAATCAGCCCTATTTACGTAAAGCTTTAATAAAAAACAAGAATAAGTGCAACATTCCGAGGTACTTATAGTTTACAAGAACCTACATATATTCACAGAACACACGCTAACATATATTATCTATTCTATAAGAATTGTCCTCCGAAAGATGTTTTACCCCACCCCTATTCGCTCCCGGGTCCCGTAAATTTCTAAACTGAAAAATGTATGAAAAACAAAGTGCACAAAATGACATTGACACATATCCGCAGGAATTTTTTTGTATTTCGTTGCTCGTAAAGGCTCGTATAAAACAAATATAAGTTCATTTTTCATGTAACTGATCAAAGTCAAAGCATTTTTTCATGTAAAATAAAAATAAAAAATTTCCGCAGACACTTTTATGTGTTTTTATGTTTAGAAAAATATCTAAAACATACGCGAAGACTAGTTTTGATGTAACAGATTTCGGCTATACTAAAGTCTGAAAATTAAAAAGGACACGTTTCCGCAGGAAAATTTTTGTATATAACAGATTTCAGCTAAACGAAAGTTGAGCCTTAAATTTTTACATTAAATCCTTCATTCAGTTAAACTTACACTTTGGATAATTCCGGGTGTTGTTTGGTATCTCTGCTTTCGTCCTGTGCCAGTCCCAACGAACACACGCACAAAAACACCGTGATATAAGCATATTTTCTGTATCTCATGTTCCCCTCAAGCGTTCTTGTCAATTAACGATTTAAATAACAGCGTATAAAAGATTTTTAACAAGCTAACTTAGACCACTACAGTATAAAAAAACAGGAAAACATATTATATCTGTTATCGCGACGTTAAGGGCTTGACTTTTCTGATTTTCGGTCCCTTTGCGGCAAAAGCAGATCGATACCGACGTCGGACAGTGCCATGCGCTGGATTCAGTTCTATTTATCTTGTTTTTTTATTCTATTACAAAAAATAAATCATTATTTCTTTTTATTGTTGATTTTTTATTTTGTAGGAATGTCGATATGGTTAATATTGTAATTTCCAGGGCTTAAAGGTAGCCACGTACATACAGTTTTTCCTCAAGGCAAAACTGCGCTCTTATGTATAAAAATACTCAATCATATCGTAAGGAATTATTGGCCCCCATACACCAGCTTTCGAATTCGGCTTTCGGACCCGGCCTGCAGGCTTGGCCTGCCAATTAGATCTGTCGTCGTTTTTATAATTTCTGAAAGTTTTAATCAGTCACATTTAATAGATTCGACATGGATTCGACGTTCATCCTGTGTTTTTTAAGAATGAATAACAAGCGAAAGCGCGTTATATAGGGTGAGTCTTAAATAAGTGCAAATATTTTCAAGGTTGGTAGATCTCGATAAAAGAAACCTTTATTTCTCTTTACCGTCTTTCATATTAGTCTAAAAAAAACGAGTTATTTTACTTTGAAAATGTCCAAAAAAAACTGATTTTTTGCTTAAATTTTGAGAACCACTGGAACTTTTCTGTTTTTTTTTGTAAATTTAATCTACTACCTATGTTGCCATATTATCAAGAAGTTATGTTTTTTAACTAAAAACTAAAATAAATTTCAACATTTTTTCAAAAAATTCCAAATTTTCGCAATTTTTTTTTCGGGAAAAAAACTCATCATCGTTTTGTGGGGTCAAAATATACTACCCCTACAAATATTTGCACTTATTTAAGACTCACCCTGTATGGTATAAAAGAAACTAACTGCTATATTTTTTATTTTTATTATTTTTTTGTATTTTGTATATATACCGGGTGCGTCCCAAAAGTGGCTCACCCCCTATAACTTTTTTATTTTTTCAGATAAAACAACGATATTTGGTATGTTAGTATATGACATAAATTGGCATTGATTGACGTATTCAATTGTTTTCGGTTACTTCCGGTTTCAACGGAAATGACTACAACTTTTGATTTTTAAATGGCACCCTTGGTATTTTTCTACTTTATTCCATAGAAAATGACACTCTGAATCGAATGACATATCATATGTCAAATTTTGACATTTTGGCATATGGTTTATTTGAAATTGTAACATGCGGTTTATAAAGACAATTTGACTCAAAATCCCAAGTGTGTGGTATCAAATTATTCGTAAAAAAATGCTTTTTCCAAATATGCTAATGAGCCACCCTCGTTCCCTTTGAAAAAATTGAGATATGAATAAAAATACGATTTGGGCATCTTTTAACTAGGACAAGACACTAAAAACATTAGACGATCAAATCTATTTTTCCAAGGCTCCTTGATTAAAAATTAGTGTTTTTAACACAGCCATGGCACTCTAGATTGAAATTTAAAATAGAATTTGTTTTTGAGTGACTATGTCAAAAATTGACATATGATATGTCATTCGATTCAGAGTGTCATTTTCTATCGAATAAAGTAAAAAAATACCGAGGGTGCCATTTAAAAATTAAAAGTTGTAGTCATTTCCGGTGAAACCGGAAGTGACCGAAAACAATTGAATACGTCAATCAAACCCAATTTATGTCATATATATACCAACTCTCGTTGTTTTATTTGAAAAAATAAAAAAGTTATAGGGGTGAGTCACTTTTGAGACGCACCCGAAATATTATATTATTTTTGTATTTAATTATTTTTTTTTATTTTTATAGTAAAATTCAAAATTAATTAATGATTTTTTTTTTAATTCTTAGAAGTCTAAGACATGAAAAAATAATATGATCATGATTCTTAAACGAAAAGCCGATTTTTAATAAAAATAAAATTAAAAAACAGGTTTTTTGAAAATCTCGAAAACCCTTTGAGTTAGAGAGCTAAAAATTTAGGTGAATTATTTTGATTCGACACCAAATCGATCCGCTGAGTGCGAGTCAAAAAAGCCGCAAAGCAGATTTCCTATATTAATCCGGTTATACCCTTTAAAATAGATTAATGCTGTCGTAAATAGTTAAATATTTGGGCGAACTTTTATTTACCTGAAATCACTTATAAAAAACTACAAAACATCCAGTATACAGAAGCCCAAAAACCCCAAACACAAAATCATAAAAATTTCTCTGCGGAAATGCATCATTCTCTTTTTCCGACTTTAGAATAACTGAAATCAGTTCCATGAAAACCATGTTCCTGTTTTATATTCTAAATAATTTTCTTGTGTAGATATGTACTTAACCTAGTACATACTGTAACTCAGACGTCAATACCGTACCGAGAAAAACGAATATAAGCAATCGAAAATATAATATTACCATAGAAACCATAGACTTAAAATATTTTATTTTAAGTCTATGATAGAAACGCTTTTTGATTTATAGGACATATTTTCAGGTTTTTTTAATTTCCTTTAAAATGGTATGGAAATTTGGAAAAGTATAAACGAGATTAACCATTTTAGAACAAGCAAAAATATTTATAAAGAATGCATTTTTCTCAAAATATCAATAATAAAAAAGTTTTTCCTCTTGTAAAGACAATCAGGGGACATACTGTATATGTAAATTTAAATAGAAATATTCTTACCTGACATATCTGAACCAATTAAAAACTTTTTCGCAGCAAATAAAAATAAAATTTAATAATAAAAATCATCGAATACTCAAAAGAAATTGTATTTATTTTCATTAGAAATAATTTCAATAATCAACAACTCATTCGTTATTGTCTAACTTATTCTCGTCGCTGTCATTCTTTTTCTCTGGTTTCTTGACCGTTTCGACGTCATCGACTTCAGATGGGGCGCACACCATCCGGCAGGTTAGTTTCTGCCCTTCGGGGTTGTAAATGTTACCGAAAGGGTTGAAATGGGGTGGTGGTCGATTTTGGTAAGCCCCAGGAGCACCACCCCTGTGTAGAGAGGGTAGGTGAGAGAAGGGCTGTGGTGGTGGGCCTTCGTGGAATTGAGGGGGGTATTGAGGAAACTGAGCGGCAGCAATAGTCTGAAAATGTAATTAATAATTAAATCCCTGAAAATGTAATTAATCAAAAACATAAAGTGTAAAAAATACTAATCCCAGGTGTTTCTCAAAAGTTTCTCACCCCTATAACTTTTTTATTTTTTCAAAGAAAAAAATGAGATTTAGTACGTTAGTATAATATGACATAAATTAAGATTGAATGCTTTTGAATATTGTTCAACAGCATAATCATAATTGAATACAGCTTTTGATTTTTGAATGACACCCTCGGTATTTTTTTACTTAGGGTGTATTCCGTTGCTTACCTTGGTTATGATAGGAAAGTTTTCTTATTACGGAACACGGTTCCTGAAAAAATCGGTTATAAGTTATAACTGTAATCAAACTAACCAGCGCGAGAAGGCTGGTTTTTCTGGTTTTGTTTGTCAATCAATGTCATTTGTGTGACAGATCAAAGCAAATATTTGAAGTTCGAGTGACATTCTCATTTAATTTCTAAAATTTGTAATAAATAATATTTTGTATTTACATCCAAAAGCAATGGAGGTAGGCAGTAAAGCTACATAAAATTACTTTTTAGGACCATTTAAACTTATCATGCAGCCATTGTCTCTTAAAGTCATCAGGAACATTTAAAGAAAACATGAAAAACAAGACAACAAGTATTTGTGAATGTTTTGTAAGCTATAAAAATATAAATATTGAATATATTTGTTTATTTATTATTAATCTGTTTTAATATTGGACCTGCAAATCTTCACTTGAGCTGTCTAACGAGTTTAACAGTTTATTAATAAAGTACTTTTCAATATTAAACTCCATTGAAAAGAAGAAGCAAACGTAAAAGCAGAGAATAGGTACATTAAAAATGCATAAAAGATAAATTTTATAATAGAGGTATTGAAATTTAGAAAACGTCAACATTAAAATTTCACGTTTCCAGTATTTTACCAAACTGTTCCGTATCAAACCGTTGCGTTGTTGTTCAGAAACTGCTCTTTACCGGTCTGGTTCGCCTGGTTTTGCAACGGAATACAACCTAAAAGACGTTCTTTTCGCTCTAATGCAAAATTTTCAAAATGTCAGTTACGAAACTTTTTGTAAGGCAAGAAGATTATTTTCTTTTATCTATGGTGTAAGGAAGGCCACGACTAATACCAAGTTTTCTCAAAAGTGGCTCACCCCTACAACTTTTTTATTTTTTCAGATAAAAAAGCGAGATATACTACTTTAGTATATGACATAAATTAGGATTGAATGACGTGTTCAATTAATTGTTTACGGTCATTCACCGGATTTATTTTGGGTTTTTCTTCTTGTAAATTTAATCTACTACCTAATGTTGCCAGATTATCAAGATATTATGTTTTTTAACTAAAAATTAAAGATTATAGTTTTTCGAAAATGTTTAAAAAAATTTGCGAAAAACCCTCCATAGATTTCGTGATTTCTGGGGTTGAAATATACTAGCCCTAAAAATATTTCCACTTATTTACGACTCATCCTGTATGTATATATAAAAGTAAAATTGAAAACAATTTTAAATACCAAAAATAAATATTAACTTACTAATACTGCGCCTGCAACAAGTATTGAAAGACTAAAATGCATTTTGATTTACTGTGCTTGCTACTAGTAAACACCAATACTAACCAGAATACAACAAACTGTGTTTTTATAGGTTTATAGTTAAATCATTCAACCACCTCTCGCAATTAGCAACAAGCGTGAACTATTGTATTCCATTTTTTTAAATTTATTATTAAAAATTGAATATTTTAAGTCCTTTTAAATAGTATGGCATTGGGAAATTTTACTTCCTCTTGTGTAACGCCGAAATAGTTTAAAATAATTTTATTTTGTCGGGCATCAACAGTATTTATGTTAGGAAGTGTCATTATATGTAATTTGCCATCGGTAGTTGTGGCGGTAATTGCCTCAGATGAGAAAATCGATCATGATCATCATCAATATTCATGAATACTAAAAAATGACTTTTGTGACTAACTTTTTAAGATTCGAAAAATATTAGTTAATTTTGGGCGATATCCTCTCAACGAAAAATAAAATAGGTTTATCAAATCTACTCAAATATACGGTATGATCGAAAAAAAGATGTCAAAGACGGCTGAGAAATGACTATCGATGAGAATTGGGGCGAGGTCAATCTCTTAGGCAATCTCTAGAATTCTAAAATTAAGATAAAACTGATTAATACGAATACTTGTTAGATTAGTAATAAGTTACAATGTAATAATATAAAGAAATATAATACTGCCTGGATAAGGCAACGCCATTTTGTTTATATTATATGCATGCCAGAATTAAACCAACCACCCAAGCCTACAGATATTAATAAATATAATTATCTATATTAATCGTTGATTGAAAGAATTGGGAAGATACGCAACCTAATGGACAAATTCGTGACAAGGCTGATTTGATTTCCACTTATGTCTCATGTGCTGTACGGTGGAGCCCCTACTCGTTCTGCGGCCAAGGCATAAAACACTCATTTTCTTTAATTCGGCTGGCGAAGAGATATCGAAGATAGTATGGAACTGAAAGCGACAGTGTTGATATATGAAAATGGGTAATATCTGTAATACGTTTGACGAAAATATCTTTGGATGAAAAATCCGCGTTTATGTATTGAAAATTTATTCTTGTTAAACATAGAATAAACAACAAAAATAAAAATTGTTTTTATAGGTACTAAATATTCCGTATGATCGAAAAAAGTCGTTTAGTTGGCTTGGAAATGACGAACTATTGACATTTACCATCATATATTACGTATAAAATAACAACTCTGACGCCGTTCTTTGTTTAATCATAAAATCCGTATTGTTAACGTACTGTACCCAAAATCCGTAAATATAAGGATTAATCCGTAATTCTAGGAACACTGTCCCCGGTAACCACCCACTCTGTAGACTGAAAGCAGAGGGTTAGGTTAGGTTGCTGGGGTCTGGGATCATATTTTGATCCCTCACTCGGAGGCCTTGGGCCCATTGCGATACCCCTGTTATTGTTGTACCAAACCTTCCTCTCATTCTTTCTTTGCGTTAAAGCACTTCCAGCTCTTTGCAAAGTTCCCGATGTCGCTTATGTTGGCTTCTGCTGTTTCCTCTAGTCCCTCCAAAAAACCTTGCCCTAAAGTTTTAAAGCGTCGGTATTCCAGTGCCGGACAGTGGCACAGCAGGTGCTCTATGGTTTCTTCTTCCTCTCCGCATTCTCTGCAGTAGTCGTCGTCGGAAACTTTCCATCTCACGAGGTTTACCACCGTGGGACAGTTTCCAGTGACGACACCTACAATTATGCGTACTAGGTCCTTTTTGTGCTCTAGTAGTTGTTTTGTCTTTTTGCTATCTACCACTGGCCACTGGCCATAGTCTTAGAGCTGTAGCGCAGTTCTCACGGTGTTGCCACGTCTCTTGCTGCTCGGCTTTGATGGCACTTCCTATAGCCTCCTTCAGTGTGTTGATCGCATGTTGACCGTTACAAGTGGTGGGTCATCTGCCATGGCCTCTCCCCTGGCCCCGTCTTTGGCGAGCCTGTCTGCTTCCTGATTGCCCACCACATTGCTGTGGCCTGGCACCCAGCCCAGTGTAGCCCCGCCTCGACCGCGACGCAGCCAGGACAGTGCTTCTCGGCATCCCGTCACGTCTTCTCGACATTCCGTTTTCGATCTCACTGATTGCATGGTGATGCTTCTTAAAGCGGCCAAGCTGTCAGAGTATATCACTATATCCCCTATTGGTCTATCAGCAATTTCCTCTCGTATACAACTAGCCGCATCCTTTATGGCGTAAACCTCTGCTTGTAGAACAGCCATCCATGCTTGTAGAACAGCCATCCAATAGCTTGAAAGATCGTCGGATGTCTAGTTTCTCTGAGAAGATGCCTATACCTGTGCCTCCTGAAGTTGCGAAAGCATCTGTGTAGACTGCTATCTCTTGAGTGTTCATTACTCGGTTGCTTTCCCATTCTTCTCTTGTCGGGATATCTTTTCTCCAAAATCATGTTTGTTGAGCATATAGTCCGTTTTCTGGTGTAGCAGATGTGGACTCGTGTTCACCATGATTTTCCCTATCACTGGCAATATCGAGTGACCGTAGTTTCGTCTGGTTCCACAGATTGGATTCCCTTAATCTTAGGGCACTCTTAGCGGCCAGATCCAAAGACTGAAAGCAGAACTACGGTACAATATTCTTTATCCGCTGCGCTATAAACGACTACCAGCGCGCAGCAGCGCAGAGCTAAACTAAATCTCGGACAGGTTGACTATATAGCGGCGACAGTATCGCCAATTACATCTCGGACAGGTTTTGTGCCAGGAAATCGCCCATAAAGTTGCGCATCTTCTTATTTCTTCAATCAACGATATTATAATGATAAAAATATACCGTATGATCGAGAAAAAACGGCGTCAGCGATGGCTATGAAATGAAGATCGCTGTCATTTTATATGTAAATTTATATGGGAAATGTCATCGATTGTCATTTCCAATCCAACTGGACGCCGTTTTTTTTCGATCATATGGTATAATATATGAGTATTCGTTCACACTGATACGCTGTTTTAATAAGCCAAAAAATTGCTAATTAAACAATAATAATTTCAATTTATTTAGTTACTTAAAAATATATATTATTATACACAATTAGACATAAATTAGAGGGGTAATTATAAACACAAACAATATAATTTATTTATGACAGCACGAATTGTTTATAGAAGCACGTAGCCTGTAAATTATTGTAATAATCTTCATGTACTTGATTTTAAACAAGAAAATATAGTACTTCATTGTTATTGGGTATCCTATAAATAAAGAGTCTGAAAAATATAACCCATACGAAAAATAAATCAGTAAATATGGCTCAAAAAAGTACTGTAATATACTCGTATTTAGCTTTGGCGGCTTTGTTATTGGTAAATATTTGCTATATTTTTGTTCAGATAATTTTGCAATAATATACTACTAAAATACTAAATAAATTAGGTACTTCATATTATGTTTCATGGTTTGGCAGCGTATTAGAATTTTTCTTTACATACACTTTGTCTTTTAAAATACTTTAAACGACCTGCATATACCTTAAACGACCTGCAAATATTTAAAACTTATTAATACTTTTAAATTTTTTTAGCACTTTATACAGGGTGTTTAAAAAAACATGTGCATCTCTCGTGGGGAGATTCTTGACGTAAAAATAGGATTTATTTTTTATATCAACATCGTCCAGTTATACTTTGATTTATAGATACAGGGGGTCAAATTCTTCATTTTTTTTCGATTTATTAAAATTTTCTTCCATGTGCCTTTAGCGATTTGAATGACATTTTGAGGGTAAGTTACTATAAATGCGACATATTTTAAAGCTAAAAAAGTGTCGTCATATTCACCAGGGACGTGCATATTGGTTATCACTGGAATATTTTTTCTAAAAAAAATGTGCGTTCCTGACTTTTTTTTCTCTTGTTAACACTTTTTAATTATTATTAAAATTTCATTGTAATAGCTAAAAGTACTTAAAAGAAAATTACAATGAATCGAAATAAAATGAAGGTAATAGCCCCTTATAGCTACAAAACAAAAAAGAAGAATCGAACTTGCTGACATAAAAAAATAATCTTATTTATACGTGAGGAGTCTCCCTACAAGAGATGGCACATGCTTTTTGAAACACCCTGTATAACTCTCAAAAATTTGAATGAAATACTTTTCTTTCATTTTCAGGTAATCAACGGTACTGAAACTGCACCTCAAGCACCCAATATGCCATCGATGCCGAACATGCCTGGAGGTTTTGGAGGAATAGGTGGAGATGCAGGATTTGGATTTGGGTTTAATGCTGGTGCAAAAGCCGGTGCCGGAGCTGGTGGTGGGGCTGGAGCAGGTTCTGGGGCCAGCAGTGGTACCAAATAACCTTGTACGACGATACCCATGTTTGTGTATCCATCAATATTAAAGTCATTAAAAGTGTTTGTTTATTAAATCTTGTATTTTTAAAAAAAAACTTCAGCATGTGATATACAGGGTGTCCCAGGGTGAGCGTGCATTAGAAGTTTCTAAAGAACTGCAATATCTAGATCGGAAATTTTTTGCCCATCATTGTTTCACAACGAGATCTATCGGTTAAAATATTTTCAATATTGCGGCACTTCCGGAAATACCGGAAGTTGACAGCAACTTTCTTATTTTAAATGGGTGCCCCTATTTTTTATTACATACTTAAATTTTCTGTAAAATTTTATGAATCTTGATATTAAACACTCTATACCTAATAGTAACAATTTTTGAGAAAAAAAAATATTTAAAATTTTTGGAGGAAAAAAACCGCCTGTCAAAAATATGTGTATAGCCTAAACGTCAAATTTAGTGATTACCACAGCCACTGTGCCATAAAAAGAAGACATGCGTCTATCTATTTCAAGAATTAAATTGTTTGAATGTCATATAATAATGGCGGTAGCTGTCATGGAATTGAGCGATTAACGAAAAATTATCATAAATCATTTTTTTCAAATGGAAACACACTTTTTTATTTCACTAGTAAAAAGTTTCCCAATTCGTTACTTTTTGACTATACATGTTCCTATACCTAGAATAAATTGTTAGCAGCCGATTACTTTAAACGTCAAGTGATGTAAAACAATAGATCTGGTCATGTCATATTGTGACACTTTGTTTTATTTCACTAGTGAAAAGGTTTTCCAATTCGTTACTTTTTGACTATACATGTTCCTATATAAATTAGACTAGTAGTACTATTATAGCTTTATTTCTAACATTACATTACAGCATTATATCTTATTCATCTGCTGCTTCAGTAGTTGTTGAAGTAGGTTGTGGTGGTGGTCCTAAAAAATATTGGTTTGTATCAGTATTCACAATTACTGTTTAGTAAGTTATATTTTCGTGTTTCTTATATTTTTTTGCAATAAGAACTATGTTTGCTTTACTTATTAAATGTGAATGTTATTTTGTTTTGTATGCGTTGATAAAGTTCTTTTCTATTTTATTTTTGATATATGTAGCTGCTATATAATAAACAACTGAATACAAAACACGTTAGACTCTGCACAATAACGAGAACAAGCAGTCTTTAGAAGCGGCTTCAACACAATTGATCACATACATACAGTAAAAGAATCTATCAGCCGAACAAAAGAATACGAACTTTCACTAGCCATAGCCTTTATAGACTTCGAGAAGACTTTCGACTCGATCTATAAGGCAATAACAGAAGCCCTAGAGAAACAAGGCATTGACAGGCCTTATATAGAAATTCTCGCCAATATATACAAAGAAGCCAAAGTAAGACTAATCTACCAATCTATAAAATCCTTAAGTGACTGACATACTGATTAATCACGATTCTGCTCAAACCACTCAACATAAGAAGCTCAATTTTGGCATACAGGTTGATTCTAGGGTGTAGAGGTTCGATAAGAAGGGATTTTTCGAAATTCCAGTTCCAAGGGGGTGAAACCACCCCTCAAATTTTTTATTTAAAAAACGGTCAAGTTTCCGAAAAAACGCTTAAACACGTGTATTTTATTTTGTTTTTTTACATATTTTAAGATTTTTTAAAAATTTATACACAGTGTTTCATAAAATATGACCATTGAATAATCACGATTCTGCTTAAAGCGCTTGACGTAAAAAGCTGATTTTTGGAAAACGGATTGACTTTAGGGTGTAGAGGTTCGATAAGAAGGAATTTTTTGAAATTCGAATTTTAAGAGGGGTGGTTTCACCCTCTCCAAATTTTCGTTTCACCAAATCAAATATTAGAATATTTTTTATTTAAAAACCGGTGAGTTTTTCGGAAAAACTCTTAAACACGTATATTTTATTTTGTTGTTTTACATATTTTAAGATTTTTTAATAATTTATACATGGTTTTTAATAAAATATGACCATTGAGTAATCACGATTCTGCTTAAACTGCTTGACGTTTAAAGCTGATTTTTGGCAAACGGATTGACTGTGGAGTGTAGAGGTTCGATAAGGAGAGGTTTCTCGGTTGTTTTTTCTCATGCTGACATAAGTGTGATAAAATTTTATCCACTTTGTATGTTAATGGAAATTCTTGCTTTGCTTTATCATCACCATTACAAATGATTAATTCGACGCGAACGAAGTCGCGGGTACACGCTAGTGATATATAAAGCACTAGAGTTCCCAACTGTCAAAGGAGAACGACAGGGAGACGCGATATTCCCAAAGCTGTTTACAGCAACGTTAGAAGAAATCTTCCGTCAACTGGACTGGACCAACAAAGGATTAAAAATAGATGGAGAATATCTTAACCATCTAAGATTCGCTGATGACATATTCCTAAATGTCTATAGTCCTAAAGGACTACAAGCACAAATTAATGAACTAAATCCAGCCAGCAATAAAGTGGGTCTCAAAATGAATGTAGCAAAAACTGAAGTAATGTACAACGAACTAGCGGAAAGAAAAGACATTCTAATAAATATCACAACACTGGAAATAGTAGAAGAATATATATAGGGTGGTGACAATTTCGCGATGCTCAACATTTGCATCTCAGAAACTACAAAAAATACGAATTCGGTTAAATGGGATAAAAGTTGCGTAATTAGATGTTTGACAAACACCTATGAAGAAAACCCCGGTATCTTGATTAGTTTAGGATTTATGTCAAAAAAATGAAAATAATACGTTTATATTAAATGACAATATCTTCAGAATTATTATATCTATTGGAACGTAAGTTGGTAGTTTTATATTTTTGACATCGGCCAATTAAATGCCGTTTTCAGAAAATTTCTAAGCCTTTTAGATTTCGCACAACAGCAGTCAAGTTTTTGTTTTCTTATGACCTCATCATGAATTTTTATACTATTAGATAGTTTTAAAATTCGCTCAAAAGATCAAGTCTGCCTTGGAAATCCAATTGACTTTTTATATGACAGCAAGTTAATTTTTGTTAACTCTATTAAGTGTCAAATCTGGACACAAAAATGTATAGTAAATAGTGTAAAATGTATTAACAGTCAACAATATGTTCACAAGTGAGGAAACACGAGATATGTATGATGTTTCTTTAAAAATTATAGAAATTCCGATATGGCATGCGCAAGTTATAGAATATTGTATCCTGAAAGGACGCAGCCTCATCGTACTATTTTCACAAGGATTTCAAGAAATTTAGCAGTTGGTGGTAGCTTTAAGAAACAAGAGGGCAATATTTTAAAAGGCTTAATGATTTTAATGTGCCATTCAGATTGAAATAAATCGGGAAACTTCTAGCAGTAAAGTAAAATAACTCGCGAGTGTTGTATAAGTGATTCTTATGTAGGGAAATTATCAAGTAACATAAATACCACAACTTTAAATTTAAATGTATACCAAATTTACATTTTTTTACATGCTGGTGATTACAGAAGATTACAATAATTTTGCAAATGGTTCCGGGAAAGTGTTCAAGAGTCCCCTTTTTCTGGAAAAATATTATAGGGGATGAATCTTTATTTACAAATTCTGGTACATTTAACAGAAAAAATTCACATTATTATGCAAAAGAAAATCCTCATTTAATTAGAGAAACCAGACCACAGTAATATATTCTTTGAACGTCTGGGCTGGCATTCTTGACAATAAATGATGATTCACAGTACAACGGACCGCGCCCGAGCCGGGCACGTTCCGTGAAGTAGACACCGAGCCACGTCCGGGCCTTCTGTTTATGCTAGACTGAGTTGATAACGGGGCTCGTATTAATTCTGAGTATATTATAAAACACAGCCCCATAGACACACGAAGATTTAATACGAACAATGCCAAAGGTACCAATTACAGTTGATGAAGAAAGAACAACACCTGCTCAAAGGGCAAGATGAAGGACCTATCTTTTTCATTACATCCTTTCATTGTCCAGTTTTATGCATTCCCTGTCATTAAATACTGCTGTAAGATTCACTACCTACTACAGACATGATAAAAAGTATACTTTGTTTATACCATAACTGCAGATTGCAGTCGGGGCACCAGGAAAAGTATATTCATGCTTTCCGCAACGTGGCGGGAACGGAGCGGATCCGAGAAAAAAATGTACGCCGACATTTCTGGGACGGGGCACGGACGAGTTCCGGCGAAGCTCGGATCGTGCTCGGCCTGGCATGAATGTATATGTGTAAAGAACACTTGACAATGTTTGGCCGTGTCTTCACCGACGCACGGCTCAGACCCGTTACGGTATAGCGTGAAGCATCCTTAAAATTTTAGGTTCTGTATTGAACTCTACTATACCATTTTTGTGCATCCATATTTGACACTTAATAGAATAAATAAAAAATAACTTACTGTCAAACTTCTAATTATGCAACTTTTGTCCCGTTTAACCGAATTCGTATCTCTCGTAGTTTCTGAGATGCCAATGTTAAGCATCGAAATTGTCACCACCCTGTATATTTGGGACAACTAATACACAAATCGGGATCTCTTCTACCAGAAATCGGGATTCCGATCCCGAAAATTGGAAACCCTAACTGTACGACAATATTATACAAATAACAATATTCGTAGCCTCGTAGAGGGATATTTTAAAGAGAGAGCTATTTAAATAAAATATTATTATAAATCGTTAATAATTTTTTAATTACTTGGTGGTAGACGTCTTCCAAAACAATTCGCTTCAGTGTCTATTTTTCCAAAGTGATTTCCCATTAAATTCTTCGATTTAACGAACTTGAATGATCTTAAACTCTCGATATTCGACACCTAAAAAATATTTAAATTAATTAAAAAATTCTGAAATTTATATATTTTTTTCTTACCAGAATGAACACACATGCAGCAAAAATAGTAAATATGTAGAACTTCATAATGCTATATTAACACAATGCCTAAATGCGAACAGAACGCATTGTTTTATAAAAAAAATATCTTTTATAATATATTTGACAGTGCTAGAATAATTATTTAAATCATAGTGATTTATATTACGCTCGCATTCGGATGTAGCTTTAAAAATTATTAAGATCTTTATCAAAAATGTCATATAATTATGTAAAAAATATTATTTAGGAACAGACATACTGATTTAGGTTCCTACATATAATTTGCCCATAGAAAAAAAAACTATTACAATGACAGTTGTCTATTAATTTAATTCGTTCGCAAATAGGAAGGAGCATATCAAAAATCTTAGGTACACCGCGATGGGCTTCAAATATGGCCGACTTAAATTCCGGTTTATCAGTGTCGTTCTAATTTTATTTAAAAAATGTAAAACTATGATGTAGGTGTAACTAGGATGTAGACGTGGGGTAGACTCAATAATTTGTGGTTTTATTTTATGTTGTGAATAAATGTTGGTAGTTATTAAAATTGTTATAAAAATATATAATTCTAATAAAAATAGATAAGTTATAATAAGTATTTATTAACACAAACATCCGATACGCTACTGAAGCAGGTAAGTTAAATCAACGTATCTAAATTCTTTGACATCTAATCTTTGACAAGAAATAAATAAAAGCTAAAATGCAAGAAAAATATATAATTTAGTTAATTTAAGTGAATTTCATAAATGATCGGTTTACTACACGTATGTATATTATATAGTCACTTACTAGCGAAAAGTTGTTCCATGATTTCACTCAATTTTTGCCGAGATCTACCGCACGCTACACAACCAACTATTTTAGAGTCTTTTTCGATAAATCGCGATAGTGTCACTGTTAATTTAAGTTCTGCCACAATACTACCTTTATACAACTATCAGTAGTAGAATAAATAATAAATAACATAAAATAAGCTCCGTAAAGACTGACAAATCCACAAAATTTCAAATCAAATTCAAATGTGTCAAATGAATCGTCAAACAGAACTGTCAAGGATCCCTACCCTAGAGAGCTTTTATGGTGGCTTTTCCGCCCATCATGCATGAATACATGGATAGCATTATGCTCCTTCCTTAGTCTTCTTATTCAAAGGCAAGTAGTTATATCTTTTGTTTTTGCTGTCATTTCTGGGATGTCGTCTCATGAAATCATATATTATTCTCCTATTGCACAAAAAATGTCTTATAATCGAAAAAAAAAAACGGCGTCTAATTGAGTTGGAAATGACGATCAGTAATATTCCCTATATACAGGGTGAGTCTTAATTAAGTGCAAATATTTTTAGGGCTGGTAGATGTCGATAAAATAAATATATTTTCTCTTTACAGTTTTTCAAATAAGTCCAAAATAACCGAGTTATTTTACTTTGAAAATTTAAAACATATTTTTTGCTTAAATTTTGAAAACCACTGTACATTTTCTTGGTTTTCTTTCTTGTAAATTTGATCTACTACTTGTGTTGCTACATCAAGATATTATGGTTTTTAACTGAAAATTTAAAAACATTCGAATTTTTTTTTTCAAAAAATTTCATATTTTCAATATTTATTATCTATACTAATATAACTATAATAATATATAAAATCCTTAAGTGACTGACATACTGATTAATCACGATCCTGCTCAAACCACTCAACGTAAGAAGCTCAATTTTGGCATGAAGGTTGATTCTAGGGTGTAGAGGTTCTGATTTTTCGAAATTCCAGCTCCAAGAGGGTGAAACCACCCCTCAAATATTACAATATGTTTTATTTAAAAAACGGTCAAGTTTCCGAAAAAACGCTTAAACACGTATATTTTATTTTGTTTTTTTACATATTTTAAGATTTTTTAAAAATGTGTACAGGGTGTTTCGAAAAATCTGGTCATTGATTAATCACGATCCTGCTTAAAGCGCTTGACGTAAAACGCTGATTTTTGGAAAACAGATTGATTTTAGGGTGTAGAGATTCGATAAGAAGGGATTTTTCGAAACTCGAATTCTAAGGGGTAAAACTATCCCTCTAATATTAAAATATTTTTTATTTAAAAACCGGTGAGTTTTTCGGAAAAACTCTTAAACACGTATATTTTATTTTGTTGTTTTACATATTTTAAGATTTTTAATAAATTTATACAGGGTGTTTCATAAAATATGACCATTGAGCATCAAGATTCTGCTTAAATTGCTTCACGTTTAAAGCTGATTTTTGGCAAACGGATTGACTGTGGGGTGTAGAGGTTCGATAAGAAAGGGTTTCCTGAATCTCAAATTCCAAGAGGGTGGAAACGCCCCTCAAATATTGAGGTTTTGGGGTCGCACCACTCTGGCACTTTGTGCCATTGTATCGGTTTTTTAATCGCGGTGCGATCCCTTCAGACACACATTTATTAATATTAATATTATTCTGTAAAACTTAATGGGGTCTAATAAAGAAATTTGAATTTGAATTTGAAATATTACAATATTTGTTATTTAAAAAACGGTTAGTCTTTCGGGAAAACGCTTGGACAAGCATAATTTATTTTTTTTTTTACATATTTTGAAATTTTTTAAAAAATCATACAGGGTGTTCCAAAAAGTTGGGTAATTTCTTAACCACGATTCTGCTTAAACTGCTTGACGTAAAAAGTTTATTTTTAGCAAACGGATTTTTCGAAAGTCAAATTCCAACGAGATGAAACTACCCCTCCAATATTACCAAGTTATATAATATTATCGCCATATTGTTTTTTCTCATGCTGACATAAATATGAGAAAATTTTATCCAGTTTGTATGTTAATGGAAATTTTTGCTTTGCTTTATCATCACCATTACAAATAATTAATTCGACGCGAACGAAGTCGCTGGTACACGCTAGTTAGAAATATGAAGAATGCAAAAAAAAGTATTGTATGATCGAAAAAAAAACGGCGTCAAAGACGGCTGGGGAATGACAGTCGATAATAATTTTGGCGAGGTCTAAAATAACAAAGGTTAACGTCATTTACGAAAAATTGTGAAAAATTAAACATTGATTATAGAAAGATTAAAAAAGAAAAGAACTTTTTTTTAGACAAAAATCTATTTGCAAAAAAAAATTCTCGAATACAGCATTTTAAAATAAATTCTGCAAAATTTTGTAAACAAATTTATTTTTTCAATAAATTCTACAAAAAAATCTACATTTCTACCAAAAGATCACCATATATGATGTTTCACATTGTTTCCATGTATCGACCAAAAGGAGGCATTTGCATTGGCATTCCTAAAAAATAGATATATAAATAACTGTAACACAGTAGTGTGTCATATTAGTGGTTTATTTTCTTATTTACCACCTTCTTGCATATGTTCTTGTCTTCGAACAGACATTTGGGCGAACTCGGATTCACCAATACCGAATTCAGGATTTAGTATCCCCAACTGTGCGACTGGATGAGCTTCTGCTGCCATCTAAGAATACAGTTTAAATAATAGACTCTAAACTAGTCTCAAAATTTCGTTTTGCAATTGCTGTTGTGGATAATACAATTAAAATAAAAAAAATCACTTGCACAAACTGGTGCGGGGCACAAAGACAGGGAACTTCAAAGGTTTAAAGAATTTAAATTATTAATCAAATTTATGGCCTTATTAATCAAATTTATATTTATTTTTAATCAAATTTATGGAACAACAAAAAATTTACAACGTAAAATTAAAAATAAATTTACAACAAGCTGAAAATACGTGTAATTGTTTAAAACATAATTAGAAATAACATTTTAAAATTCATTCCGCTGCCTGGAAAAAAATTATGCGAGGTCAAAGGTCAAAAATCTCTAAAAAAATTGTTTTACGGTAAGTTTTATCATACCTCAGACAAAAATTATAGATCATAAAATTCATATCATAAATCATTCAGATCATAAAATATTCTCTGGCATGTACAAGTATTGTCAATGCCGGTCATGTTCTAATGTTGAATCACCAACAGTACAGTACAGTACGTCTGTCCGTTCTGTAGCTACGGGGTATCCGTGAGAGGGGAAACGATATTCTCTCGATGTGTTTCGTAAAAAAATAGACGACGCGTCCCATCAATAAAAATTCAACAAATTTGCAAGTAGCCAATAAAATGAGAGGGAGGAGCGATTTGCGGTGACGCACTCGTCAAATCGACGTATAAAATATATTGCTGTTTATTTAAATGTTTTTTGTCCGCATTCCTTTCATAGACACAGATCCAGCAGATGTACTGTACGTCTGCTGGATCTGTGGAATGCGGATAAAAAACATTTAAATAAACAGCAATATATTTTATACGTCGACTTGACGAGTACGTCACTTCAAATCGCACCGCCCACTCATTTTATTGGCTACTTGCAAATTTGTCGAATTTTTATTGATGGGACGCGTCGTCTAATTTTTTATGAAAAACATCGAGAGAATATCGTTTCCCCTCTCACGGATACCTCGTAGTTACAGAACGGACAGACGTACTGTAGAGAATTCGTTTGATACCAATGAAGAACATGCGATACATCACTATCGACGCAATTTACTTACATCCAGAATGAAGAAAACGAACAAGACGAAGATCAAGAAGAACAACAAGAAGATGTATTTGAAAGTTATGAATCAGACTAGTAAATTTCTATTTTTTATTTCCATCGCTTTTATAATTTCCAATCCTTACTAATATCTTTTATTCTGCAATAGTTTTCAATTAAACAGAATCGCAATAGACATGTGGAATAGGCCTACTGGAGAAACCACGTTAAAAAAACGTGCTAAGTACTACAACAGATTAGGTATACTATATGTATACAGATAAAAATCTTATCCCTAATTCGTGGTACGAAAATTGTTTTTTATGACGATGTGCAAACGAGTAAAATTTCCTGTGCGCAAAAATAAACTCGCGTAAAATAACAATAAACAGCATAATAGAGAGATATCGCTAAACCGAATAGCGTGCATGGACGTTAGGTTAGGTTAGTTTGGGCCAGGTGTTATTTCCTTTACGTCAGGTGGTATTAACTCTCTTCATTTATAGTTATCGGATCGGAAAGAATTCTGCTCGCGGCGCGTCCGCTATTGAAACTTAGCCTAACTTTGAATTTAAACCTTTGAAATTGTTTTGTTTTTCTAGGTATTTTAAAACTAAAGGGCTAAAGTGCTTATTTCCAATGCTTTACTGTTCAGCGTCTGCCAGTGGGTTTAGGGCAACAAGCATATTTATTTAATTAAAACTAATCCCAGCTACTTAAATATCAAATTACCTAATAAAACTAATGTAATAATTCAAAACAATTCAAACATAACCTAAAATAAAAGATATCGCCGGCCGGCCCCGGTTGTCAAATACCCGCACATGTCCATTTAAGCAATTTCTAAACATTATTTAGAAATAGCGCTTGGTGTTATTGATCCGCAAATTACGTCAGGCGGTAACGTTATTAGCGGGTGTTGCGTTAAAAATTGACTCGCGCATATCGTAACTTGATCGTAACCATGATAAGGTACGTGTAAATACTGCATGACGCTATTCGGTTTTCCGATATCTCTCTAATAACTGTGCCGGTCAGGCGCTGTGCACAATTTTAAAGGCCATAAGTGGGCGTGCTATGTGCGCAAACTAGTAACCTAACTAGTGCCCGATTCCGAAAATTGGAACCACGAAAAACAATAAAGAAAAAACAAAGTTTATAATCTGTATGATCTGTGGTACTACGAGTATTGTAAGTAAAGTACACTACCTCATAGGTGGCGTGGAAACGTGTGCATATTACGACGATTACAACTCTTTAACTCGTTATATCTCAGAAACAGTGGCTCTATGAAAAGAAAAGTACTGATACATTTTTTATAGAGAATTTTATGATCGATAATTTTTGGCTGAAGTAATTTTATGATAAAACTTACCGTTTTGCTGAAAGTCGCGAAAAAACATTTTTTTTTCGAGATTTTTGACCTTTGCCCTTGCATAAATTGTTTTCCAGGCACTGGAATGATTCGGAATTTCAAAATATTATTTTGTTGTAAATTTGTTGTAAATTTATGTACTTTCGAATGTCTAAATTGACCGGACTATTTAAATAGATTGGAGCATCATTTCAAGAAGATACTAGTACAAAAAGTGGTAGAAAATAGATATATAAATTTTATAAGAATACAAAAAACATTTTAAAAGTATAAAAATATATACTTACTAAAAATGACAGAAGAAAAATGTAAGACACAAGTGTAGCAGAATATAGCTTATTGGACATTTTTAGTTGTATTGAAAAAAAAACATTTATTAAGATGTATTTATGTGCCGAATAAATAATAAAATTATAGATGAGATACATAACAAAGTTATTATTTTCTTATTTATAACAAATTTTCAAAAACGTTGATATCCGGTTGTAAATATAACTTTTAGATATTTTACTCTATAATTTTGAATTGATATATATTTTAGATAATAGGATATAATTACATAACACTATCAAACAATAATAAGCCTATTATAACATGCTACAATTAAATTTGAATAGGAAAAATAAGTTCGTTATGTGCAAAAAATGTTTAAATGGTTGATGTTGAGTTTATAACTAAAAATACATTTTAATATAGAAATAAAAATCTATAACTAAAATATAAGTTTACAATTAAATCTCAAAATTTTAATGCGCTTAAAATTTAACTATATGCTAATTTAAAGTCCAAAATAACAGGTTTTTTTTTAAATGGACGAATTTTGTTACAATTCGATCGACACGAATGCATTTATGCTCATTCTAATGGCATAGTGCAATGTGCAATACTAATTTTCGTTTCATTATATCTAATTTTCTCAATGATATATGCCTATACAGAAAAAATAGCATATTTAGAGTGTATTTAAATCGGATAAATATGCAATCAATATGAAAATTACTGAGTGATTAGCGGTAATAACAGACATTTTTAAGAAACAAATTTGAACAGAGGAAATTTGTCTAGCGAAAAACGTATCGGAAACATTTTTTAATAATTTTGTGTTGCCGATTGTTGTGTATAGTGATTTATTACATTAGTTTTGACGAGTAAAGTAAGTGTTTTCATTAATATTTACAAAATTTTATAAATAAATTATGTAAAGATATTATACAGGGCGAGTCTTCAATAAGTGCAAATATTTTCAGGACTGTTAGATCTCGATAAAACAAACGTAGATATTATTTTCTCTTTGCCGTTTTTCAAATTTAAAGTCAATTTACAAAGTCACAATCGCGATAATATCGCGATAATATGAACACAAACAATTTTAGGTTGTTCATACTAAAGGTATGTTCATATTATTGAAGGTAGTAAAAATACATAGTAAAATACGGATTAATATTTTAAAAATCGTTTAATCGTACATCAAAATCAAGTGCTTAATATCTATGTACATTACATGAAACTAATTATTAGTTCTAAAATATGAAGTTATTTTTGACTGAGTTTGTTTGGCCGAAACGTTAGCTAAAACTGCTTTTTCAAGAATGTTTTTTAGAGTTGTAATATCCGATAAATTTATTGCGTTTTGTTTAGCCCATTCTAATGATACTGTAAGGGCCTGGACTGCTTCGCTATGTTTAATTGTAATTATTGGCTGTTCCTCGATTTCAATGTCACTCTCATTTGAATCCATATTTTCAGCTTCTTCCAGGCTCGCTTCTTCTATCACTGAATCCTTGTTCCATTCTTCAATGTCTACAGCCCGTGTATTCCGCCTGTTAAAACGTTTAAAAATTACTACATAATATGTATTAATTTATACTATAGTTAATGACCTAGCGCTTACTTTAGATAAAACCGGTTTTTAAACAAAAATGTACAAATGCAAAACTTACAGGCCCTATAGCGCCTAAAAGTGCTATTGTGTCTCTTATTGGGTCGGCAGCTCGTTCTTCAATTAGCTGTTGTCTTATGCGTGATAGAGGTAAGTCGTCCTCATCTAATGCATCCGTAAAGTCAAGAATGTTTCGCCAACATTTTGAGATCATGTCTGGGTTTAGTTTTTCTCATGCGGCCATTAAATGGATCACTGCATCCCTTAACGTAGTTTTCTTAAGGGCTTCACCTACAGTGTCACTTCCAGTAATAATGGAACTAAGAAGACTGTTCCTATAGAAAAGCTTGGTAAGCCTAAGCACATTCTGATTCATTGGCTGAATAAGTGGTGTAACGTTCAGAGGCATGAACATTACAAAGATCATACCATCACTAGATTTTAAATCTGCTGCAGGTGGATGAGACGGAGCGTTATCCAAAAGAAGTACCGCCTTTTCTGGTAGATTTTGAGATCTCAGAAAACTTTTAACCGAAAAAACCGTTAGTACAATAAAGTTAGAAATTAGAGGAGAATAATTTTTATTCTTACCTCTGAAACAAATTGCTGAGAAAAAACAGTTTTTAAAAAGTTCACCAGTCATCCAGGCGTTTTTAATGTGTCGGTACACCAAGGGACTATGAAAGTTTTTGAAACATCTCGGATTTTTTGCAGTTCCGATAAGTAATGGTTTTATTTTATGCGACCCTGAGGCATTGGCGCATCCCAAAAATGTAACTCTTCGTTTGGCCATTTTGAGTCCAGGTGCAGTTTTTTCGGTTAGTGATACATATGTTTTATCAGGTACAATTGCCAATACAACCCAGTTTCATCAGCATTGTACAGCTGGTGCTCATTTAATTCATATTTTTCAATCACCATATTTAGTTTTTCTTTAAATGGATTAATAAGTTCTGGCTGACTTGACAGTTTTTCTCCTGTTATTTTAAAAATCTTACCCCATACCTTTCTTTAAACCGTTGCAACCAACCATCATTTCCTTTAAAGCTTCTAACTTTTAAACTGGACTCAAAGCTTTTTGCCTCATCATCTCTCCAGAAACTGGCATATTTCTCTCGCGTTGTGCAAGGAACCATTTATAAAGCAGTTTTTCCATTTCCGGAAGTTCTCCTTTTTTTAATGTGCATTTTTTTGTTAATTTAGACGCACTACTTGCAACTCTTTCGACAATTCTTCTTTTTTTGTTTAATTAAACACACTGTTGATTTGGCAATACCGTACTTTTTTGCCAAAAGCGTCACGCCTAACCCTTTATCAACATCTTCTAAAAGTTTCGCTTTCTCATGAAGAGAGACATTTTGATTTGCCTTTCACTTTAACCATTTTAAATTATTACAGTTAAAGAGTTATTAAACACTTTATAGACTCTGTTTAGGAAACTAGCTGCGTTCACCTCTGTTACATAAAAAACAATGAATTTGAACCTCTCTAACAGACACAAAATAGGAAAAAAACAAGATCTAACAAGTTGTTAATATTACCGAGATTTCAGGCTGTTCATACTATAGAGTAGACAATGAAAAAATTATTGTGTTCATATTACGGAGTGGTTCATATGACTGCGAGTTCATACTATCGCGATTGCACTGTATTTTGAAAACCACTAGATTTTTCTAGGTTTTCTTTCTTGTAAATTTAATCTACTACCTATATCCTATGTTGCCATATTATGAGGATTTATTTTTTTGACTAAAATTTAAAAAAAAAATGTTTTTTGGTTAAATTTTGAGAACCACAGGATCTTTTCTGGGTTTTCTTTCTTGTAAATTTAATCTACTACCTATGTTGCCATGTTATCAAAAAATATGTATTTTATACAGGGTGTCCCACTTAAGATGGACACGAGCCAATATCTTGGTTGTTTGTTGAGCGATCTTTTTCATTTTTGGCAGGAGGCGGTATGGCTATAAGACGTATATTTTGCCCAGGGTAAGAAATGCGATACCTCATAGACGTACGTTTTAATGGGGTTTGATATTTTTCGGGTCAAGAGTAAACTACCCTGAGGACAGTATTTATTTCAAGTCTGATAAATTATATTGAATCCTCCTTACCCAATATACTTAAATTCTAATTTTGATAAATATTGATACAGGGTGTGTTTTTCAAAGGAACGCCTATCAGGAAGATTCCTATTTGGATATTTTTGAGCATAAGCTCTTGAGGCTAAGAAATAATTTTCCTTACAAAACAAAATCACTAGTAACCTATCAATTCGTTCCACCAGCAGATATGGCTTAATACTTATTAAACTATTGTGGGTAAATTTTAGTTAACTGTTTAAATAATAATGTCCATACACTAATGTCGATTTTGAAAATAGTTACTGTCACTAGAAAATTGCCATGGCGATGCCATCTTGATTGTCATTTTATTTAAAAATCGCTTTTTATTCTAAATCTGAGATAGATAGGTATAGGAAACCCTAATATAGTTTGAAAGATCATTTGAATCTGCTTTGACTTATTTAAAAAAATACAGGGTGTTGCTTTGAAATAACAAAGTTTTGATGTAAAATAAATCCGTAAAATATATCACTACTTTTTGGTACCCCTGTATAAATTTAAGAAAACAATAACATTCTTCAGTAAAGTTTATTTCTTTACCTTTAAACTCAGCGCAACATTAATTCTGAAAAGTAATGTACAGGGTGGCCAAACAGGTCAAAAACCAATGATTTTAAACATATTTAGCCCTTATAATAAATGCCATTTTTTGGGCCCAAAAATGAAATAAAATACCGGGTGTTCCATAAGAAGAAATATAACTTTGGTATGAATCTTAGTTCTGAGACACCCTGTATATTTCAGAATAATTTTAAATTGTGCCCCACATTGCCTCCCCACATATACCCATAAAATATTTTGTTTCTACATCTTTCCGTTTTCGTATAATCAACCGAGGCAAATGAGGTGAGCCACCCTGTATAGTTCGCAAAGAAATATTTGACAGCGCAAAGCATATATTTCAATCATTTTATTATGGACTATAAGTCAACTTATTTATTAATATTAATGTATGTTTTTATATTTCTTCCGGTTTTAAATATGATTTTTAGGTTTTTTGTTTTAGATTAATACTATGGGGATACCGACAGCCGATGTAACAGCTATCTACAGTAAAGACAGTAAACTGAAAAAATCAGATGTAGGCGCTCTGAAGGATTGGGCAAATAAACAGCCACATTTGCCAGAGATTTCTGGTAATGGAATTTATATTATTTCGTATTAAAATATATTCAATGTACTTTACGAGGGTTATTCGTAATGTTCCCTTTCATTTTCAAAACGTATATGTTCTGTAGTAATAGTTTAAGTATATGTCAATGTTATTTTTTTTTTAATTAAAAAAATAAATAAATATACAATCTATCCAGTAAAAGAATACATCACAGTGCCAATTGTTATCTTTCATAACTCTCATTACGACATAAAAGTACATAAATGTCTAGGTATACCTTTGTAGCAGGTTTACTGCTTAAAAAAGCTGGTTTCCTTTTCCATTTTAGATTCTACGAAGTCGCTAGAAATCTAAAAATTAAAATATATTTTACAGAAAATAACATTTTTATTTTGTAGATTTCTTATTTTTTAGTGGCGGTATACCCAGGATTTTACAAGAAATGAATCCACAATAAAGGTATACCGGGAATGTTCCAGAAGTGGCTCACCCCTACAACTTTTTTATTTTTTCAAATAAAAAAACCAGATATTTGGTATGTTAGTATATGACATTAATTAGGATAAATTGGCGTATTCAATTCTTTTCGGCCACTTCCTGTTTCACCGGAAATGACTACAACTTTTGATTTTTAAATGGCACCTTCGGTATTTTTTACTTTATTCGATAGAAAATGACACTCTAAATATAATGACGTATCATATGTCACCTTTTGACATTTTCGCTTAAAACAAAATTGTATTTTAAATTTCAATCTAGACTGCCATGGTTGTGTTAAAAACACTAATTTTTAATTAAGGAGCCTTGGAAAAATAGATTTAATCGTCTAATGTTTTTAGTGTCTTGTCCTGGCCGGTTAAAAGATGCCCAAATCGTATTTTTAATCATATCTCAATTTTTTCAAATGGAACGAGTGTGGCTCCTTTGAATATTTGGAAAAAGCATTTTTTTACGAATAATTTGATACCATACATTTGGTATTCAAATAAACCATATTCGAAAATGTCAAAAGTTGACATATGATATGTTATTCTATTCAGAGTGTCATGTTCTATCGAATAAAGTAACAAAATATCGATGGTGCCATTTAAAAAACAAAAATTGTAGTCATTTCCGGTGAAACACGAAGTGACCGAAAACAATTGAATACCTCATTCAATCCTAATTTATGTCTTTATGTCGATTTTTTATCTAAAAAAAATAAAAAAGGTATAGGGATGAGCCACTTTTGAAATGCACCCGGCAGGGGCGGATAAAGGAATTTATTTTAGGGGGGGGGCCAAAATAAAAAGTAATGTAGAATATGCTTTTTAGGGCGCCATTTTTAACCCAATAGTCTAGTATTTAACACAATTTACAGATTTTAGGGAGGGGCCGGCTCCATAGGCCCCCTTCTGTATCCGCCACTGGCGCCCGGTATAGACATTATTACATCTAAAGGTCCATCTACAAATAACGTTTAACTTTACGTTTTGCATGACACAAAAAACGGCCCGTAAAGACCTTTTAGAGAACTGGCGGCAGTTACTTTGAGAAAGCCATCTCTCTGGAAGTTTCAGTATAAGGGTTAAGTACCTTTATCTGATTTATTTGGTACTGGTACTGGTTTGGTTTTGATACTTGCTGAAAACTATTTATGACTACAACCATAGCCTATTTATAACCAGTTTGCCAGTTTCGATCATTTGCATGTAAATCTGCGGACCTACCTAGATGTTCGCCTATTTTTTTATGTTATGTAACAAGTGGTGTTCTAAGCTCTGTTGAAGCTTCATTTAAAAAATGATAGTGATTGCTGGGATGTATACGAAAATATACACGCAAAGATGACCAGCTGGTAGCGAATAAGCTGTGATGACAACTATGGAAAATATAAATAGTTAATAATAATATATTTTATTATGTATTTTATACAGCGAAATCTACTTGTATTAAACTTATATTCTTTGATTTTTCCAGAACTGCAAACAATATTATTTTTACAAAGTTGTTATTATAGCAACGAACTGGCAAAAATTACCATCGACAATTTCTTCACTGTAAGAACCATCTGCCAGGACATTTTTTTCAAAAGGAACCCTTCAGATCCAACCGTACAGGCTTCTCTTCAATGTTGGTAAGAGAAAAAAGAACATCATTTTTTAGCGAAATTAACTGTATTTTAGTTTTTAATCTTTGTTTCAGTTTAATTCAGGTACTACCCAAGCTTACCCCACCTCCAGAAAACTATACCATCATTTTGGCAAAATTATTGGACTGCAATCCTGACAAGTTCAACTTTCCCAACCAAATTCGTCATTTTGACATGATAGAAATGTTGCATTTGCACCAGAACGGTCCACAAAATGGTCTAATGCTGGTGTTCGACATGAAAGGAATGGTTTTCGGTCATTTAACCAGACTCAGTATTGTCGTGATGAAAAAGTTATTCTTCTACTTACAGGTTACAGGGTATTCTATTTAGTTTTAATTATACCTGTTTTTAATAGTTGCATAGATATATCAAGAAGACCGATCACTACTTAACTATACCGGATGCGTCTCAAAAGTGGTTCACCCCTATAACTTTTTTTTATTTTTTCAGATAAAAAAACGAGATTTGGTATGTTAATATATGACATAAATTAGGATTGATTGGCCTATTCAATTGTTTGTGGCCACTTCCAATTGCACCCTCGGTATTTTTTTACTTTATTCGATAGAAAATGACATTCTGAATAGAATGACATATCATATGTCAACTTTTGACATTCTCGCTTAATAAAAAACCGTATTTTCTAGAGTACCATGGCTATGTTAAAAATATTAATTCTTAATCAAGGAGCCATGGAAAAATAGATTTGATCGTCTAATGTTTTTAGTGGCTTGTCCTGGCCAGTTAGAAAATTCTCAAATCGTAGAGGAAAGGGTGGTAATATGGAACCCTTGTTTGTTTATATTCGATAACTCAAAAATTTATCATCAATTATTTTTCAAATATATCGCTCATGTATGCCTAATATATTTAGAATTATTATTTGTTTTTGGAATTTAAATAATGCTTAAAGTTTTTTCATAATTAACTAATAATATAAAATATAGTAAAATTATCTAACTGTAAAAAGTAGCTGATAATATGGAACCCCCTATAATAAACCAGATATATTTAAAATTGTAGCGATATTTATTCACTATATTCAAAAAATGCAAAATTAACAAAAAATAATTCAAATCAACGAAACTTATTGACAAAAATCACAGACCCAGTCGGCTTTTTCACAACCAGAACACAGAACAAGTGCCCATAATTGACACATAAGGCACTGGATCCATTTTTCTCCTTTCCTGTCTTCCAAAAATCGTTGTGAGCAGAATATGCACTCAGCATCATCATCTGTCCTGGAAGATATGTTATCAACTGAGCTTTCCATATCACTTGAAGTAACTGTGCCATCGTGAACCGATTCATCTGAATCAGAGGATTCCGAAATCTTTCTTTTTCTTTGAATTCTCTTTGAACTAATTTTGAGGCTAAGCGCCGTTTTCTCAGATTGTTTTAAAGTTGATCGCTTACCGCTAGTCTTTACAATATCCGTGCTGAACCCACGAGACTGAAGACTCGAAATGTTTTTTGTGCTACCTGGTTTCGACGAGAGCGAATTCTCCAAATCTGTTTTATATGGAGAGCTTGTAATTACTGCAGCTGAAGTGGCCTTTCGTCCTTTATTCGACATTTTTCTCTTTGGCTTTGGTACCGGCCCAATAACCACAGGGGAAACAAAGGAGTTACTCGAGGTTGTCGAGGGTTGCGCTGAGCTGCAACCTGCTTCTGCCAGATCAGTTTCACTGATATTGAAAGAGCATAGATGTGTAGTTGTTGGTGGACTTGCTCTAATATGATAGGATTGAGCTGTAGTACTTTCAGCCATCACGGCTTCATGCTCAGCTGCTAAAAAATCATTATCCGTAAAAATTCCTCTATTGCAAGGAAATAACTCAGTTTTTAAAAAAACATTAATAGCAATACTTGCAGTTGACACTTTAAATATGCCTTCCCAAAAAGTTCGGCAATATCATAAGGACCCAAAGGACGTTCATTTTGACGCAACCATATACGAATCTCTTCACTATAGTGGGTTTTTAGAGCTCCCATGAAAGTCTTATCTAAGGGTTGCAGCTTGTGGGTGGAGTGCGGAGGAAGGGATACTATGGTTATGTAGTTTGCTCTAGCTAGTTCTATTATTTCCATGTTTCTTGTATGACTATAATGTCCGTCCAAGATAAGTAGAAGAGGGTCATCTATTGTTGGTTTCGTGTATTTTATGAAATGCCTAAACCAATCAGTGAATAAATTGCTTTGCACCCAACCAGATGGATGACATTTTCCAATACTTCCGAGAGGTGCGCCTCTCATCAGATTTCAGTCATATTTTTCCTTGGGAAAATCAGCATAGGGGGAACAAATATGCCGGAAGCACTCATAGCACAAATGGTGGTCACTAGTGATCCCCTCTCAGCAGCCGTCAGCGCACCGATCTGCCGTTTCCCTTTTGACCCAACTACCTTAGGTATTTTTGTCTGAACTATAGACAATCCCGTTTCGTCAACGTTAAAAACGCGGTCAGCCGTATATTTTTTCTTTTCGTATTCCATCTCGAGGATATCAAAGAATTTAGCTACAGATTCTCTATTGAAACTGTTCGCCCGAGCATACGATGTTCCAGTTGGTGTTCGGATAGACAATCTTTGTTTATGACGATTTAAAAAATGATCCAGCCAAGCACGACCTGCTTCTTCTTTATTCCCAAACGGATGCTTTATTCCGTTTCGTACAGCCAATTGATAGGCCATTACTTTAACGTCTCTGCGGGTAAGCCCAAAATATTTGCTTTCCATCAGCAGCAGGTATTCGACTAGTTGTTGTTCAATTTCAGTAGAAAAAACGGGTTTTCTACCTAACTTTTTTTCGACAACTTGTTCGGGTGAATATTCGGTGTCGTGAACTAGTCTTTAAAGTGCTTTTGGCACCTTATACAATTTTACAGCCTTTTTCAGGCCCATTTTCTTGGAACGCACCATTTCCACAGCTTCGGCCATTGCTTGTTTGTCCCATGTTTTCCTTTTGCCCTTTGCTTTCCGGGGATAATGAACTTCGGGGCATAGTGCAATCTGCAACAATCCATTCCAATTTATACACTCAGGTCAATTATAAATCTGCATATAATATGGAACCCTTGTATAGGCAATATGGACCCAGGTTCCATATTAACACCAAGCAAGGGGTTCCATATTCCAAAAAGCACATGCTAATAATCAATTTATTTTTTTTCTTGGACATCTAAATAAACAAAAGCTTACCTTTCAAAACTCGATATTAGGCAACACTTTCAATTGTTTGTGGCCACTTCCAATTGCACCTCAGGTATTTTTTACTTTATTCGATAGAAAATGACATTCTGAAAAGCAGAGACAAATAACATTTGATTTTGACTTTTGCATAACCTCGAATTAATAGACCACAGTAAAATACTAGGCGATGGAAACCTTCCTGTGGGCTTTTCGGAACGTAATGATCAAGTTTTGGTGAACAAATCATAGATGGCGTTTCTAAATCCTTATTTATGGGGGGGGTCCCGTATTACCAGCAGGGTTCCATATTACCACCCTTTCCTCTATTTTTAATCATAACTCAATTTTTTCAAATCGAACGATAGTGGCTCGTTAGCATATTTGGAAAAAGCATTTTTTTATGAATAATTTGACACCACACATTGGGTATTTCGAGTCAAATTTTCGTTACGAACCGCAAGTTATATTTTCAAATAAACCATATGCGAAAATATCAAGAGTTGACATATGATATGTCATTTTATTCAGAGTGTTATTTTCTATCAAATAAAGTAAAAAAATACCGAGAGTGCCATTTAAAAATCAAAGGCTGTAGTCATTTCCGGTGAAACAGGAAGTGATAGAAAACAATTGAATACGTCAATCAATCCTAATTTATGTCGTTTACTAACATACCTAATCTCGTTTTTTACCTAAAAAAAGTTATAGGGGTGAGCCACTTTTGGACGCACCCGGTATAGACCTTACTATTTCTTCGATAGACTAAAGTCCTCCACAGACGCTCAGTTTTTTCGCACAGATTACCTGTGCGAACCTGATTTGTATAAGCATATTGGCATATGTGTGGGAATTTCTAGTCAACTGTACAAGCTATTGGCTTGGCCTGTGCGAAACCAGACTGCTTGAATTTGACCTGCGCAGCCTGAACGTGCGTGTTCAGTTCATAGACAAAGTTCAGTCTATTATTAACAAACAAAATGTCGAACTTAAATAAACAGTTTTTATGCTCATTTATCGAATTGTATAAAAGTTTGCTATGTTCATGTAAAATAAATAGTGCAGTGCAGTGCAGGAATAACAAAAAAAATTGGTGCGGGGAGGCACGTATGGCCGCCCATACCATGGCCTATTTTTCATCTGGTCGGGCCCTAAGGCCCAAGCAAAAATTCGGGTCCTCTTTTCCAATAAAATTCAAAATTTCTCTTGTTAGTTTGGGTGAATATTTTGACAACCTTTAACAGGCCACAATGTAACAATGAATATTTTGCAACCTTTAACGGGCCCCCCAGACCATCGGGCCCAAAGCCCGGGCCTTATGGGCCTTGTGGTAAAATAAGCCCTGGCCCATACTAAAATATGTTAATAAAAAGTTGGTAGGCAGTTCTTTTAGTTTCAAAGTAAAGGAATTTTTCCAATTTTGGTCAGCGGTTATTTCCCCTATCCGCCACCTAGGGTCGCGTCCGATGGGAGTTTGGAGTTCTCCATACGGATTTTCTCACGACTACGCAAACACGGAATATCTCAAAAACTGCGACTTTGACTGATTTTGATGTTATTACAAATTTTGTTGCAAATATTATTCCTAATCTTAAATTGAAAACCGCGTTTCGCTAGCTACTGTAATTTTGGAGTTACGATTTTTTAAAATTTTTAACACCCTCCCATAATCCCTTTCCAAACCCCCACCCCCCTAAGAATTAATGGCCAGATTCTCGGGTGCCACAGTATTTTTGTGCCAAATTTGGTTAAAATCGGTTTAGTGGTTTTTGAGTTATCGTATTACAGACGGGCAGACGGACAGATGGACAGACAGACAAACACCATGAAAATATTTTGAATTTAAATTTTTTATATTTATAGAAAATTTTTTGGATTTAATAACTCATTTTGAGTGAAATTAAAAAAACTTTTTTTGCCGATCTTAATAGCTTACCATACCTGTTGGTACGGTCTTGATTGAACAAGCGAGCAGAAGCAAAACAGAACTGTATCTCAGGATCTCAGGAAATTATTTTCACTATAGAAAAAATATAGAAAAAATGTTCTATATGGCTTGGTGCATTTGTAATGGGCACTTTGTTTAGTCACTTCTTTCGTCGAACTGCTTCAATCAACTTTTGCTTTTGATTAAATCGGTGTGAGAAGCTGCGTGAAGCTATAAAATGCTGATTCGGGAGAGTTGAGTTATTGAGTGTTATTGCACCCAACAACCACGTAATTACGCCGTCCTTTAAGCATTAATATTTTTTTGGCAATTTTATTAAATTTTGAAATTGTCAGAACACAACGCGACGCCCAGTTCGAGATCTTTTTCACTTAACTTTTACTACCTGAAACCGCGTTACATCACACAAACCTCGTAGCTGAGTATTTTATAGTTTCAATAACTGCACCAGCAAAATATTAAAATACTTAAATATTATGATATAACCACGATTTCAATATTATTTTAATGCGATCAACATGAACTGTAACCGGGATGGCGTCAAATACATAGTGAAAACTTCTGATATCTGCCGTATACTGAAATGCACCAAACCTATAACTAATAGTGGATGTGTCACTCAGTTTACTGTAAAAAAAACTGTGCTATAAAACTAAAATTGCGCAAATAGGCCTGCATAGTCAGCCTGTGCTGAAGAACCGAGCATCTCTAGGAGCTCTTAGAGAGAGAAGAGCGCCGTCTCTTAGAGCAACGTCTCTTAGACGTTGGCAAGCATCACATAATGCAAGCCTCATACAAAACATTCCTTAAGATTTAAAATTTAAATGATCTGTATACTGACATTAAATGAAATGAAATTATAAACAAACCTCTTCTTTAAATAGTTTTTTTCTTAAAAACTTTCTAAAAATGGCAGTAAGAGATTTTTTTCACAATAATGAATATATAATAACAAGAGTCTTTTTAGAATGAAGTTACAGAAATCTATTTTTTAGGAAGCCATGCCAATAAGGCTAAAAGGAATACATTATATTAACGTCGTACCTTTTATGGATAAGTTGTTAGCTATGATGAAACCGTTCATGAAAAAGGAGCTAATAGATGTTGTAAGATGTTTTTAAGTACTACTTATCTAAATTTAGGTCCAAAAAAGATATGAAACATTTTTTTGCTCTTATTTTAATATTTCTTGATAGTTTTCTTTTTTATTATTCGTTCCTCATTGTGATGATGAACGAACGTGTTATCTCTTTTTTCTTTATCAATCTCTTATCTCTTTATCAATAATAAGAAACCGTCCTGTGCCTGAAATAATACGAACTGTAAGGCCTAATGTATTTGTCCCCTTTCGACTTTCTTTCGATGTCTGCACCACAGGTCTGCACCCACTCTCCTATTCCTGTACCACCCTGTACCCTGCACCAACTTGTGCAGATCTTTCATAGAATGGGAACATAGTTGCTCCGGTTCTAGCCTTGCATTCCCAAATAGAAATTGTCGTTTGGATCCAGAGCTTCACAGCGACATATTATATGTTCCGTTGTTTCACGATCTTTATGACAGAGTCTGCAGCAAGTACTTTCTTGATACAGGTCGAGCTTAAACGAACCGCTTGTAAACCTATAATTCGCAAATGTGTACGTTGTTTTGAGCAACGAACGAACGGCTCGCAAACCGTTCGCGGCGATCCGCCTCCTGTCGGTTTTTTTGACGAACACAAAGGGATTCGTAGAAGTGTCTAGTTCTAGCAGTCAACTATTAAGCTTGACCAATCAGGTTGGTTAGCGTTGTTATTTGGAGTGTGTTAATTCATTCGTGTTTGTCAAAAACTCTAATGTGATTGGTCGGGCTTAACAGTTGCCTGCTAGGGCTAGACACAAGTGGGATTTGTGGCTCTCGGTGGACGGGCTCGTATGTTGTTCGTTGTTTGTATCGAACCTCCAGACAATCCAGACGCACTGTTTTCAATTTTTAGTTTTTGTTTACCGGTTGGAAGAGGTATAGCGGTTTATTTACATATGGAGTGGTCCGAGGAAATCATGTTAGATTTAATTGATCTCTATAGAAAAAAAGCTTTATTATCAGATCCAAAACATAAAAAGAACATTATAAAAAAAAATTAAAGGAGGACGTTGGAGGGAAACAGGTGTCGAACTGAAAAAATGTGCAGACCAATATAAGAAGAAAATGATTTCTTTATTAGCATCCTACCACCAACGTCGGTGCTTCCTTTTCTTGTCTAAACTAGCCATCATTAAAAATGCACCACTCATCGCCAACAGAGCATAATTCTTTTCTCGCGAAGACATAATTAAACGCGTACTCGCACCGTCGCGTCGCATCGCAAAAATGACTGCATGTTTTCGGTTGGTTTGCAGCGTTCGCGCTTTTCCCTTAGATCGTTGAAGGTTCGTACTAAAACAATTTGCTAACGAGCAGTTCACGAGCGGTTTGCGAACCGCTCGGCTCGCATGTGTATACCCACCTTAAGGTGGCACTTGATAAAAATATGTCCGGTCAAGAGACCTGTTATAATCCCCTTGGTAAAGGCCTGTGTCGGTTTCTCTAGTGGACATTCTGCTTTTTCCTGATCTGGAGTTTTACTGGCTCTGAACTAAGATACACGCGTTATCCTTAAGAGTTAAAAATATTTTTTTTACCTTTGTACATAAACATATATACAGTAGGTACGTTTATGCACAGTGCTTATGACCATGCAAGCTTGTGTGTGTTAACAAAATTATATTATAATTTGTTTAATTGTTGATTCTTACTTGATCATAAAAATTTTGATGGCATTGTATTTTAGCTATACGTGCATGCCCATTCAATGGAGTCTTTATACAAATTTGTACCGAAAAACTGTCTACCAGCAGAATATGGTGGTGAATGTGACTCGGTTGATGTCCTACATGGTAGGTATCAATATTTAGAGAAAAGTAACTAAACAGGGAATACCATTTAGTTTTTATTTTATATAAAACAAAGGTATTGTAAATCAAAAATGAAGAACCCAGGGGAAAAACTTGATAAGCGCCAATTCCTTAATTTTAGGATTTTACAATATTATAGTAAATCTAACTGGTCAAAATGTGTAAACTCTGCAGGGCAATAAGTTGTTAAATCTTATGGTAAATGACTAGTAAAAATATACAGGGTCCGGCAATAGTGCGTCGGGCATCTGTAGCTCCTAGAATAAAAAACTTGAGAATTTTGTTTAAGTGCAAATCTAAAGTATGTACCAGGATGTATTCCAGGAAACTTTTTAACTTCTATAGGGTTTTAACTTCTATAGGGTGGCTCAAAAAAGTGTGAGTGGACCTGGATGATTTTTTTAAATGGAACACCCTATATATTATTGCATTTTTGGCTTCCTTTCAGACCACTTTACATAACCCTAAGATATGAATAAATATATTTCTATAGTTTCAGAGATATTAAAAAATAAATCAAAAATATATATTCTTCAGCTCTTCTTAAAAACATTATTAAAAATAAAAGAACTGTTCTGAAATCAAAACTATATTAGGTTGGTATTTTAGATGGTCTGTTCTTACTTTGCTATAAATATGGTAATCGTAAATCGTACAGGATCTTCAATATTCTACGCCAAACATTCTATAATATAAAATATCTTTTCTTTGTTTTTTTTAACGGAACACCTTGTATATTATTTTTTTATTAGATGGAGAGTTAAAAAATTAACATTTTTTGTCTCTAAATACATATTTCAAAATTTTTGACGGTTTCGCAGATACGCGCAGTATTATTTCATACGGCGGCGGCGCTTTCAATGGTAAAATACGAGAGAAAAATCATTGGGTGGCTTTGATAAAAATTTACTGTGAAAAATGCCATATTGTTAGATTTTTCGCGTGGAGGTACCAAAATAAGGAGGCTCCAGTTTCAGGTCTGTAACCTGACTGACCCAGACTCCTTTTCCCACCAAAAATATGCCTTCCTCATCAATACTCGTGAACGTCGCCAGACGGACCTAATCACTTTTTATTAAACAATAACACATCGTATCAATTTCAAACCATGCCGCATTTACCTACTTAAAAATGGTCTCGTGATAAATAAATCTAACACGGCCAAACTGACAACATTCCGCTCTCGAAATGCATTTTTCAACAGATACGTAAAGTATTGATAAATCAATAAAATCATGCTTTTCAGAAGAGAGACATCTCGTATTTTATTAGATACCAAACAAAACATATAAGCACCGTATGTCTTCGTCAGTTCAGGGACGGCCTCGAAGCAAAAACTAAATTATGAGCACCGTGTAACTTCATCAGTTCAGGGACGGCCTCGAAGCAAAAACTAAATTATGAGCACCGTGTAACTACGTCAGTTGAGGGACGGCCTCGAAGCAAAAACTAAATTATGAGCACCGTGTAACTTCATCACTTCAGGGACGGCCTCGAAGCAAAAACTAAATTATGAGCACCGTGTAACTACGTCAGTTCAGGGACGGCCTCGAAGCACAAATTAAATTATGAGCACCGTATAACTCCGGTAGTTCAGTGACGGCCTCTAAACACAAACTTAATTATGAGCACCGTATAACTCTGGGAGTTCAGTGACGGCCTCTAAACATAAACTTAATTATGAGCACCGTATAACTCTGGGAGTTCAGTGACGGCCTCTAAACACAAACTTAATTATGAGCACCGTATAACTCTGGGAGTTCAGTGACGGCCTCGAAACACAAACTTAATTATGAGCACCGTATAACTCTGGGAGTTCAGTGACGGCCTCGACACACAAACTTAATTATGAGCACCGTATAACTCTGGGAGTTCAGTGACGGCCTGGGAACACAAACTTAATTATGAGCACCGTATAACTCTGGGAGTTCAGTGACGGCCTCTAAACACAAACTTAATTATGAGCACCGTATAACTCTGGGAGTTCAGGGACGGTCTCGAAACACAAATTTGGGCACCGTATAACTGCAAGTTCAGGGACGGTCTCCAAACACAAACTAAATACTTGAGCACCGTATAACTGCAAGTTCAGGGACGGTGTTGCGTGTCACTTCTAAATTAAATCTAACACGGCAAAAAAAACAGACTCACTATCGTCTAATTCCAACAATTGTTGAAAGTCATCTGGAGCCCATGCTATGGGCCACCGGCATAACTACCGGAACACTTAAGACTTTTTTTTGTGTCCCAATCTTTTGAAGGAGGTTATTAGTTATCAAAGATTTAATGAGATATAGCTCAACAAACTCGCAACTGAATTTTTGGGCTCGTAGTCCCCTACTCAACAGTACATCACTTTACAACTAACTTTGAACGTTTCATTACTTCTGCGTTTGAGGTTAAAAATTTAGCCGTCTTGGTCAAGACCAACCTAAACGGAGAACAGCCGGTCGTCTTATGCTTGGTGATGTTAAATACAAGTTCAATTTTCCAAATTTTGTTCGGCCAATCTGCAGCTGATTTAGATTCAACGCGTAATAAATTACTAATAGTTCGCATAAATGGTTCGCTTGGCCATTGAAGCGGTGAGTGCCTGGATGTCTCAACTATGCCATATTGCTAAACAATTTCTTTGAAAATCTTGGCGGTGACAAGCGTTATTTTACAGAAAAACTGACTTCCAACAACTCTACAGGTTGTAAAGCGTTACTTTACAGAGAAAATTGCTTTCAATAACTCCACAGGTTGCAAAACGTTACTTTACGAAGAAACTGACTTTAACGACTTCACAAGTTGCAAAGCGTTACTTTACGGAGAAACACTGCTTGATCATCATCAAATTTCTCTGGATCATCATCAATTTTTTTGCAATAAATTCTACAACCTCAAGAAAATTCAAATTTACGTTTTAAATTTTCCTAATGGCTATATCCGCAGAGATAATTACAAATACTAATAATTTAATTAATCTTTTTTTTTACAAAATCAGCTTGCTTTCTACTACGTTCATAGTTTCCGATCTTTTTACAAATTTTTCGGAACGACAAGTAATACTCATAGATTCAGTCAGCGTTTGAATATCTCGACTAGTGTCATTTATTCTTCTTAACAGATAAATCGAAGACAAACCTTGTAACCAAACAATGTAAATTTAAAACACTACTAACGCTTCTTTCAATTTTACACATTACCTCGAAAAATACTTTTTTCATCAAACGGTTAATATATAATTAGATAATATAATAATTTATGTTGAGCAAGGAACAAAATATTAATCATTAAACCGTTTGCCGGTGAGTAGATTTTTCATTACAATAGGTACCTACACTAATTATTGTATGGCTTCGGTTTTATTTTTTTGTTTTTTAATGTAATATTTGCTTCTTTGTAGCATAAAAAAAATTAAAAAATATAAAAATAAAATAACGGTGGCAGTACCGCATCCCCTAGATAGCTTAATAGATTGGAAAAAATGTTGTATCTGCCAGATTGGTGGTGGAAAAACTGTTTGTCCTGCACATAATCCAGTTGTTTAGCATCGAAATAAAGAATATGGTACTTCAGCTTCTAATTTACTACTTTTAACTAATTACAATCACGTACTTCCATCTGGAATGCAAATTAATTATTGTCTTAAAGGGGAAGGAGAAACTGAGCAAACATTAATCGAAAAAAAAGCACTGTGGCACAAAGCATGCAACTTAAAATACGTTTCACCAAAATTTGGCATACTCCTCTCTTCATTATCTAAATCTAATGAGGCAGCATGTTGCTGTGAGTCTCAAGAACAATCTCAGGTATCTATTTCGCAACAAAGGGGGGGAAATAATTCTGCTCGAGCAACAAGATCAACTGCACCATTGGTAAATGTAAAAAAGATGTTTGTTTCATATGCACTGAAACAGGTAATAAAAAAAATGTTTTACATTTGTGTGCTACTGAGACAATTTATAAAAAAGTGGAACACTCTGCTAAAATTCTTGGTGATACGCGCCTTCTAGCCGTACTGGTAGAAGGCGATTTGGTAACCCAAGAAGCCAAATACCATCTAAAGTGTTTGGCACATCTATACAACAGAAGTAGTCGTAATGTTAAAGATGAGCAAGAAGATACGGTTATGTGTAAAAGTCTGGAAAGTATGTAAGTAATCTGGAAAGTATTATTGAGAATTGTAACTCCTATAATGTAGTAACTAATGTGGGCGATAGCTGCAGGTCATCAACTGGCCGTTTTACTAACTTAGAAGGTGTATCCTGTGCTCAGATGGAGGAAGCAGATGGACGAATAATCATACACGTTAAAGACATGATTATTAACGGAGCCAAATCGGTGTTAATTTGTTGTGCTGACACTGACATTTTGGTTTTAGCTATATCTTTTTTTCCTCAATTTAAACGCCTAGGCCTAGAAAACCTCTGGCTGCTCTATAGCTCTTCAAAAAATTTGCGATGCATTCCTGTTCACTGTATTGTGGAAGTTCTTGGTGACAGAAAATCAGAAGCTCTACGCGGCTTTCATGCCGCGTTTCTCTGGACGTGACACTGTGTCTTTTCTGTCATCAAAGGGCAAACGGTCGACTTGGAAAACTTGGACAGAAGATACAACAACTGCATTCCATGCAATATATTTCCCCCGCGAGAAGTTAGAACATAATGTGCTTCAAGAACTTGAAAAATATGTGGTACGCCTATACAGTCTACTAATAACATAACTATGGCCAGGAAACACTTGTTTGCAACTGAAAATAGGCCACTTACGGCTATACCACCAACTCGAACTGCTCTACATGAACACACATTAAGGGCAGCATACCAGACGGGTCATATTTGAAGTAGAGCTGACCAAATATATCAAGATGATCTACCTGCTCTAATTAGCTGGGGATGGATGGATGTTGAGGGAAAATGGCTACCACTGTGGTTAGGTTAAAGCCCAAAAGCCCAAGTTTGGGAGTCATACGGGTCACTCGATACGTCTGGGTG